ATTTCAGTCTCATTTTCAATGCTTTGGTTGGCTTTTCATATTTAAGATTTTCTTCAAATGTCTGGTGATCCTTGGGTTCTGTTTTTAGTCTATAACAATGCCATAAAAAGCCAAATCGGAAAGTCTACATGCATGTTTTGTTGGCGCATTTCACTCTACAGCATGGATTAGTTTCCTGTTGCATTATAACAATTTACTATAAATATAGTGGTATGAAACAACACCCATTTATTATCTCTTAATTTCTGTGCATTAGACATAAGGGACAGTGTGGCTGGATTCTCTTGCTTATGGTCTCAAGGCTCAAATCAGCTATCCTGTGTTCCTTATCTGTAGGTTGTGGGTGAACATTTACTTCCAAATTTTTTATTATTGGTAGCAGAATTTAGTTCCTTGCAGTTGTAGGACCAAAATCCTGATTTCCTTACAGGCTATCAGCAGGGGCTCCTCTCATCTCCCTAAGGTTGCCCACATTCTTTGACTTGTGGCACCCTCCATCTTTAAGTCAGCAGTGGAAATTGCTTTAATCTTCATTATCTCCAATCAGCCAAAGACATCTCTGCCTTTCACAAGCTGATTTGATTGGGTCAGGCCCTCTAGGATATCATCCCTGTCTTTAGATCAACAATGTGATATAACATAGCTTAATTATGGGAGTGAAATCTGTCAAATTCACAGTCTCAAGATTGTAGGATGTGTACATCAGGGATGGGTAATCTTGGGATCACTTTAGCATTCCTAGCAGACAGTGATTAGACAGAGATCCTTTCATTTCTTTGGGAATCCCTAAAATATCAATACTTTAGGTCTTTTCTCTGATTTTTATAACCCAGCTACCTTAATTCTGGGAGCTGAGAGTGACAATAGGGCTGTGGATCTCACTACTTACCACGTTAACGTTCATTCACTTAATGCTTTTATGTAGTACTTCATCTGATCCTCCTGTATACCTGGTGTCTCTTAGTCCAGGGCCTTTCTAGTTTGCTTTCTTTGGAGAATAAATCACCTGGCTGTTCAGTTTGACAATGGAAACTTGTGTCTGATTACTCCTCGCAGGTGTTCAGCTGATCTCCCTTTTTTTCAACCAAAGCTTCACCCCTGTATCTGGTATATCTAATTCCTGACTAATGTTGAGCTAATGATCTGTTTCTCTTTCGATACTGGTGTTTCAGTTTATTCTGTTCTATAAGTTAGTTACATCTCTGATTTACTTTGTCTTTATACATTTTGGCTTAGATTTACAAATTTTTCCTAGTTTTATCATAGATGAAGTTTCTCTTACATTGTAGTCCTCTGAATAAGTTCTGAGAGGAAAATGGGGGAAATCATTATGCATTCAATTATCTTAAAATCAGATATTTAATAAGTTTAATAAATAGTGTTAATGTTACTTTTATTATAAAATAATAATATAAATCATATTTTAATGTGCCCTCCATCTGAATTTCTATGGTTCTGCTGTTCAATTGATTAGAGAATTTGGAAATAATAATCTGGTCATTGTGTTTTTTTGTTTGTTTGGTTGTTTTTTTTTGTTTTTGTTTTTTTTTTTTGAGACAGTCTTGTTCTCATTCTGTCATCCAGGCTGGAGTGCACTCGGCTCACTGCAATCTCCATCTCTTGGGTTCAAGTGATTCTCCTGCCTCAGCCTCCCAAGTAGCTGGGTCTACAGGCACATGCCACCATGTCCAGCTAATTTTTTGTATTTTTAGTAGAGACGGGGTTTTACCATGTTGCTCAGGCTGGTCTAGAGCTCCTGAGCTCGGGAAATCCACCTGCCTCAGCCTCCCAAAGTGCTAGAATTACAGGCGTGAGCCACTGCACCTAGCCCTTTTCTGTTTTTTGATCTTCACTTTAATATCCAATAGCTGGATAAGACCAGAAAAAAAAAAGAATCACCATAATTCAGGGTAGCTAGAATAAATTAATTTTTTATTACTGTTAATTAATTTGAAAGGTCACCATCATGTCTTTGTTTTTTTCCTAGTTATCTTTATTAAAATAGTTATCTTTATGAAGATACAAGAAGTTCGTAAAGATTTAAAGTGAGATTTTCTTGTTTTGTTTTTTTCTTTTTAAGACAGTGGTTAGTTTTTACTTAGCCAGATCTGTCTTCTTGCCTATTTCCTATTGCTGTTACTGACAAATGTTTGTTACATAGTGATTTGGGCTGGTTGAAAAATTAGAGCTATTTTTTTAATGTGGAAATTCATCTGTGATCTTGATCTTAATAGTGCCTTCATATATTTAACCAAAAGATTATCTGTTGAATAAATATTGTAGTCGATTCAGAGTATAGTAGGACTTTTAATATTAGTGACATAAATTATGCAGTAGGTGTCAGTCTTATCAGACCAAGACAGATTTTATTATTTTTACATATTAATTGTAGCAGATTTGAAATTTGACTATTATGAACATTTTGTTACAGTTATAATCATAAAGCTTTCTTGGAAGATTTGTTTTTGGTTTTGTGGCATATAACATTTGATATCTTAGTTTTTTAATTAAAGAAAAGCGTAGAAATATATCTAAAAATACTAATATAAAAATCATTCAGGACAGCAGAAGAAAAAAATGTTTTAAAGGCAGAGATGGTTAATAACCACCTGTGTGAAACCTAATTGTTGCTTTTGCAGATATCCCTATAAAGCATGCTTACCCCTAACCTTATTATTCTAACTCGGTGCTTAATCTAGGCTGCCTATGTTACTGTAAAGTACACAATAAAAGTATACACTTTCAGAACTTTAAACATGAAACTTACGTGATATTATTGAACACCTTTTACTGTTATAAGATATACTTACTTGTGCAGATATGTTTATTACCAAGTGAGTGATCCTTTTTGTTTCTTAGTTCACTAGTTTGTTGTAAAACCTATAATAGCCTTTCTTTAATGTGCATCGGAATCATATGGGGATCTTTTTTAAAATGCAGGTTTTGGATCAGTACATCGTAGGGCCTGAGATTCTGCATTTCTGACAAGCTCCCAAGAGATAGCAGTGCTTCTATTCAGTGGACCACATGTTGGATAGCAGGGTTCTGTAATATCCATCATAACATTAGAGGTAAAGGTTTTTAATCCTAGCTGTTTATCAGAATTGCCTTAGAGCCTTGAAAATATGTAGATGCCAGGCTCTGCTTTCTACTTACTGAATTGGATCCCTAGACGTAGAAAAGCTCAGCATCTATATATTTGAAAAGCATTCCAGGTGGCTGGAGAACACCTGTAAACCCAGCCCTTTGGGAGGCTGAGGCATGTGGATCACTTAAGCCAGGAGTTCAAGACCAGTGTGGGGAACATAGTGAGACCCTGTCTCTACCAAAACAAAAAAAAAATTAGGCATAGTGACCTGCGCCTGTGGTCCCAGGTGCTTGAGAGGCTGAAGTGGGGGAATCCCTTGAACCTGGGAGGTTGAGGCTGCAGTGAACCATGATCGTGCCACTGTACTTCAGCTTGGGCAACAGGGTGAGACCCTGTCTCAAAAAAAAAAAAAAAAAAAAGTACCACAAGTGATACTGATGGGCAGCTTGGATTAAGCACCACTGAATTAAAATAATAAAGGTTAGGGGTAAGAATGCTGCATGCTTTACAGGGATATCTGAAATAGTGACAGTTAGGTTTCAAGTAGATGGTTATTAACCATCTCTGCTTTTGAATTTTTTTTTTTAATTTTGCTGTTCTGAATGGTTTTTAGATTAGTACTTTCAGGTGAATTTAAGTATATGTAGTAAGTTGTAGGCATAATCATTTTTGGCTTATCTTTTATATATAGTCTAGAATGCCTTTTTAGGCCATATTTTGTTCACAAGTGATAGCCCAGTAAACATTCTCAAGCAAAAATGGATATTGGCTCGATGCAGTGGTTTACACCTGTAATTGTGAACACTTTGGGAGGCTGAGGTGGGAGGATCACTTAAAACTAGGAGATCTAAATTACCCTATGCAACATAACAAAACTCTACCTCTACAGGAAAATTTAAAAATTAGCTGGGTGTCTTGCTACAGTGGCACACACCTGTAATCCCAGTACTTTGGGAAGCTGAGGCAGGAGGATTCCTTGTGCCCAGGAGTTCGAGACCAGCCTGGCAACACAGTGGGACCCCCATTCCTCCAAAAAGTAAAATAATTAGCCAGACACGGTAGTGTGCACCTGTAGTCCCAGCTACTTGGTAGGCTGAGGCAGGAAGATTTGAACTCAAGACAGTAAGGCTGTAGTGAACTGTAATTGTGCTATGCACCCATCCTGGGTGACAGAGCAAGACCCTGTCTAAATTTAAAAAAAAGAAAAAGAAAGAAAAATTAGCCTAGTGTGGTGGTGTGAGCCTGTGGTCACAGCTACTGGGAGGCTGTGTTGGAAGGATCACTTGAGCCCAAGAGTTCAAGACTTTAGTGAGCTATGATCATGCCATTGTACTCCAACTTCGGTGGCAGAATAATAACCTGTCTCAAAACAAAATTAATAATAATATAAATTTTAAAAATATGTAGACATTTGCCAAGTCATAGAGATGGTGCTGGCTTCTGACACTACTGGCATCAATGAGTCAAAAATAATTTAATCAGGACTCTGTACCCTTTTTCTATGTCTCTTTTCTCCTCTATGTTGACTTTATTTTGGGTAGTCTTTTTCTGTATGTGGTGACAAAAGTGGCTAAATAGCTTATGACTCACATCTTAACCAATTTAGCAACCTTTGAATATGGGTTCTTTCAAAGATATGACAGAGTCTAATTGTCCCATCATAGGCCAAAGACCCATTTCTGGCACCAGAGGGTCACAGAATCAAGTACTTATGAACCACATGGAATGAATAAGTTTATTAGAAAACTGGAGAAGAGTGATTTCTCAAAAGCTGCTGAGTAGCCGATATATATGTCCACTCCACCGTTTGGAGGTTATTGGTTAACATACACAGTATAGCTTTAAGTAACTCAAATTTTGCTTTGTTTCTCCTTTTGGGTGTGTCTATTTTGGTGCAAAAATAATATAATAGGAATAGGCAAATTGTCCACGGCTGATGGTAAAGCCTTTGCAGATCCTGAAGTACTCCGGAGGCTGACATCGTCTGTTAGTTGTGCGTTGGATGAAGCTGCTGCTGCACTTACCCGTATGAGAGCTGAAAGCACAGCAAATGCAGGGCAGTCGGACAAGTAAGTACATTTTGCTGCAGTCAGTATTAAATCATTTTCTTAAAAATAATAAAAATAGCTAACATTTACTAAGCATTTATTTTGTGGCTAGCTAGCACTGTATTAACCACTTAACATGCAATGTCTTATTTATATTCACAAAAACTTTATAAGGTATAGATTTTGTTTTTACTTCCATTTTTTAGATGAAAAGTTAAAGAGAGGTGAGTAACTTAATCAAGGTCAAATAGGTAATAGGTGGCAGAGCACCAGTGTCTAGCTGATGGCCTAGTCAATATGTTATAAAAGACCTTTTGCTTATTTAGATTTTTTTAAATGTATTGGTGACAAAGAAGTAAATGTTTTAGGGCATTTTCCAGTTCATGTGCATTGTTCTGACCATTTTAAAGGGTAGGGCTTTTATTTATTTGCTTTTTGAAGTTGTAAAGGAAGTCATAGATCTAGTTCCTATAACTTGAATGTGAGTCCAGGTACTTTATTTATATTTTATCTCCTATAATTCCTTGTATATAGATAGATAGTACTTTACAATTAGTAAGGGCTCAGTAAATACTTTGTGACGTGACATTTTAAGCTGATATGATGATGTTATCCAATAAAAATCACACAATCTCATATATAAACACAATTATGGATGTGTATTGAAAAATGCATACTTCGAGGAAGCAACTAGAAAAGAATTATTAATAAATGTTACCTTTTTCAACCCTCGGTGGCTAATTTTTTTCTCCTGTAATAAAATGAAGCCATTTTATTTATTCTAGCAATTGCCTTAAAATGATTGAGAACATCTGAATATTCTGCTTTATTTGGGTTTAGAGAGTAAATCATAGCATTTAAGAATTGTCTTTTGTCTAATGGTGTTTTTATACAACATTCATAAGAGCATAAAAGAGGGGTTATATAGTATTAACAAGGTCATCAATTTGCTGTTTCTCTTGACTATTAGTGTTCATTCATGTAGATTTTTGTGTTTCTATTAATTTGCTTTATGATTCTTCTTGTAGGTTGACTCTCTTCTTTAGTTAACCTCGGTTTCTATTCCATGGTAAATGTTGAGTTATACTAGCCTAAAATATTATTGGTAATCTCCAAATATTTTTTTAATGTGGTACCTGCTAAGGTTGGCAAGAGAGAAAATTCAAAACCCTTGAAGGATATATTAAAACCAGTTCAATCAGAAAATAGCATACAAAAATAAAAAGTCACAGATTATTTTGCATTGAAAATACCGGAATTTAACAGCAAAAACATAGAATATATTTGTGACAATTCTATTTATTCAACAAAGTTTGAGAAATATGGTAGGCTTAAGGGCAGTGAGTACTATATGCCACATTTTTATGTTAGTTAAGGACAGTGCCATGTGCCAGGCTTAATATGCCTTTTGCCCACAAGTTCTTAAGTTCAGCTGTTGCTAGAGTAGATCCTGTAAGTTTTTAAAGCTGGAATACACACATAGACACCAAATGAAAAATTCAAATGATAATGTAGCTTAGGGTATATGCATAAGGAAGTAAAAGAGAGAGGCTACTTTGAAAGAGAGAAAAGGTATGCTCTTTCACAGGAAATGTCTTATTTTCCTGGGAAAAAAATTGAAAGGGAAATGCTAAGGCAGTGTTAGGGTTGGAGGTTATCTTAGTTCATTTTCTGTTGCTTATCACAGGATTCCTGAAACTGGGCAAGAAAAAGAATTTATTTCTTACAATTATGGAGGCTGAGAAGTCCATGGTCAAGGGGCTGCATCTGGTGAGAGCCTTCTTGCTGGCAGGGACTCTGTGGAGTTCTGAGGCAGCACAGACCACCACATGGCAAAGTAGGCTAAGTGTGCTAGCTCAGGTTTCTTTTCCTTTTATAAAGCTACTCAGTCTCACTCCATGATAACTAATTAATTTATTAATTCATGAATGGTTAACCCATTCATGAAGACAAAGCCTCCATGACTCAGTTACGTCTTAAAGGCCCCACTCTCAGTATTGCCACATTTGGGGTTAAATTTCACATGAGTTTTGGAGAAGTTGAATATGCAAACCATAGCAGAGGTCATGTTACGTTTTTTAATAGTGTGGTCAGGGAAGTCCTCCTTTAAAATGATGGCTTTTTAGGAAAGACCTGAAATAGGTAAGGGAGTGAGCCATGTCTGAGAGAGGAGCTGTCCTGGCACAGGAGGAGCAAATGCCAATATTACAAGGTTGATGCTATTCATCAATATTTAGCATATTTGATGAATAGCAGCAAGACCAATGTGGCCAAAGTGGAAGGAATAAGGGTGAGAGAGTAGCAGATAAAGCCAGAGAAGTAAAAGGGAAGAGAAATACGGTATCCTGCCACTGGGCAGATCTTGTAAGGATTTTGGCTTTTACTGTGAGTGTGATTACAGGCCAGTGGAGGGTTCTCAGTAGAGAAATGACATGTTCTACTTTCCTTTAAATCAGATCTCTCTGGTTGTCTTGTTGGAAAGAGCCTGAAGGAGAGCAAGTATGAAGTCAAGGAGACTGGTTATGAGGCTTAGTCATATCTGAGACAAAGATGTTGGTCTTAAATCTGGGTAATGGTAATAATGGAGGTATAGAAAAGTGATTATCTGTAGGTACCTTTAGTATCTGAAGTGAGAGAAAGATATGAAGTGAGAGAAACATTATATTTTAAGAAGATAATGAAAGAATTGAGTTATATTTGAAATAAAAAGAATATTAATATCCCTGGATTTAGTTTTAGGATTATTTTATACAAAAGTGAGAATTTTTAGAAATGTCTACAATTGGAATTGTTTTGGGAAGTTTATGGGGCAAACACTTTTCTCTCTGTTTAATTTTCTGTTACTCCACTTTTTCCACTCTCATTTTGCTTGAATTTATCTTTTTCTTTGCCTGAATTTGAAACTTCTTCTGAAATATGATTGTATAAGTAAATATGTCCAAAACCAAAACAAAAAGAAGGCTGATCAATTATTCATTTACAAATATTACATTCTCCCATCTTTTCTTTCTGATTTCCCTTTACTTGATGGAAGGACTCACATAGATTTTTATAATTAGTAGAAGTTTTGCCCATTTTATAGTTTTTAATTAAATTTTATAAAAAATTTTCTGCCGACCAAACAAAAAGTATAATTATGACCTGTTATTTGTGTTTGATTTCTATAAAATTCTGTGTTTTAAAGTTTTATGTTCTTTCCCTACTTAATAGTAAATTAGACTTTATCCTTCAGTTGCATAACTGAAAACATTTTGGAATATTAATAATTTTAATTCAATGCCATTAATATGTAGATTCTAAAAAATTCAATGAATTTAATTATTTAGCTTTTTGTTATGAATCATTGAAATAATCATTCTTGTAGAGCACTAATGTTAGTATTAGTCCATTTTCACTTTGCTATAAAGAACTACTTGAAACTGGATAATTTCTAAAGTAAAGAGGTTTGATTGACTCACAGTTCCACAGGCTTTACAGGAAGCATAGTGGGGAGGTCTCAGGAAAACTTACAGTCATGATGGAAGGCAAAGGGGAAGCAAGGATGTCTTACCATGGCTCAGCAGGAGAGAGCGAGTGAAGTGGGTAGTGCTACACAAATTTTTTTTTTTAACTTTCTCTTTTATTGCCAAGTTTGAATTTGTGCTACACACTTTTAAACAACCAGATCTGATGAGAACTCACTCATCATCAGAACAGCAAGAGAGAAATCTACCCCTATGATCTAATCACCTCCCACCAGGTCTCTCCCCCAACACTGGTGATTATAATTCAACATGAGATTTGGGTAGGGACACAGAGCCAAACCATATCTACTGTCAAGATTTGACATGAAAAACCAATACTCTGATTGGGTGTGGTTGTTCACATCTGTATTCCTAGTGCTTGAGAGTCTGAAGCAGGAGGATTGCTTGAGGCCAGGAGTTTAAGGCTGCAGTGAGCTGATTGCATCACTGTACCCCCTCCTGGGTGACAGAGCAAGACTCTGTTTCTAAACAACAGAAAACAAAACAACGAAAAACAATACTTAACGCTGTGCAGTTCTTTAATATTCTTATGTTCTGGTTTGGTGATATTCTTTCCCTTATAGCCGCAGTTTGGCAGAAGCCTGTTCAGAAGGAGATGTAAATGCTGTGCGAAAGTTACTCATTGAAGGGCGAAGTGTAAATGAACACACAGAGGAAGGGGAGAGCCTCCTTTGTTTAGCCTGTTCTGCTGGATACTATGAGCTTGCACAGGTTTGTATTATCAAAATAAAGCTTATTTGTTGTTGTTTTTTTAAAATCTGACTTGCTTACTAAGGAAATAATGAAATAAATCCTTCCAACCATTAGGATTATTTCAACAAATAGTTTTGTTAGGTAGATGTTATAAATAAGTATGTTCAAAATTTTTTGTGATTATCATTTTCTAATATCTTGTAAACTATTTTCCTCTCATAAGGTTTTGTTGGCAATGCATGCAAATGTGGAAGATAGGGGAATCAAAGGTGACATTACACCTTTAATGGCTGCTGCTAATGGAGGACATGTCAAAATTGTGAAGTTGCTGCTAGCTCATAAAGCAGATGTCAATGCACAGTCTTCAACAGGTCATGCATATTTCTTCTTCAGTTTTGCTAAATAGTAACCTCATATGGTAATAATGGTTTCACATGAAAGTGATATTTAGTGCTAAATTTTCAGTTTTCTTATTTCTTAGAAGTGCTTCATATTTGCATACATCTGTGTATAATGTTTTGAATTATGTAGAATATACTTTGAATGATATTTCTTCTGTTTTGTTTATGAGGGCAATTGGCCTTTTAAGATTCTTTAGATAAAGTTAAAACACTGATCCGGTTAGAAGGACCACGCCTTTGGAAATTGAGAGGTGTAGGTTGTAGTGCTGAAACTCATGTTACTAGTTTTTTAGGAGAGGAGTGGGAAGATAGGGAGAACAAAAGATTGTGGAACAAAAGGACGGTTTATTGTTTCCTACTGTTAATAAATTGTGGCCCACAGAAAAGGTATTCTGAAAACATTGTGTCCTGAAGAAGAGCATAAGTTTAGTCTAAACTTTCTTATTCTTTTTTTTTTTCCAAATTTGGGCCTAGATTTTTTTTTTTTTGAGACAGTTTCACTCTTGTTACCCAGGCTGGAGTTCAATGGCACGATCTCGGCTCACCGCAACCTCCGCCTCCTGGGTTCAGGCAATTCTCCTGCCTCAGCCTCCTGAGTAGCTGGGATTACAGGCACGCGCCACCATGCCCAGCTAATTTTTTGTATTTTTAGTAGAGACGGGGTTTCACCATGTAGACCAGGCTGATCTTGAACTTCTGACCTCAGGTAATCCACCCACCTTGGCCTTCTAAAGTGTTGGGATTACTGGCGTGAGCCCCTACTCCCAGCCTAGAAATTTTTATTTTACCCAGAAGGTTGATTTTTCTTGTAACATGGGAAATTTTTATCATCACAAAAGAATGTTTAGAAATTATTGAATTCAGATTTAGAAATTTGAATTTGATCAGTTAACTGGTATTTCAAGTTGTAATGAAAACACGTATATATAATTAAAAGGTATAGTATAAGATGTGTATATGATGAATAATTTTAGGTTAAAATATATATATATATATATATATATAAAAGCTTGTGAAACATTTCTCTGATAAACCTTAAAACAAACCTTTTCTCATCTTAAGGTAAAACTTAGCTCCAGGGCAGACTTGCCCAGTTCTTTTACAACCCTCCAAACTGGATTAAGTGTATCTCCTATTCCACATGTATTTGACTTTGGTTTTAAATGGAAAAGGAGAATAAGGAGTTGATTTCAGAAAGATAAAATGCAGTAGGAAGGGAATTTGATGTATAGATATATATTTACATATATGCATGTATATAATTTAATATGGTTATAGTCTTCAGTTTCCATTTTCTTAATATAAATTAGCACTTTTTTTGGTATTTTATGTGAATATCTTTTTATTTTTTCTAATTAAAATAGGCAATACAGCACTTACATATGCTTGTGCTGGAGGCTATGTAGATGTTGTAAAGGTGCTCTTGGAATCCGGTGCTAGTATTGAGGACCATAATGAAAATGGTCATACTCCTCTTATGGAAGCTGGAAGTGCTGGACATGTGGAAGTAGCCAGATTGCTGCTAGAAAATGGGGCTGGCATTAATACGCATTCCAATGAATTTAAAGAGAGTGCCCTTACCTTAGCTTGTTATAAAGGTACAGTATAAACCTTTCTTGAAACAAAGTTTTTAAAAAAGTGAAATTATAATTATTTTATGTAATCTTGTTTTTAAATTCAGAAGTAAAACACAATAATAATATATAGTATGAATTAAAGTGTTTACAGTGTTTCAGTTTAATATGTAAATTTTTAAAGTATAGATTTAAGGTAATTATTGTCACTGAATAATGAGTATTGATCTAATTATTTTATCAAACAGTTGTTTTAATATGAACTGTATAAAAGCTTTGCATGTTGGTAAGATTTTGCTTGGAATGAAGGGGTACATGGTATTTTAAATGATGTCACTGAACCTGAAAATATTGATAGAACAGAAAATTTAACAATCTAGAACATAGGACATTAATTATCTGCAGAACAAACATCTTTCCAGGCAAGTGTCCAGCCTTTGGCATATGTGAGACAGGCCGAACAATTGCCTGGAAAGATGTTTGGTCTGCAGAAAATTAGTGTGATATGTTCTAGATTGTTAAAACACAGCCAGAGCGGAACATTTTGACTCCACATGTATGACAGATAAATGGTTATAAATTAAGGTGTTTTACTTTTTATGAAAGTAGATTAAGAAGATTTTTTATTAAGAAAATGTTTTATTAAAAAAAGAGTCATGCAATTTTGTGTTTGTTTAGCCATTTGATTTTATGTTTTATGCCATCTATCTATATAGCTGTCCCATATTATTTACATTGTAAATTCTTGACCCCTAAGCATCAAGAAAAAGCTTTTGCAAAACCTAGTAAAACATTTAAGGAGGCACTCATTCTCAGTGACTAACCTTTCACATGCACAAGCTTATGTGTGAATGCCTCCTTAAATTTTGCACCCGGGCCTTTGATTTCCTCACCCTAGTTCTGGCCCTGGTGTTGTTTTGTTCTATATGAGTAGCCACGGTTGTGTGATGCCTTTTGGAATAATTTCATTTATAAACATGAATCCTTAGATATTTGGATTAATTGACGAAAATTTAGGTTAAATTTGAGAAATATGCTTTATTTATAAAGTGCTTTTGATTATCTGATGTTAATAGATTTTCAGATAGGGAACACAGCTGCAGTCCCTTACTTACCTTCCCCAGCCCTGTTTATAATTAGGCAGAGGCTGATCTTCATTGGGAGGAGAGGAATTAAGCCTTGGGGTGGGCTGATTGGGTGGCTCTCTCCCCTTCTCACAACGCTTTTGGACCCAGAACTGGCTGCATTTCACTAGTGAGTCCCTGCTGGCTAGAGAGCTTTGCAATGGGGCTGCATGTAACTACTCTCCCCTCTCCCCTTTGCTTGTAGCCCCACCCTGCTATCCAAAAGGGGCATCTGAGATTGGGGCTTACAGGCTTTAATTAAAAACTGGATAGAGAACTGAGCTGGTAGTAGTAGCTGGTCTACTACTTCGAGGTATCCATGGACCCCCTTCCCTTCCTCTCTTTCTGGAGCTTTTCCTTGGATGTAGATTGACAACGAGGAGTTGCGGAAGGAGATAGAAGTCAGGTTGAGACTGAGCATTAATGTGGATTTTGGGGAGGGGAGAATGACAGAGAGGAAAACGGAGGGTAGGTAGTTGGCAAATACAAGATGTGGCAGATACTACACTTAAGCACCGAAGTAAATTTTGTTTCAACTGTTTACCTGTGACTTCACTATCAGTCCTTCTCCCACATCCCAGTTGAATAAGAATTGATTGTTGCTCATTCCAGATAAAGCTGGGAAAAAAAATAAGTAATTTTTAATTGTTTTTTTGTATAGAATCTGAAGTTCTTTTTAAATTATAATGTGTCTTCTTTTTAACCATTTATATGGTATCTGTGTCTGAACTTAAGCATATGGTTTATTTGGAACTGCATAAATGTGTAACATGTATGTGTATATTATAATTAAAAATATAAATATAAATTAAGTGGTATGGTTTGAAGAATGTTTTATACATGCAGTTTCCAGTTTATAGGTAGGTTTTCCTAAAATGTTTTTGAGTTAGGTATTGGAACTTTCAATACATTTTCTCACAGAAATAACTTGACTGATCATTATTATCTCAGGCTACTAGTTCATGAAAGCTGATTTATTCCATAGCATAAATAAAATAACTATAGCATGCCTGGGCTCTTAAAAGGTTGTAGAAGGAACATTTGGGTGTTGAATTTTAATGGCATCTTTGTTCACCTCTAGCAGGGATTCTAGTAGCAGCACTTTCTAGGGCAATAGGGTAAGAGGTTAAACAGCAAGATCACTTGTATAATGTGCGTTCTCCAGTTGAGGGTGGCTTCTGGTTGACTTAATTATGCTTATAAGTTTAATGCTGTAAGTTACATATAACTTTTCAAAATATTGTAATTTAAAAAAATATTTTGGAATAATAAAATATTTTCAAGTAATCTTATATACTTTTGGTTTAGGACACTTAGAGATGGTTCGATTTCTTTTGGAAGCAGGCGCGGATCAAGAGCATAAGACAGATGAAATGCACACTGCTTTAATGGAAGCTTGCATGGTAAGACTGGTGAAATACATGAAATAAATTTATATATTAACTAGGGAGAGACAGAGCTAGTATACAGTGAATGCCTTTTCCTTGGGTGCTACAATTCTGTTTGTCAGAACCTTACTGAGTCAGTTGTACAACATTAACTTCTATTGAAGTTACGTTCTGAAGCTTTCCAATGCTATCATTTTCTTAGTCTCACATAACTCTATACTGGTTTTATATAGTTGTCACCAAAGTGACTTTTTTAAAGATTGGTTGAGGATATGGAAAAGGAAAATATGGCCAGTCATGGTGGCTTACTGCTGTAATCTCAGCACTCTGGGAGACCAAGCTGGGAGTATTGGATTAAGAAATTAAAATGGAGGCCAACTGCTTAAGACCAGCCTGGCCAACATAGCAAGACCACCCCCTCTGTATTTACAAAAAATATTTTTTAAAAAGGGAAATATAATTCAGAATATGTACATTATTAATAAATGTAACATATTTCAAATCAACAAATTGACTACACAAAAATTTAAAAGTAGAGCATAATTTATGTTACATAATTTCCCGTCTCTCACAGTCTTTTCTGAGCCTTCAATTCTCTTTAGAAGAGCTGTGTTTTAGAGTTTGTATTCAAGAATGGTTTATAACAGTACTCTTAAACCTTCGTATCTTGGTTTATGATTTGTAACACAGAAGTGGATCAGAATGTTATATAAAAATTTATGAGGAAAACATGCCAATGGTAGAAAAGGCCCCCAAAGTATCTGAGGTTTCTTCTCATCTTCCCTTCAGAGAATAAGGATATTATTCTCGAAAGAATTCTTGAAAATTAACATTCTTGATGTTAAATTTTATTTACTATTTTAAAAAATATTAGGTAGCCATTTAAGACTTAAGACTTGAGTTATCTGTTGTTTTCTTTATTGTCATCTTAGTGTTTGCTTTAGTAAATTACTATTTTTTTTTTTTTTTGACAAAGAAAAGTTTAAGCTTTCGAGTTCTTCATCTGTAAAATGATATTATATTTCTCTGGAGTTGTGAAGATTAAATGAGATAATGGGTGTAAAGTACGTTAACAGTATTAACAATAACAGTTTTAAAAGTTCCCCATGATAAGGAAATTTAATCATCCTTGCCACCCCCTACCGGGGAAGCAGCCTATATATAGATTAAGAAGTTAAAATGGCTGTAATCTCAGCATTTTGGGAATCTGAGGCGGGTGGATCACCTGAGGTCAGTAGTTCAAGACCAGCCTGGGCAACATGGTGAAACCCTGTCTGTACTAAAAATACGAAATTAGCTGGGTGTGGTGACGCATGCCTGTAATCCCAGCTACTCGGGAGGCTGAGGCAGGAGAATCGGTTGGACCCGGGAGGCAGAGGTTGCAGTGAGCCCAGATCACGACATTACACTGCAGCCTGGGCAACAAGAGCAAAACTCCGTCTCAAAAAAAAAAAAAGAAATTAAAATGGAAAAATCTGTAGATCTTGCCAACAAGCACTGGGAGTAAACATTATAAATGAAAGATATTAGTAGGAACCAGACATTTGGAAGACCTGCTGTAATACTGAGTTTTTAAATTAGATTTAAAGGAAATGTAGGAGTTGACTATCAAGGGAGAATATTTAGCACTGAAGAAATAGCAAAGTAATCAAACTACTAAGGCATTAGATTCTTCTCTACAAATTGAAAAAGAAAAAAGGTAGTAAGACATTAAAATTACGTAATGTGATAAACATGGTAGCAAAAATGGGCATGGCATGTTTGAAACAATGATATGTCTGGGAGATAATATACAGATGGAAAAAAGTTATTGAAGGACCAAAAGAAGAGAAAAGAGGGAAGCAGTGGGAAAAGTGACCACTAAAGGAGACAGAATGTAGAATTTTTTTTTTTTTTAGTTTACTTTTTAGACAGGGTCTCACTCTGTCCCCAGGCTGAATTGTAGTGGCATAATCGTGGCTCACTGCAGCCTCAACTTCCTGAGCTCAAATAATCCTCCCTCCTCAGCTTCCTGAGTAGCTGGGACAGTGTGCACTCCACCACGCCTGGCTAATTTTTGTATTTTTTGTAGAAATGGAATCTCGCCATTTAGCCTGGGCTGGTCTCAAACTCCTGGGCTCAAGCAGTCCTCCCGCCTCAGTCACCCAAAGTGCTGGGATTACAGGCGTGAGCCACCACTCTTGGCCCTTTTCTTAATTTTACTGGTACTTGGATGAACGATGTAGAAAGTGCTATGTACACATTGGGTTCCTCTAACACAGTGTGTATCCTTCCCCTACTTCTCCAAAAACTGTTGCATTTTTTTATATTTAAACAAAAATTTGCTTATCCTTAAGATTTTTATGAAAATCCTTCTTTCCCTCTCTAAACTTCGTCCTTTTAGCATTTAAGTTTGTACCATACAGTGCTAATGTTACCTGTAGTCTCATAGTAGTCTCTTGTTTCACATACTTACTTTTTTTTTTCTGATGGTTTATAAGCTTTTTGATTGAAGGTATCATGTTACTACCTACTTTATATTTTCAATCTCTATTTCCCTCTCCTATGTTATAAGAATATAGGCAGTGCATAATAAATACTGATTTACTCACTGTTAAATGTAGATTATTCCTATTTGAGTGGAGATCAGTAAACTTCATTGTATAGTAATTGAGCAGTGTTTGGATTTTTTAAGATGTTTTTAATGGTACTGATTTAATATTTTTGATTGTATTATGATTAGGATGGCCATGTTGAAGTAGCGAGGCTACTTCTCGACAGCGGTGCCCAGGTGAACATGCCTGCTGATTCATTTGAGTCACCATTAACTTTGGCTGCATGTGGTGGACATGTGGAACTTGCAGCTTTACTTATTGAAAGAGGGGCTAGCCTGGAAGAGGTCAATGATGAAGGTTATACACCATTGATGGAAGCGGCTCGAGAAGGACATGAAGAAATGGTGGCATTACTTCTAGGTCAAGGTAACCATATCTGTCAATACACTGAAGAACAAATGTGTAAAAATTTTATAAAATTCGATTTTAGTATTTCACCTTTCTAGTAGAGTTCCAATGAGATGTTGTTACACAAACTAATGATAAAGTATTTACTGTGAAAATGGCTCTCATACTGTGTTAAACGAAATTGAAAAAACTTCTTTAATATAGAGCTTTCAGAGACATCATGAGCTATATGTGAATGAAAAAGAGAACTGGTGTTGGCAAGATTTGTGGGTTAAATAGGGGAATATAAGAGTCAACATTTCTCAAAGGTAATAGATGAAGAGAATGTATTCCTTTGGGGGTAGAATACCTATCAATAAATATTTAATAGAGCTAATGTTTTATAAAACAGTATGGGAAGCCATGCAGTAAAGACTAACTTGATGACAGTGCAAGAATGCACACACATTAGAAGCTGTCAAGGGGCTCAGTACATAAACTTCTCTTTTGGGAAAAGTAAAACAATTACTTCACTATGTTATCTTCTAAGATATCTTCAGTTTAGAAGTAATCTCCTATCTCTATATTCGTAGCATGATTTTGTTTTTCTTTCATTAGTAAGATTTTGTCTGGACAAATTTAAGAGGAATGATACTTTTTAAAAAAAATTCTGTTTTTATTTAGAGGTAATGTTAACTAGCATTTTAAAAGGTAGGTTTTGGAGCAAAGTTTGTAGATTGAATCAGAACTCCAGCGCTTGCCAATTTTGTAACTTTAGGCAAGTTTCTAACCTTCTGTGCCTCAGTTTTCTCATCTGTAGGGTTGTGACAGTTAAACGTATGTATAAAACTCATAGAACAGTTCTTGTCATATAGTGCCTGTTAAATGTTAGCTATAGTGATGGTGGTAGTATTGATGACAATAATGTTGTGACCTTGTATAAGTTAATTAACCTAAGTTTCCTTAGCTGTAAAATGGAACTAATAATAATAATACCTAAACAATTTGTAAAATGCTTTGATGTTGCCTGGGAAATAGTAAGAGCTTATTGAATATTAAGATTTTTATTATCATCATCATTATCATTATTATGAATATCTTTGTTATTTTTGAATCATTATAATGAGAGGATGTAGCTTATTTTTTTTGAGTTCTTTTGTCACCTGACTTGTGCCTTTTGGCTGAATAAGCCTGTATTTCAGCTGTGATACATCATATCTGGATGTGGTTTTAACAGTTTTATTTATTTTTATTTTTAACTGCCTTAGGAGTTAGGAGAAAGGCAATTTCTTATTTAGTATAGTAATATAAATGTTCATTTTTGAGATATAGTAAGAAACAATCATGTTTTTCATATATCTGGAATAAGTTAATGACTTTCTTTAAATAATTAGAATCTTTATTTTAGGAGCAAATATCAATGCACAGACAGAAGAAACTCAAGAAACTGCCTTGACTCTGGCTTGCTGTGGAGGCTTTCTGGAAGTGGCAGACTTTCTAATTAAGGCAGGAGCGGATATAGAACTAGGGTGTTCTACCCCTTTAATGGAAGCTGCTCAAGAGGGTCATTTGGAGTTAGTTAAATACTTATTAGCTGCAGGTAGGCATTTTTGTATTTGGGAGAAGTTTTTTACATGATTTATCTAAGTAAAAATGTCATAATGCAAATATTTTTATGATGTTATGATACACTAAATGTGTGCGTTTAAAAAAAATGATATATCTTTGTATGTATTCTGAGCAGTTTACCTTACTGCTCTTTGAAGTATCTGCAGCTTTAATTTCAAGCAGTTTTGTTTGTAATTTTTTTCTTTTTAAAAATGCCTACAGTATTCTCTATTTCTAGAAATGAATACGGTTTTAATTTGTTTAATTTGGGGAGATAGGACTTACCCAGAAGAAACTTTTATTTCCATCATATAGGTCTTATGGCTCTTGTATTAAGTCTGTGTATTATTTGTTGACACTACTACAGGAGCTAACGTTCATGCAACAACAGCAACAGGGGATACAGCACTAACATATGCCTGTGAAAATGGTCATACTGATGTAGCAGATGTCTTACTTCAGGCAGGCGCAGATCTGGTAAGCTGTGTTCACTTTTTAAATCTTAATACTTAAAAATAAGAAATTTTTAATTATGGAGATTCTAGACAAAAGGTATCTCTTTACGTTTAGTTTTATGTTGGCTTTTTTGCCATTCTTTCTTTCACTTAGTCACATTTTTTTCCACACTGTTTAGTGTCCATTCTTATTTTCCTTAATAGGGTTGTTCACTGCATTATCCCTTATTTTCCAAAGAAAAAGGAAATTTTTGTATTACAGATCTTAATGCAGATTAATTTTCCCTTAGGTATTTATTTAACTATTTTTAGAAGACTTTCTGATTTGGTATAAAAAGGCAAATGTGGCTTAGAGGAACTTTAGTATTGCTTAGGAAATAAATTATGCCTACAGCATTCAGAACATTATTAAATAATAAAAGAGTTTAAAACATAAATACTTAATAATCTTTTCCCTCAAGTACTTTATAATTTCAGAAAATATAATAGGTGACATAACGAGATGTGGTAGTGAAAGTGCAGAGTAAAGAAGCTTAGAAAATGTAAAGCAATCATCTGACATATTGTTTTGGGGATGGCGAAAGTTTAGAAAGATAGATATAATTTTGTGGCTAAAGAGTATTTTAATTGGAAAAAAATGTTATGAGTGAAGCCTGAGAGGTAAGGAAGCATAAAGCAACTGTGTGTGGGTAGAATAGGTGGTCTTCTAGTCTAGCATGTGGGGGAATAGGAATAAGACATCAGCCTATAGGAATAAGGCTGATTTTAGTTAAAATATTGGCACCCATATATTTATGGGCCTGAGATTCTAAGATTAATAAGCAACTGTGCAGTTTCCTTCATAGTTTATGACAAATTCAAATGCAGACAGCAGTAAGCCCGCCTTCAGTAATTAATTTTATAGACAGAAATTTATAATTTAAACTCTCTTGTCATTTATGAAAATAGAATGTTGAATTAGATTATTGTTGGGGCCACTTACTGTTAGCACTAAGTCTAACAGGAGATATAAGCACGCAACTAACTAGAATGTAATGTGTATAATTAGTGCTTCAAGCTTGTTAGAGCTTTCTTCCGTGTAAAAACCGTATTCCTAGTGTTTGCCACTATGGCTCTGAAACACAGCAGTGTATTTTTTAGTACTTGGTTAGTTGATGACAATTAGAAAAACTTAGGATATGGCTTAAGAGAAAAATCAGAAACTGTTCATTTCTTTAAAAATAAAAAGAATTTTAAATGCTGTACAAAATGTACTTTTTCTCAAATCTTTATTTTCTAAGATCTGAAAATTTTACCAGTAGTGTTGTTCTCTGCTATTTAGTAATCACAAGTATGCAGTAGAGTGTCCATCCTTTTGGGATCCAGAAAGCTCATGTAGCATCTTAGAATTAATGGTTTTAGAAATACTTGTTATCATTTTTATATAAGGGAATCTAAAGATAATAGGAAGTCTATAAAGAGATGGTAATGATGCACTTACTGAAATTCATAGAGGTAGGATGCAGACTCATGAGAGGAAAATAACTGAGTGGATGAGGATACTGCTCATTACATTGATTGTTCGGAGAAGGCCTTGTCAGAGTACCATACATGCATAGTCAGGTACCACAATTCATTGTGTAGAGAGAGGAACAAATTACTCAGATGCATTTAGATGAGGGCATCCTGATCACATGATTATAAGTTAAGTTTTAAAATTATTTCCAGTGCTTACTTTGGCAACATATATACTAAAATTATTTCCATAAGACAAGTTTATAATTTGAGATTATTTTTAATTTAGAAATGTATTTCTTAATTTTTTTCAAAGTATATTTAAATATTTAGATTCAGAAATTAGTCCAGTTATTTTCCTTTTGATTTCTATGAAAAAGAACACTTGTTCACTGGCAATTAAGTCTGGTTTTTGTTTTTGTTTTTTAAACAGGAGCATGAATCTGAAGGTGGAAGAACTCCTTTAATGAAAGCTGCAAGAGCTGGTCATGTTTGTACTGTTCAGTTCTTAATTAGTAAAGGTAGGTTTGTATAAAACAGTTGTTATTTTTCTCAAAATTGTTTTCCCCTACCTTCATTTAAAGATGTAAGGGTAAAGTAGTTGAGGGTGAGAGGTTATCATATGAGGAGGGATGCTATTGACATTTAATGAGTGGATAGTTGATAAACATCCTGCAATGCACAGACCAGCTTCAAACTACAAATAATTGTCATACCAGGTAGCACACTTGTTGAGAAACACTTACATAAAGGGAAGGGAAATTTCTCTATGTAAAAACTGAGGATTTAGGTAACACACTCTGCTGTGTTCATGTAATACAGTATTATATTGAAACCTGGAATTTTACAATGTTTCTGCCACTAAAAAAAATTTGTGGCAAGTAATATTTCTACTATTTCCCCAGTTCTGTGTTTCCTTTCTTATAAAATATAGAGAGATGGTTATAAATATAGTACAAGAAATATTCACAATTGAAATGTGACAAAAATAGCAAATTGCATGAGGATTTTCATTCATGATCAGAAATTTTAGTTTGAATACCAAAGACCTTAATGACCAAATAAAATAAAAGGGAGTATGTTATTATTCTCTTTAAATTATTTCTTATGTGTTTACTATGAAAGTTCTAGTTGAGACAGTTTTTCAGAGTTCATCTTTTTTTTTTTTTTTTTTTTTGAGACAGTCTCACTCTGTCACCAGGCATTAGCCTGGAGTGCAGTGGCCGATCTTGGCTCATTGCAACCTCAACCTCCTGGGTTCAAGTAACTCTCCTGCCTCAGCCTCCTGAGTAGCTTGGACTACAGGCACACACCACCATGCCCAGCTAATTTTTTTTTGTATTTTAATAGAGACAGGATTTCACTGTGTTGGCCAGGATGGTCTTGATCTCTTGACCTCGTGATCCACCCTCCTCTACCTCCCAAAGTGCTGGGATTACAGGTGTGAGCAACCGTGCCTGGCTTGTATTCTTAAGTATAGGAGAGTACAGATTTTACTTTTGATTTTGCATTGATAAAAGAAAGAGGAAGCCAAGTGTGGTGGCTAACCCTCTAATCTCAGCACTTTAGGACCCTGAGTCAGGAGAATCCCTTGGGTCCTGGAGTTCAAGACCAGCCTGGACAACATAGTGAGATTCTCTCTCTACAAAAAGTTATAAAATTAGTCAGGCATGGTGGCTTGCACCTGTAGTGCCAGCTAGTTGGGAGGCTGAGGTAGGAGGAGCACTCGGGCTCAGGAATTCAAGGTTATAGTGAGCTATGATTGTGCCACTGTACTCTAGCCAGGGTGACCAAGTTAGACCTTGTCTCAAAAAAAAAACAAAAGTATAGGCTTTATACAATTTTAAAAGGCAATAATACACCATTTTCTTCATATAATAATAGTAAAGAAATCTCAAGTTTCTAATTGTTTATAGGTAAAGAAAATTCGAAATAATTTACCAGTCAAATTACTTTAAACATTTTGAACATGCATGGATGATATATATTCATAACAGTATTCTCAAGCATGGAATTACATACATGATTGCTGTTCCTTCACTGGTTAATATTAGTGAATTTGATTCCAGTTTCTATTATTTTATTTCCATTTCCCAGATTACCTACCACTGTAATCCAAATTAGGGATAGAGGTCAGGCACAATGGCTCATGCTTATAATTTTAGCATTTTGGGAGGCCAAGGTGGGAGGATCACTTGAGCCCAAAAGTTTGAAACCGGCCTAGGTAACATGGCGAGACCCCGTCTCTACAAAAACAACAAACAAATAAATTAGGGATAGATTCCTATTTGGGAGTAGGAGTAAATTACACATTTTCATTGTCAGGTACTTCCCAATAGGAAAAAAAAATGGTACTACTCTACTACTTCATTTAGTGTTTGTTCTCTACATATTTAACCCATAGAGGGTAGTATAGTTCATTTTTATTGAGTCATCTTTTCTACTGAAGAAGTTAAAATACAAATAAAACTTCATATTTTACTTTTAATAGTTATTACGTTAGGAGTAATAGGTACTTTTGGTATCTTTTACTGGTACATACTGAAATCTTTTCAAATTATATCATGTTTGTCTGGGATTTATTTACTTTAGAGTAGTTCAATATGGGAGAGGAGAATTAATGTAGGGTATTTGTGAAATGAGATTGGCCATGTGTTTATAGTCATTAAAAGTCAGTAATAGGTATGTGGAGCCTCATAATACTGTTTTCTCTACTCTTCATGATTTTTAAATTTAACATCATTTTAAGAAAAGCCATTCTACTAATATGATTTTTCATCCCTTTTCTGTTTTAGGAGCAAATGTGAATAGAACCACAGCTAATAATGACCATACTGTACTGTCCCTGGCTTGTGCAGGGGGTCATCTGGCAGTGGTGGAACTACTTTTGGCTCACGGGGCAGATCCTACTCACCGTTTGAAAGTATGTAACTCAAATGTTTGTGCAGCATCGTGAATTAATATTTCCCTTTTGGTCATTATTACAACACAGCATGTACAAGCTCCATTCATAATAGCATTCTAAGTGAAAATAGCATTCTAAGTGTAAATTTTCTCCATTTTTACTTGAAGCACTCTTTACTAAACCTATGATTTTAATGTGTCTGGGACCTGTTGGCTTTATTTTCCTAAGTGATTCTGTAATTTAACTTATTTTTCTTTGCTTTTTTTTCCCCTCCATATTCATTCTTTTAGGATGGTTCAACTATGTTGATAGAAGCAGCAAAAGGTGGCCATACAAGTGTTGTTTGCTATCTCTTGGATTATCCCAATAACTTGCTTTCAGCCCCTCCACCAGATGTCGCTCAGTTAACTCCCCCATCCCATGATTTAAATAGGGTAAGATTTTAAAAATTAAAGCTTTTTATGTTATGTCTTCTTTATCCTAACTCTTTTACTTATAGTATCTGTATAAATTAGGCTATTTTTTGTTGTAATATGTAGTTCTCTTTATAAATACGTACTTGATACAGTTAATGAACATCTGGTATAATATCCTAGATGATATAATTATGCTTTACTTTTTAAAGGTCATAATAACAACTTGAATTCAAAGCCCACTAAAAAATGTCATGGAAAACATTTTGGCACCAACATATTTTAAGTAAATATGTCATTGTCTAAGATGGCATATTAAAAATATTTTGAAAAATCTCTGTAATTTATTTTTTATTTACAACATATTACTTAATGGATTGTGTAGGACACTAATAATCATTTAGTGTCCTTTGTCTTAGGCTCCTCGTGTACCGGTTCAAGCACTGCCCATGGTTGTTCCACCTCAGGAGCCTGACAAACCACCTGCCAATGTTGCCACCACTCTTCCCATCAGGAATAAAGGTCAGTTATACTTCTAAAGATGGTTTCTTACTTGGTGTCCAGGTAAAAATAAGATTACCAAAAAATAGCCATTTCTACCAACAAGGAATTTTACTAAATTGGCATTATTAAGTCTTTTTAACCCATGATAAAAGCATGTTATTGCGAGAAAAAAATAGTTAATAGCACCAATTCGTGCTAGAATTAGAAGTTTTAGCATGAGAAATTCAGATGCTCATCTTTGATGCAATTCTGATTATCCATGATTTATTTCCTCTAATAACTAGTAATTTTTATTTGTGTAAAATGTTAAGCTGGGTATAGTTGAGTGACATTTTCATAAATTATTTACTTAAATCTCTGCAGTGATAAAGGCAAAAATTAACAAAATGTATTAAATATTAGAAATTTATTTTAGAATGACTGGCTTAATAAGATTTTATATCTGGGATACCTTTTCTTAATCAATAATTCGGTTACTTCAGATATGCTTGTTTATTTCTCTAGAATTCTGAGGTCCATATTTGACTTGTGGATTTATACCATGCACGTTCTTAAGTAATGTCCCTGAACATTTTATACCTACCAGTTTGAATTAGTTTTTCTTTTTAAAAGTTTTATCTGAAGAAACAATGCAGTTTTTATTTTTCGGTTTTTGGCTACCTATATTCTTTAATGAACAAGAATGCTATATTTTCACCAGCTCTTTTCAATCACTACCATCAACTTAGAGCCTTGGCACCTTTTTCAGTTGATATAGCAAACAATTGATTGCTATACTTTTAGCCAGATCTGTCTATTCACCTGGCTATCAGAAGATACAGTGGATGGCATAGTCCAGCATCTTTTCTTCCAGGGAGACTGAATCCCAATTCTCTACTGGCCAGATAGCTGTGTGAATATGTGAATTTATATCTTGCCTATATTAGTTTTGAAGATATTAGGCCCCAACAAAGATGTATATTTTAGTTGGATTTAATTTCTTGTTACTTCTCAGTGGTTTGGGTACTCCTTGTGTGTATGTGTGTGTGTTTAAAAGGCACAGTCTATGAAATGTGAAAAAACCTGACTTAGAGGTCTGTTTTCTCTTTACCCTAACAATTTAGCATTATTATTCTGTTCTTATGATGAGTTTTAACATCTTTATGACCATATAAAATATCTACACATAGCCCTAGATGTTACTTTAATTGCACACTTAGGTATCACAAACCTGCATTCCTCTGTTGTCTAAATTTAGCCATGTGATATTTTTAAGATTCTGAATTTAATTTACAAAGATTTTGCACATAAAATACATACATTTTATATTTGTGAAAAAGAAGGTGGATTTGCTTTTAACTTTCTAACAGTGCAATTTCACCTTTTATGGATATGATTACTTAGTGCATAACTGTTGGCACTAAACCTCCCAACAGTAACTCTGTAATGAGGATGCCATTCATGTGCACTTCTGAGGGGGTTTCTTTTTCACACAGCTGCTTCTAAACAAAAGTCCAGCAGCCATTTGCCAGCAAACAGCCAGGATGTACAGGGTTACATCACCAATCAGTCTCCAGAGAGCATTGTAGAAGAGGCTCAGGGAAAGTTAACAGAACTGGAACAGAGGATAAAAGAAGCCATAGAAAAGAATGCACAGCTGCAGTCCTTGGAACTGGCTCATGCTGACCAACTTACCAAGGAGAAGATCGAGGAGCTGAACAAAACGAGGGAGGAACAAATTCAGAAGAAACAAAAGATTTTGGAGGAACTACAGAAAGTAGAACGAGAGTTACAACTGAAAACTCAGCAGCAGCTAAAAAAGCAGTATCTAGAGGTTAAAGCTCAAAGAATTCAACTTCAGCAACAGCAGCAACAGTCTTGCCAACACCTGGGATTACTAACTCCTGTTGGGGTTGGAGAACAGCTTTCCGAGGGAGACTATGCACGGTTACAGCAAGTGGATCCCATTTTGCTTAAGGATGAACCCCAGCAGACTGCTGCTCAGATGGGTTTTGCACCAATCCAGCCTCTGGCGATGCCTCAAGCTTTGCCTCTGGCGGCAGGTCCCTTGCCTCCAGGGTCCATCGCAAATCTTACAGAACTGCAAGGAGTGATAGTTGGACAGCCAGTACTGGGCCAAGCACAGTTGGCAGGGCTGGGGCAAGGAATTCTGACAGAAACACAACAAGGGTTAATGGTAGCCAGCCCTGCTCAGACCCTCAATGACACGCTGGATGACATCATGGCAGGTGGGTTTATATTGTTATGAGCAGGTATCAAATATGATTTGCTTAAGGCGAGTAAGAATGTACCCAAATTTTTTGCCGTTACCCAACTTGAGAACTATTTTTGGACTCCTGACTCATGTCTATCTTTAGAAATATTAGTTCAATCTCAGAAGTTCTCAAAAGAATACAGGTGGAATTAAAGATTAGCTCATTCAATACAAATGACTGAAGCTTTCTGGCTTAGCTTGGTAGTTTGAGTATGTAGGATTTTCAGTAGTGGGGTTGATGTTTGATTTTTGTTTTTATTTTCATTTTTTTCCTTTAAGTTAAGAATACTGAGACTGAATTTTGGCTTTTTGCTTCTGTATTCACACCAATAAACTGGGAAGTTGATAGAAGTTGAAGTGCAAAACTAGTAGGACACATCAGGAAGCTTATTTATGAACATAAATCCTTTATAACCTAATGTATCAGACTTCAAACCTGATGGATATTAAAAAAAAAACACTTTGCAAAATTAATAAACTACCAAACCAAATAGTTTAATTATACTGTATGCAAGTGATTTTGTCCCCTGTGAATGTAAATGTGTAGTCTCTTTCTAACTGTATCATGAGAAGATGTGGCCCCCTGAAAGATCATAAATGATATATTTTAGATGTGTAGCCAGATAAATTTCATTCCATTATAACTAGTTTCATTGGCAAGAAGATACATTTTAGAAGGTTGTTTTAATGTTTCTAGTTTTTGGTACTTATTTTTTGTAAGTCTTGTAACAAAGTAATGGGATTCGATTTTATAGGGTTGTAAGCCATAACAATGCTATACTGAGAAGGATTTGCTTCATTAAAAAACAAAATTTGAGAAGGAAAACAGAAGAATGAAAGGTATAAACAGTGAAATGTTGGTAACTTCCATCTGATCTCTTCCCCTTTTTTATTCATTGGTCTGTATTTAAAGGATGATTTTTCTAATTTTAAAACTGTTTGAGAAGCATTACATATGATGAGATAATACATTTTTTTCCAAGTTTCATCTTTTAAAAGAATAATAGAAAACTAAATTGTATATTGTTTAGATATTTAGCTAACATTCAGATACTAAGAAGCCAGCTGAGACAGATTTTATGCTTATAAATATCTGTAAAGTTTACTAGTTCTCCTTTAATAGCACCTCAATAGTTATAACATGTGGAATAAAAATTTCTGCTAGTCTAAGGGTTAAATAACCACATTGGAAAAATACTAGTAATAATTAGTAGTAAGAATTGTACCACTCTTATTGATGAGTGTAAAATTTTTCTGTAGATTTGAAAATCATTACTAATTATGACTAGCTGATTATAATAATTGGGAATAGAATTTTAAAAATATTAAATATCCTGTGAAAGTTGATTAACCCTAAATTTGATACTATGTCCATGGCCATGAATTTATTAATAATAGTGTCCTATTATGTCAAACTACCAAAGGATGTATAGAGTTAAATATTACTTATCCACTTAATAAAGAATAGGCATAAATAGTAATGGATGTTTAAAATTTTTTTTTAATATAATATCAGAGTTTACCTGATGTGCTTGGGCATAGTTGTCAACAATGATTTACTAGTTGTACAGTTTTGTATGCTGATCAGAATTATCAGAAGTTTGTAAAGTATCTTTTCTTTTGATTCATACTTGAAACAAAAACAGTTCTCTTATATGTGTTCCCAATGTTCCATATAAACATTTTTTAAGTGCACATAACTTTTTAGGAAATACAACAAATGCTTGTCATAATACAGAAATATTTTACTTTTTTATTATGCTCATTTCTATGGGGAGAGGAAAGATAGCCAGGAGGAAGAAGAGTAGGATTAAAAATATTTGGCTACTTACCTGCAACTCATCCCTGACAACAGGCATGTACACATGCACACACAAACACATACATTTATGCACTCACTTTTGCAGCCTCAATCTTAAATTTCTGTAGTAGGATGTATTCTTTCACTTGCTTAAAGATGATTTCCATTTCTTTCTTGGGGCTTTGAAGTATATTATAACCTCATTAGTCTCATCATCTTCTTTCCCTCCCTCTAGTACAGTCCCTGCTCTTAATTTCTTAGTCTTCATTTATTAGACTTATATCATAAAATTTGCTGACCAAATTGTCTGTCTTTCCTGTTCTTCACACATGCCAAACCAGAATCCGCTCCCTGTTTAACCTGTCTCAACACCTTGCCTTTGCTATCATCTCCAGTTCCCTTTTTCCTATGTTGACGTTAAAACTTTTCTTACATGTGGTTCTCCCTCTCTAAATCTAACCCTGAAATGAAGCCTCACATGTAAAAATTTTTACATAGTTCCTTCAGTACCTACATATTTACATTTGTTACTTTTACTTGTCAAGAATGCATGTGTGATTGACAGTTACTTAATTTTAGTAAACCAGTTTCATAGGTACCCCAAAGGAAATGATGAGATAATTGATTTTTCCTATCTCCTTTTAGATGAGGTGATGAGAACAACCAATTTGACTTAAAAAAAAAACCTGTAATTTTAGTAGGTTTTTTAAAAGAAAATATTCCAGTTGAAATGTAAATTATAATTCAGTCATTTAACAATAAAGTTTAGATTTTTTTTAACCTGTTTAGTATTATAAAATAAAATTTAGTGATTCAGACAGACTGGTGTTCATCCTATTTAAGCGACTTTTTGTATTTAACATTTTTACTGTGAAAATCCAATCAAAGGAGGTATGGAATCAATTTTAAGAGCTCTAGATTTTATATTATTTTGAAATTTATATCTACAATATGTACATTTAAATTATCTTGATCTTTTATAACATACAAAACTATCAATATGGAGTAACAATATCAAGATCAGTAGATGATCAATTTAATATATTAGTATATGACCTTTTCTATTGGTCTGGATCCTTAAGGATTCAAACAGTGTTTTGTTTTGTTTTGTTTTGTTTTGTTTTCTCCTTCGTTTTTCCTTTGGCTTTTAAGTGGACTTAAAAATGTATAATTATAGAATGTGTGTTGCTATAATGTATAGTATATGTTTGTGCCTGAACTAAGGATTTTATGTAAAATAGATTTCTTAAATTATAATCATGTTTATAATTGTTACAATAAGATAAATTTTAGTTTTATTCTAGGCAGGATCTTAATCTCTTTTGCCTGGTTTCAGATCCAGTTGTGAATCATGATTGTTTTCTGTCTGATGTAGTTGATAACTACTTTGGTAATACACATCCACACTGCTGTTGACCAGTCAAAGATAAATGCCCAAACTTTAATATTATAGCATATTTAGTGCGGTTGGGGGATTTGATGTTCACATACCAACTCCAGAAACAAGGTCATGAAAGAATAAAGTACCCTCAGCTGAATCTACAGTATATCCTATGCCAGCATATTTGGAGTCCTTCCATCTCTAGTACTGACCAGAATAGCCTTTTCTTAAGTTGCACGTTTTGGTGAAAATAGTATCACAGCAATATCATACTTAGAAGAAGAATAATCCATATTTGAAGAATGTTTGTGTGCATACATTTATTTCTACCCTAATCTTTTAATTTTGTCCTAAGTCAGTGTGATTGCTGGATTTGTTGGTGAGCATTTTAGTCCCCTCAGAAACAATTCTTTATATGAGCAACTACACTTCTATATGAGGAACAAATTTTCGTATTTGAATATCCTGTCATACAGAGGGCTACAATGCACAATATTACTGTATTCCTGTCTGCAGTTAGCAAAACAGTAGGAAGTGTTTTTCTCCCTCTCCAAAAGTAATATTAATTTTACTAGTTCTAGAATATAAGGTGTGAAATTGGCAAGTAAAAACCACATATTTCCCCTTCTGATCTTGACTGTTTGTCCTTTTGATCCCTTTTCTAAGTAAGATATAATGGAAAACTTTCCATTTGCATTTATATTTAATACATAAACATTTTTATTTTCAGGGTTATTTTGAATTAAGGTTTTACAACTACTTAACATAACAGGGGAATTTGTTTTTCAGTTGGATTGTTGTTTAGAAAATGAGTTACTCAATATACATTATAATTTTAGACTGTCATCAGTCAACAAGAACTAGGAAAATTAGTTATTAGTGCTATAGTAGTCTTCCTGTAAACATTTCCTTTTAAGAAGTCTTTAAATATTTTCGAGTTAATATGTCTTACTATTACTTAACAATGTTTCCTCCTTATTAAGTGTAGTTATTTTGTTTAACAGCAGTCAGTGGAAGAGCATCTGCAATGTCAAACACTCCTACCCACAGTATTGCTGCTTCCATTTCCCAACCTCAGACTCCAACTCCAAGTCCTATCATCTCTCCTTCAGCCATGCTTCCTATCTACCCTGCCATTGATATTGATGCACAGGTAAGTCCCACATTTAAGAGAGAGGCTTCTTCACTGGAATTATGCCATAAATACAAACATTAACTTTTAAAGATTTAAACCATGAAAGATTGCTTTGTCTCTAGGCAAAGTCTTGAGCCACAGTTTTAAATTAATTAGAATTCACATTTAAAAAATAAAATGCCAAATACAGATTATTAATGATAATTATGTGATGGTCTGGTTTCCAAGGTCATCAAGTAACCTTTTTTTTAAAAAAAAAAACTTTAGAAGAGGATATAAAAAAAATACTAATAATTAGCAGAAGATATGGTTTCAAATATATAATGGATTACATGTAAAAGGAAATGGGTTCTAATATAAAATAATATATTCTAATATATAATTTATATTTTTAGATGTGATATACACGATTTATACCATGTATACGTGGTCATCAGGACAGAGAAATGTTTGCAGTTTAGTTTTTGTATTTTGATTAGTACCTAGGGTTTGTACATTATAAAACTTTTAGTTTTATATGTGATCATTTCTTTATAATAAAGCCTGAATTTTAGCAGAGGGAACACTGGGAGAAAGAAGAGTGAGTGTGTGTGTATGTTTGTGTTGGATGGACCATTAAGTGCATGTACTCTTAACCTATTAAAAATAAAGTTTAAAATGTTTCTCAGTAACACTATGGAAAAGGAATTTTATTTCTGTTCTTACTTGTTGCCCAAAGGTCTGTTGTTTTATATGTACTGACTTTTTTGTTGTTAAGTACTTAAAATTGCTAGGGATTGACTATTTTTAAGGAATCGTCTCATCTAATCCTCAGACCATTCATGAAGTAGCTACTCTTAATACCCATCTCCCTGAAGAAGACACTGTAGCTATGAGAGAGATTAAGCATTTTTTTAGTTACGCCATTTAGGCTACGAAGCAGCAGGGCTGGGAATATTCAAGTCTGACTTCAAAGACACAACTCTTTCTTTTTTCTTTTCTGACGGGTTCTCGCCATGCTCTCAAGCTGGTCTCAAACTCCTAGGCTCAAGTGATCTTCTCGTCTCAGCTTCCCTGAGTAGGTGAAATTACAGGTGTGCCATCACACCCCAAAGACACCACTCTTAACTACCACCTACATAGCCTTTAAAAAAAAAATTGAGACATTCATGTGATGAACCATAGTTATTTAAGTTTAATATTGATAGCATTGCAGAATTGGTTTGAACTTGGCATTGAATTTGCATTCTTTTTCTCCAATCTTTTTTGCTTTGAGGCTATCATGTTGTTATTATTTTTTCTTTTGAGGTGGAGTCTGACTCTGTCACCCAGGCTGGAGTGCAGTGGTGAGATCTGGGCTCACTACAACCTCTGCCACCTGGGTTCAAGTGATTCTTCTTTCTCAAACTCCTGCCTCAAACTCCTGAGTAGCTGGGATTGCAGGCGCCCACCACCACACCCAGCTAATTTTTTGTACTTTTAGTAGAGATGGGGTTTCACCATGTTGGCCAGGCTAGTCTCAAACTCCTGACCTCAGGTGATCCACCTGCCTCAGCCTTTCAAAGTGCTGTGTTTGCAAGCATGAGCCACTGCCCACGGCCGAGACTGTCATGTGCACCGAGAAGTAGTTTTCCGATTTTTGTGAGCCCAAGAATTGATCCATTAGCAAAAGTAAGTATTTCACCAAAATGTGAAAAGATTTCTTTATAAAAATGTTTTTAAACAGGCACTAGAAAAAGTTTGTCTAGGTATTGATTTTACTGAATATGAAATTATTATAGTGATGGTGAAATGATTTTTCCTGGGTGTATCATTCACCAACTATCACTATATTATAAATTAATTCTGAGAAGTTATGTGTAGTTTTTTAATTAAAATTTTTTTAAACTTACATTTTAAACATAGTAGGCATGCTTTTATAGTAAGATTTGAATATGGCTCCTTAAACATTTACTCTTTATTTATCTGATCTATACATCAAGGTTTGTCATTTGAGTTAGCCAAACCTGAATTAAACTACTCTCTGTGGAGTTTTACCATACATATTTAGTTAGACATTAAAAAGTTCCTACCTTGGAAAAAAATACTGTTCAAAAATAATTGTTCACATTTTTTTCCTTTTTTTATATTTGTTTTTAAAATTTACTAGTTTTTGGCCAGGCATGGTGGCTTACACCTGTAATCCCGGCACTTTGGGAGGCCAAGGTGGGCAGATCACCTAAGGTTAGGCGTTCCAGACCAGCCTGGCCAACATGACAAAACCATGTCTCTACTAAAAATACAAAAATTAGCTGGGTATGGTAGCGCACGCCTGTAATCCCAGCTGTTTGAGAGGCTGAAGAGGAAGAAGTGCTTGAACCCAGAAGGTAGAGGTTTCAGTGAGCTGAGATCATACCATTGCACCCCAGCCTGGGCAACAGAGTGAAACTGTGTCTCAAAAAAAAAAAAAATTTACTAGTTTTTATATCAAGCAGATACTTAAGTAATTAAAAATGAAGATTCTTTTGTATTCAATCCATCTGAAGTTTTTGTTTTGATAAGAAAATAAAAATTTTGTGGGCTCTTAAACATAGTAGGTACTTTGATTATGTATATAATATGCTACCATTAAAGCATTCTACTTTAAAATTCATGCATTCCACTTGTTCATATAAACTAGTTTTAAATAGGTATTTATTTTACTGATTATTCTCATTTATTGAATACCATGAAGTGCTATCCCATTTTTTAAGCTTACATATAGCCTGACTGGGTTAGAAAGCAAGATATTAAGGATTTCAGTGGTTGTGGAAGTTTAAAAAAAAAGTTCAGCTCTTAAAGTCCTAGTAATCAAAGTAATTTAATTATATTAAGAGTAATTAATAGATGATGTACCCCCCCACTTTTTTTTTTAAGGCGGGATATCACTCTGTTACCCAGGCTAGAGTGCAGTGGCACCATTACAGCTTGCTGTAGCCTTGAACTCCTGAGCTCAAATGATCCTCCCACCTCAGCCTCAAAGTAGCTAGGAGTACAGGCATTCCACACCACTTCTGACTAATTTTTTGTAGAGATGGGGTTTTGTTGTGTTGCTCAGGCTAGTCTCGAACATCTGGCCTCAAGTGATCCTCCTGCCTCAGCCTCCCAAAGTGTTGGAATTACAGGCATAAACCAATGTACCCAATATATATACTTCCTTTTTTAAAAACAGTTCAGTGCTTTTTCACCTGAATTTCAGCTCATAAAAGTTGCCTTTCCTTCAGTATTGCCATCTGTGGCGAAGAATACTATTTATTCTTTTTCATTTTGTATCACTGTTATAAAATTGAGTATTCATGTTGATATTTTTACATTAAATATATTTCATTTTTTATAAGCCAGAATTCATCATAGCAACCTCTGTTATGGTATGGAATGGTGTATATATTATGGCATCGTGGGCTAACTGAAATTTTCCTTAGAATGTAAACCTGAATGAGCTCTTAACGCTCCAGACATCTGTCTCCTTATTCAGATTTGGGACTTTCTCTTAGATATGTGACAAGTAATGTAACTTCTTGACTAATATAACTTTGTGCAGTATAATTTGAGTCAAAGGATCCTTCCTTTAAGTGGTACTTTGCCTTCTACAAAATCATCAGCTGTATTGTAATTATTTCCATGACCAATATTTGAAACACCTGTTTTTTTCTTTACCTTGTCATTATTAATATTAACCCAGCTTTCTATTTCAGACCATTTGTCTATTGATATACTGAGAAACAGAGTAATATTTCTTGCCATTTTGGGATTGTGTAGGTATTTTTAGGAAGATGGAAACCTCGCTTTGGACTTTTCCAAATTCTTTCATTATTGTCTTAAAAGATTATCATGTTAGTTGGTTTAATTTCTCCTTAATGCAGAAATACAATGGAGTTGCCAACTTTTAACTTCATTTCCACAAGGAATTTAAAGCTGCTTTCTTAAGTTTTCAATGTTTGTTTCTTGAAATCTCATAATACATTATTATGCTTCTCTCCTAGTTTGAACCTGAATTTGCCCAGTATAGTAATCACTAAGCTCCGTTGAGTCCTTTATTATCTTTGTCAACCCTAGAGTACTTAGTAGAATGCTTTGAATATAAAAGGTGCTTAATTAATGTCAGTTGAATTTATGTTTTGTAATGTTGGAAAAAATGTTTTACTAGTCCACTAAAACTTTCTGTGCTTATCTTTTGCAAATTTTGTGTACATCTCTTCATTTTCTGTTTGAGATTGACATAGCTTTCCTAAATTATTCTTTAAACCCTGGAAGAATTTTAGAAACCTTATAAGCTTCTTCGTAAAATTGACTCTTCTGCTGATTGCATATGCACCAAAGTAGAGTGAACATAAGACACAAACACTTAACATTAGATTCACCACAATCTGCTGTTTCTTAGGGCCCTTTTGTGATAATAGTGGGAAGAACAGGATTATGTTATCAAGAAGATCTTTCAGCTTTTTAAAGCCCATCTCTACCAGTTGTTAGTTTGTGTGGCCATCGGAAAGTTATTTATCAGACCCTTTATCTTTTTTTTTTTCCTGAAATCAGATATAATTTCTTCCTATAAACCTGAAATGAAGATCAGATACTCTAACACAATCAAAACTGTCACTCATTTAAGTTTCATGTCCTTCTCCATTGTTGTAGTTGGTGCATCTCTCCCTTGTGGCCATCCCTGATCTCTGCAGTCAGTAGCTCTGCTCTCTGCCAGCCTCTTCTGCAGAGCAGCTTTTGTGGTCTCCCTCTTCATCACTGACTAGTAGGCTTTTTCTTTTTTCTTGACTCTTACTGATTTTGCCTTTTGTCTTTTGTTTTTCATTTCTTATAATAGAATTTGGTCTTTAGAGTTATTTACATTCTGGGAGAATATGCTTTTCTATTTTGGGATTGTTATATACTTTCTACAAATACAATGTGTAAATGTAGTCAATGCTATATATAGTCCCTTGTTTATTATGTTTATTAGTAATAGTTTTTGAATCTGTGACTTTTACAGCTATTGCCATTCATTTTATTTAACTATCATTTATTGTTTCCTAAGTAAAGCATCACTTATAGGTAGAAAATACAAACATGAATAAGATGTGTTCCTTACCTCCCAGGAATTTATAGTTTCTGTGGGTGACAGACCTGTAAGGCAGATTGGTGATAAGTACTGTAATAGCGGTACATATGTGAAAATGAGGGAAATACTTAGAGCAACACTGTCTAGTTGAAAAATAAGGTGAGACACGTTTGTAATTTTAAATTCTCTAGTAGTCACATTAAAAAATGTGAAAAGAAATAAATGGAATTTTTATTTTTGAGTTGGAGTCTCGCTCTTCTTGCCCAGGCTAGAGTGCAAGGGCGTGATCTTGGCTCACCGGAACCTCCGTCGCCCAGGTTTAAGCAATTCTCCTGCCTCAGCCTCCCAAGTAGCTTATTACAGGCATGCACTACCATGCCCAGCTTATTTTGTATTTTTAGTAGAGGTGGGGTTTCTCCATGTTGATCAGGATGTTCTCGAACTCCTGACCTCAGATGATCTGCCCGCTTCGGCGTCCCAAAGTGCTAGGATTACAAGCGTGAGCCAACACACCTGTAGAATTTTGAAATATATTTTATTTAGCTTCATATATCCATAATATTGTTTTAACATGTAATCAGTACAGTTGCTGAGATAATTTACATTTTTACTTTATACTAAAAGTCTTCAAAATTTGATGGGCATGTTACACTTATAGCTGGAGTGATCAAATCATTTTGGTTTTCCTAGGATTTTCCTGTTTTAGCACCAAAAGTCCCTCATCCCAGAAACCTCCTCAGTTCCAGATTTGTCACCCTACTTATATCTAAATTTGGATTTCATTGGAAATACTTGATTGTATTTAGATTTGATTAAATGTGCAGTTGAAAAGATGAATTTACTCAAATTGTTTGAGACATCCTAAGTTTTCCAATAACCAGGTTGAATATCAGTTATTAAATTTAAAGTTAAATACAATTAAAAATTTAGTCCTTCTGTTATACTAGTCATATTTCAAGTGCTAATAGTCACATGTTGCTAGTAGAGTACTAAAAGTATCTAGCTGGAGGTGTTGGCACACACCTGTAAAAACAGCTACTCAGGAGACTGAGGCAGGGAGAATTGTTTGAACCCAGGAGGTGGATATTGCAGACAGCCAAGATAGCGACACTGCACTTCAGCCTGGGAGACAGAGCGATCTCAAAAAAAATAAATAAAAAATAAAAGTTTGAGAAATTAGACAGTTTGCTAGGTTAGCATTTAAACTGTAACAGAGTATGAACACTGGTAAATCTAGTGTTGGTCACTATTGTTATAAGAAGGCAGAAGCAAGCCATATAAGAGTTTCATGTCTCATAATGGTCTTTGTCTTTAAAAATACACAGTACAATTTGGATGTTTGGTTCCTTTGTATTTTGGAGCTTTGCTCTCAAACACAGCTAAGTTACTTGGAAACAATTTTTTTTATTTCAAGATCTAGTTTTCAGTTTGTTAGGTGGGTCCACAATTGCTAATTTGGCCCTACTACTGAAGATTCTACTTGACATCCTGTGTGTTTTGAGGTCTTTCTACTCTGGCTGGTGGGAACCAAACTATTCCTGGCCCCGTATGATCTCTGGGTATTATTCAGCCTGATTCTCTCTGGTGGTCCTTCCCTGGCCTTGGATAATTTCCTCATGCACGTGGGCTAATCAAAACTCAGCTGAAGATTTGACGAGAATACTCAGCACATCTCCAGAGTACCCTCTCTGTAGTGCTCTCCTCTTCAGTAATCTGCTGCATGAATTCTAGCCACCTTGACCTCTCCATATTCTGTCTTCTCACGTTGGGGAGACTGCCAGACTGTTTGGGTACTTGCTCTCTGCACTGTAGCCTGGAAAGTCTCCAGGCAGTAAGTTGGGTTAATCATTTCTGTCCTCAGGGGTCATCTGCACTGTCTATGTAGACACCATCGTTTCAAAGAGGTTTTTTTAAAAGTTATTTGAAATAGGAAAATAAATCTGATATATGTTTCTCCATTAATGGCCAAAAGCACAGGTGAATCACAATATTTCTTTCAATTTCTTTCATGTGATTGAAAGTCATACTTTATTTTTCTTGATGCTTGCTTTAAGAATTGCCCATAAAGTTCAAATATTTATTTGTAGCCTTTAAAAAAAAACCTCACAAGTTAGCTACTAATGTGGAAAAAATTGAGTAAACCTTTCTCTCCCCTCCCCTCCCCTCCCCTCTCCTTCCCTCTCCTCCTCTTCTCTTCTTTCTCTTTTTTCTTTTCTTTTCTGAGATGGAGTCTTGCTCTGTTGCCCAGTCTAGAGTGCAGTAATCTCAGCTCACTGCAACCTCTGCCTCTCAGTTCAAGTGATTCTTCTGCCTCAGCTTCCTGAAAAGCTGGAACTACAGGCATGTGCCACCATGCCCAGCTAATTTTTGTATTTTTAGTAGAGACAGGATTTTACCATGTTGGACAGGATGGTCTCCATCTCTTGACTTCATGATTCACCCACCTTAGCCTCCCAAAGTGCTGGTATTACAGGTCTGAGCCACTGTGCCTAGCCTTAAACCTTGCTTTTCAAATGCTTCATATTGTAGAGTGATACATACGTTATTTGTGTGCATTTGGTATGTTTGTATATTATGTATTTGATATTAACATCTTAAATTATTTAATAAACTAACCAAAAAATAATTTTTTATAGACCGAGAGTAATCATGACACGGCTCTAACACTTGCCTGTGCTGGTGGCCACGAGGAACTGGTACAAACACTGCTAGAGAGAGGAGCTAGTATAGAGCACCGAGACAAGAAAGGTAGGGCCTACTTTTATTTGTTTTTGGAATGCTGGTCAAAAAATCTATTTAGAAACATTATTTCTTAGTCCTGTTTTGAAGGTTATATATTTTGTTCCTTTGCTTAGCATCTAGTGAGAAGATCATTATTTTTCTCCAGGTTTTACTCCACTCATCTTGGCTGCCACAGCTGGTCATGTTGGTGTTGTGGAAATATTGCTGGACAATGGTGCAGACATTGAAGCCCAGTCAGAAAGAACCAAGGACACACCACTGTCCTTGGCCTGTTCTGGGGGAAGACAGGAGGTAATGTTTCCCCTTAGTGTAAATGTTTTCCTCTCTCTGTTTAGCAAATGTGTACTTTCACTTATATTATTTTTTCTATCAGAACAGTGCTTTGGCATTTATAGATTTATCACAATAACCAAAACTACTGTCTACTAACAAACAAATGAGTATCATTGTTAGCTGTAAGCTGTCTTGCCAGAAAAATCACACATTGTTCAGAATCCTGCTCATCTAAAAGTAATACTGCTATAGGAATCCCTGTTTATTGAATTTAGGGTGGGAGAAAGACTATTCCAAGTCAGATCAATAAGTCCTAATGTACAGGGCATATATTCACTCATCTTTGCCTGCCCTATGGTACATGGCGTTGAAGATACTTAATACCAGTCTCTGTTGCTGTCTATAAGATTAGTAGCGAACTAAGAATCCTCCATTTTTATGTGTTCTGAAAACTCTTGTCTTGCTTTGATTTTCCCCACCCTGTCTCAACGCTGGAGGCAAGGATTTTGGGTAAGATGGTAAGATTATACGACCTTTTGGTTTTTTAAGGAAACTAGAAAAACTGATAGAGATTAGCTAGACCCGAGAAAATACAGCTTTACACTCACTTGCGTATCTTGTGGATCTTATGGCATTTCATAATCAGCTGGATAACCCTTTTTTTTCTTTTTCAAATCCAGTCCTTTGTACAGAGGATATAAACCACATGTGTTGTCTCCATAGATGCCCTTCTCTATCAAGGAATTATTGAATCTTTGATTTAGAAAGCACATTAGGTCATTCAGATCAGTGTCTTACTCAGCTTTAAAATCTTTTTTTTCCTCTTTTTTATTTATAAGGTTTTCCTATTTATTAAGCCTGAAGTATGCCTTATTTGTTTCCCACAGTTCTTAGTTTTGTTCTTTAAACAAGTGGAAAGAGATTTATACCTTCTTCTATCTCCAAATATTTTTTTCCTCAAGTCAACTATTCTCTGTGTGAAACAAGTCCTGTTTTGATTGTTAGTCTGAGAATACCTTTTCCAAGGCCTTCACCATCATGACTATTTCATCCTTTATGTCAGTATCCTTCTTGAAATATTATATGTACAGGTACTCTGACCCGTGTACTGGGAAACTATTACCTCCCATTTGAGTACCTTAAAGTAGCTTTTCCCCCTAGTTTTCCACAGTCAAAACACATAAGGTTATATTGAACTCTAGTTAGACCCACTAGATTTTTAAAATAAACTTGTAAATAAACAATTTTAAGAGATATAATAGTTCCTATACAAAAGAATGGGAAATCTAATAAAATTACGTAAGTGTAAGAAGATAGGGCTTGGTGATCCTTCATTATGTAAATTAAAAAACTGAAATCTGTTAACAGTGATAATATGGGCATGTTTTTTTTTTTTTCCATAATTTTTGTTTCCTTATATTTGGAGTAGATACTATATTCATGGATAATTAGATACACTTATTACACTTATTACTTTTTTGTCCACAAAAGAGACAAGGAGCCTGGCCTGTCCCGACTATTTTTTTTCTTCTAGTTGTGTCACTTTTTTCTTCTATAATTCATAGTAGAGGCAATAGATATGTTAAACGTATTATAAGCCAAATATTAAGATAGTGAAAAATAAACTATTTAATTTGATAAATTATTTCTACCATTCCAGAAAAAGTAAACATTCCCATCAATCTTGGAAAGCAAAATTTTGCCTTGATGAAATTTTCAATCATTATGTAGCTTGAAAAAATACTTGCTTTATATAAGAACAAATTTTTCAATATTGAATCAAGAAGAAATTAGTTGATTTCCTTTATTTAAAAGTAACATTAAAGGCAATAGGGCACTGTAATTTTTATGAATTATGTATTCATGTATTTATGTATTCATGAATTATGTATTCATGTTAAAATGTAACATGAGGTTGTAACAATTGTAGAAGTATGTTAGGATAATAATTTTGCCTGTTAACACTTTGTTACTTTAATTTGGTGTCAATAGAACAGGTCAGTGTTTTGAAGTGATTAATAAAATGTTGGAGTCATTTTACTATAAAGTCACAAATTTTGTTTTATATTGGATGTTTTGGGAGCAGAACAGTTTGAGAAATTTGATTAGAGTTTTGTACTATACTGTTTATAAAATAGCCTAATGCCATATTTTTTCTTGTTTTTATAACCTTGCCATGTAAGTGGCCTAGTCTTACTGGCTTTGAAAGCAAAAAGTGACGGACAGAATGTCGTATCTAAAATTGGACATAGCTTTACTGAGATGCAAGATAAAGCACCGTTCATTAACATTTATTATTTCCCAGTTAGTATTTTAGGATATATTAATAGTAAGAGTAGGGATAAGAGCTATGATCTTGGGCCAGTCTTGACTTCCCTATGTCTTATTTATAAAATGAAAATGAATATTGTCAAAGGTTGTTTAGGCATTAAGTGGCATAGTGGACAACGATCTGTTAATGGCCAATCAGTACTTAAATAAATGCTAGATATTTTTAGGTTTCAGGAAATGCAATTAACATCTAGTGGTATACAACTGCAAATCCACTAGAATGCCTAAAATTGAAGACTGGCAATAACAAATGTTGCCAAGACTGATGCTACTAGAACTCATGCATTATTGAAGGGAGTGTACATAGTATAACCACTTTAGGAATAGCCTGGAAATTTCTTATAAAACCATGCCCTCAGCTGGGTGCGGTGGCTCATGCCTGTAATCCCAGCACTGTGGGAGGCGGAGGCGGGCGGATCATAAGGTTGGGAGATCAAGACCATCCTGGCTAACACAGTGAAACGTGCCTCTACTAAAAATACAAAAAAGTTAGCCGGGTGTAGTGGCATGTGCTTATAGTCCCAGCTACTCAGGAGGCTGAGGCAGGAGAATTGCTTGAACCTGGGAGGTGGAGGACACAGTGAACCGAGATCTCTCCACTGCACTCCAGCATGTGCAATAGAACGAGACTCCATCTCAAAAAAAAAAAAATCTAGGTAGTGAATATATGTAAGGTTTTTCAATGTTATGTTAGAAAATTTTCATAATGTAAAAATATAGCACCTTTTATTCCATATTTTAAAAACACTTACTGATTGAAAGGTTTAAAAATATGTTAAGTACCTTCACATATGTAATGAAAAATCTTATCCCATATTACTCTGTTTTACCGCTTTGTGGTGAAAACAGAAATATTAATTTCCAAAGCATGTCCCAATATTTTCAGTCCAGACCTTTCATGAACACACTATACCATTTTAGTAGATTTCTACATGGATTTGACTTGAGAAGGTATCTCTTTGTTGGCTTCCAAGACCTCCTGCTATCATTAGAGGCCGGTTTTGGGCAGATCATGAAGGAAGAACTTTCTTTTTCTTTTATTGTATGGTATATCAGAAGAAGAAGTTTAAAAATATACACTTTGATAACATGCCTCACCATAAGAAAATATTTTTTTGTTTTCTTTCCAGGTGGTGGAGCTATTGTTAGCTCGAGGGGCAAATAAAGAGCACAGGAATGTTTCTGATTACACACCTCTAAGTCTGGCTGCTTCTGGTGGCTATGTGAACATCATCAAAATATTACTAAATGCAGGAGCTGAGATTAACTCTAGGCAAGTTGTATTCTCTAAGTGCCTTATTTAGTAAGGCTGTTATAGATATTTATAGAATGCCCATTTTTCACTGCCAAATTTAGTAAATATCTTTATTGCAAATTTGGCATTCAAAGTATTAGAGATTTTTGAGATGAACTTTAAGTAATTAAAACTTGACATAGATCTTCAAAAATATTGATTACTGCGTTTCTTATGGTACTAAATGTAAACATACCTTAGAAGCTTTTATTAAGCAAGTTAATACATGCTTTAAGATTGAAAGTTTATCCTAACAACTTATTAATCACCTTCCAGCCCAAGTCATTATGTGGAGTGAAATACAAAAAGTATTCTAATAAAACATTTCTAATGGAGTCTTGGCAGTACCTCCAAGACTTACTAGGGTTGAGAAAAATGAGTATTTTAAACAATCCTGCAAAATGATCTTAGATAGAATTCTATATCATCTCTGATTTTTCTGTGTCATTTAAAATGTATATTTTTCCATTTGTTTTCCCCATACCTGCACCCTCAGAACTGGTAGCAAATTGGGCATTTCTCCTCTGATGTTAGCAGCTATGAATGGACACACAGCTGCTGTTAAGCTTCTGTTAGACATGGGCTCTGACATAAATGCTCAAATAGAAACCAATCGGAACACTGCCCTTACCTTAGCCTGCTTCCAAGGAAGAACTGAAGTGGTTAGCCTTCTGCTTGATAGAAAAGCAAATGTTGAACACAGAGCTAAGGTAAGAAAAAGTCTGAGATTGACACACGAATTTATTGCTTTGATATTTAAGATGTATAGTAGCAACATGTTGATTATAATTTTAGCGCTTTCTAGTAACATTTATCTCCTATGTATGTATTTAATCAGAAATCATTCTGTATAACTCAGTCAGGCATTAAATACCTGAGTGATAAATTATCTTGAAAATACCTGAGTGATAAATTTTTATAGGTAACAATGACAGTAGGGTTATCAGCTGAAAAAGAGACTATTTTGAAAGGGAAGGAAGGGAGGTATTTATTAATTAACAGTTATATGCCAAGTGATTACATTTTACACAATTTTTTTTTTTTTAACAATACCATTGAGATTAGGTAGAATTATTTTCTTTTAATAGACTATAACTCAAAGGAGCTAATAGGGGTCAGTTATTAGTTGTGAATCTTGGTAACAACTGTATCATATAACAACTTGTTACTCTTTAAAATTTTTAAATTTTAGATCTTTCCAGTCTCTCATGTGTCATTACATTTATTTTCTACCAAACTTAGACTGGTCTCACACCACTAATGGAAGCTGCCTCTGGTGGGTATGCAGAGGTAGGCCGAGTTCTTTTGGATAAAGGTGCTGATGTTAATGCCCCTCCAGTTCCCTCCTCAAGAGATACAGCTTTAACCATAGCAGCAGATAAAGGGCATTACAAATTCTGTGAGCTTCTTATTGGCAGGTATGTTGTTACCATACCCTTCATATAAGAACACAAGTGTTACTAGTGATTACCTTTCTCTCTGGACAATTAATCACATTTGATTTACAAGTGCTTTTTTCCCCAGACCTACCCATTGTTTTCTACCCATCCAGAGCTAAGCTGCATTGTCTGATTTGTTTCCGTGTAACCTAAAAATGTTTTTCTTTTATTCTTGTCTGTATTACTTTTAACGTCTATAATAGTAAGCTATTTGAGCATCCATCTGTTGTCATACATACTTATATCTCCCACACACAAGTCTTAAAAGTCTAGCAGTGATATAAGACTTCATTGTTCATTTTCTTGTTCTTTGCAGGAATTAAGGCTTTTAGGTGTGGTTATAGGACTGTTTAAGACATCAGACAGGGTCCAGGGTACTTTCTACTTTCAGTCATGTAGAAGTTAACTGCTAGTTTTCCGAAGATGCCTGTTTAATTTGTTTTCCTGCAGTCTCAAAGACCTTTACGTGGTATTCTAGGCAGCAGTATTTGGTAGTAACTGCTTTTAACTCTTATTCACTGAGTCTTCTTATCTACATCATGCCAACTGAATGAATGCTAAACCTGCATGTTATTCTTAATATACTACAAAAACAGATTGAGTATCCCTAATTGGAAAAGCTCTAAAGTATGGAACATTTTGAGCCCTGTGATAACACTCAATGGAATTGCTCATTGGAGCATTTCAGACTTCTGATACTGGATTTCAGATTAGGGATGGTCAAACTATATATGAACATAAATAATCTGAAACAGATACAGTTGCCTCATAGGATATTGCTTTTGTAGTATAATTCTGAGAGCAAGACATATTTAAGTCTCAAATATTGAAGACAATTTTTATCTTTACAGAGTACTTTCACATGTTAATAGTTGATTTTTGTTACTGTGTCATTTCATTCTATTTAAGACAATGCTAAGCTAGATGTGGTGACATTGCCTATAATTCCAGCACTTTGAGAGGTTGAGACGGGAGGATTACTTGAGCCCAGGAGTTCGAGACCAGCCTGGGTAACATAGGGAGACTCCATCTCCACAAGAATTTTAAAAATTAGCTGAGCATGATGGCATGGGCCTGTAGTCCCGGCTACTCTGGAGGCCGAGGTAGAAGGATCACTTGAGCCCTGGAGGTGGAGGCTGCAGTGGTCCATGATCTCACCACTGCATTCCAGCCTGAATGACAGAGCAAGACCCTGTCTTAAAAAAAAAAAAGACAATGCTATCTGTGTCATTGGTTTTTAGGGGAGCTCATATTGATGTACGTAACAAGAAGGGGAACACTCCATTGTGGCTAGCAGCAAATGGTGGACATCTCGATGTGGTTCAGTTACTGGTGCAAGCAGGTGCAGATGTGGATGCAGCAGATAACCGCAAGATAACTCCTCTTATGGCAGCATTTAGAAAGGTATAAGTCTTTCATCCTCATTTACCTGGATGTTTTTTACTTACAGTAGGAAGTACGTGGCTTAGTGATCACTAAAGACTCATTTTGTGCTTTTGCAGCTGTGACGCAAGCAGTAAATATGCAAATAATTACTCTGATGACAACATTAAATGTAGATATATACCAGTTTTGCAGAAAAGCCATTAATATCAACCTTATTGGACATCAGAGCTAAGAAAACTTAAAAAGCTGTTCTAAGTAATATTTTCAAAATTGGTTGCAGTCTTAATCTTCACAAAGTATAAATCCAGTTAAGATACTTAAGAAGGACCTCTAGTTAGTTACTCTTAATGAGTGTTTTCTTTTATTACCACTACAGAGGAAAATATCACTTAAGTTGTTTTTTTTTGGGTGTGTGTGTGTGTGTATGCCAGGCGCCGTGGTTCATGGCTATAATCCCAGCACTTTGGGAGGCCAAGGTGGGCAGATGTAGTGAAGCCCTGCCTCTACACAAATTATAAAAATTAGCTGAATATGGTGGCATGGGCCTGTAGTTATAGCTACTCAGGAGGCTGAGATGGGAAGACGGCTTGAGCCTGAGAGGCAGAGGTTGCAGTGAGCTGAAATTCCACCACCACACTCCAGCCTGGGTGACAGAGTGCAACCCTGTCTCAAAAAAAAACATTGTTTTTATTTTGATTATTGACTTTAACTACTAGGAAAAAATGAATTAAATAATGAAAATGCCACTACCAGCATTTTAATCTACTGAATTTCAAGTATATTACATTTAAAGGTAAAAATATGAATTTCATGAAAGTGAAACAAATTTTCTTCGATTTAATGGTTTGTTTGATAATCCGTTGATCTCTTACATGCAGTCTTAGTTTGTTATGGGGAATATCAGATTACTGGTAAAGGATTATAATTTTGAGTTTTTTCATTTGAAGATATGTAGGTAAAATTCCATGTAGATGCCAAAATGTTGAAAATTTTTAATAAATAAATTGTGATAAAGTGTCTCTTCCTTTTTCTCTTATTATTCTCTCTGACTCTTGTTTTTTATTCTACCTGTTTCCTAGATATTTTGGACTACCAGTGACTGTATTTTTGACTCTCTGTATATTTGTTTTTCAGCAATCAAACTTACTCCTTCTCACTGGCTAGCTGCCTCTTCTCCAGACAAGCTAGCATATCATTATTGAGTTAATCTTTGTGTCTCCCTAATCTCTGAAATCATTTGAAATCCAATCTTAGTTTGGTATTCAAAGCCACCACAATTTAGTGCTTATAGATCTTGTCTCCCATTAGAATCCCTAATGTGGAGAATTATCTTCTTGCTTGATCTTTCCTTGTTCATGTCTCCCACGTCACCTTTTTTCTCATCTCATAGAATGCCCATGTCTTTCTTCATTTTTCAAGAGTTACTCATTCTTAAGGTATAGTTTAAGTCTCTCCTTCTACCAGACTCTTCATCCTATTTGAGTTCACATTGAGATCTCTAATCTCTAGAGGTTGTACAAGTTTGGCAGTTTTTATCATTCATTTGGAGAAATATATATTTTTATATGTTATTACTCTATTATTTTTATTAGTTATTACTCTAAGCATCTAACATGCATCTGTCTTTCCAAACAGACTTATTGACTTCAGATGAGTAGTACTTATCTTTTATACTCTTACATAATCTTACGTTCCATTATTTCTTGGGTACCTACCATGTGCAACTGTGGGCTAGAGTACTAAGTTATATAGAGTGCAACAGCCACACTTTTTAAATTTTAATGTAATTAAATTGGAGAGGTAAGATACATACCGAAAGTCAGGTTACTGTTTGAGTTGCCTCATATAAATATAAAGACTTTAGAAGTATTGGAGAGATCCTTAAGGAATGATGCAAGTGGATTTGAGCTATTCATTAGAAGATAGCTATTCATTTAGAGAAAAGTTTAGAAACATGCAGTCTAAAAGGAAGAGATAGACGCAATAAAAAAATATATACTAAAGATTAACAGCTGACTATCCAGACTGGCTAACTTTAGACATTGTGTCAGAAAGCAACAGTATGGGCTAGAGAAAGTTGGAATGGCTCTTAAGATGGAAAGGGCAAGTCTAAAGATTTTGAACTTAGATACCAACCTGTGCTACAGTGGATAATATAATCATAGCTTATTCTTCATGGAAGTATATGTTCTTTCACACTTACCTAGGACAGTACTATACATTTGTTTTTTATCTGAAGGAATGGAAAAACAAAATTATTATTTTTGCTCTTTTAATCCTTAGAATGGAAACTAGACTCTCATAGTTAGGGAATTAGCAAAGAAAAAAATAAGATTTCCCCTTCTTCAGATATATCCCCTACTTGTTATTGATTTGGGGATTATTGTTTTTTTATTTAGAGTTATTTAGAATTTTAGGTTATATTATTCTGTACTTTTTTTGGAGGGTAGGATGAGAATGATTAATGTAGTTTTAATTCGTTGGAACCAAAGCCTGTCTGTTTTTTATTTATAGTGTAAATAGGCAATTTAGTCTTTACTTTGTGGCACTAAATTATAAAAGTTAGTTCAGGCACAGATGTACTGAATTGTTAGAGTCTGTTTTCAATCTGACATTGATATCTATTTTTTTAGGGTCATGTGAAGGTGGTGCGCTACTTAGTCAAAGAAGTCAATCAGTTTCCATCAGATTCTGAATGTATGAGATACATAGCAACCATCACTGATAAGGTAATATGTTGTTCACTATATGAGCAAGGGACTCTATTTGGTTAATATATCTTCTATTCTAAGAAAAATTCTTAGTTTGAGTGGTAAAGCGTAATATATAGCCATATTCAATTATCTAGTATTTGGGAATAAAGTATGCCATTTAAGAGATTCTTGTAGATTATTTACTTACCTAATGAATCAGTTAAACATCCTTGCTATAGGATTACCTTATCTTTAAAAGTAATACTTGAGGCCAGGCGCAGTGGCTCACCCTTGTAATCCTAGCAGTTTGGAAGGCTGAGGCAGGTGATTTGCAAGAGCTCAGGAGTTTGAGACCAGCTTGGCCAACATGGGAGACCCCATCTCTACAAAAATACAGAAATTAGCCTGGCATGTTGGTGTGTGCCTCTATTCCCAGCTACTTGGAAGGCTGAGGCACAAGAATCACTTGAACCCGGAAGGCAGAGGTTGCATTGAGCTAAGAGTATGCCACTGCACTCCAACCTTAGCAACAGAGTGAGATTCTGTCTCAAAAAATAATAATAAAAATAAATTCTTCAGCTAATTTGTTATGTGAACACTAAGTAATTCAAAGCAACATGTTATTATTCATTAGTGCTGTCTTCTGTATATATATGTTATCCAGACTGATACCTATTTTGAGAAAGGAATCTGTCCATTAGATTTTTATTTCCCAGTAAAATGAACATAGTACTTTTAATCATGAGCAAGAACTCTTGAATATGATATTAAAGTTAGAGTAACTAACTTTTAATTTTAACTAAGTTTGAGAATGAATTGGCTAGGAATTTTGCAGGAAATATAGGGAAGATAAAATTGAATTTTTTTAGAGATGGAATTGAGACCTTCTCCTGGAGACATTTTGATTTAGAGTTTACACTAACACTTAATAAAATCCTAACACATGCCTCACAAAACCAAAGAGGCCAGCAAATCTTAAAAATGTCTTCCTATTATGTTTACACAGTTGCTATTACAAGGTAGTAATCTTTTCCCTATAAGTTTTAATTTAAACTAGCTAGGTCACTGTCATTCCTGGCTCTAGATTTGTCTGTGACAATTAATATTCCTATACATGACAGGTTTTTAGGGGCAGAGGAGGAGATTAAAAATAAATATTTAAAAATATTATTTTAACATTTTTAATACTACTAAGAATAAGACTGGTTCTGTGGCACACAGCGGTATTCTCAGGTACACATTAGTCTCATGTACTTGGGAAGCTGAGGTGAGAGGATCGCTTGAGCCCAGGAGTTAAAGGAGACAGTATACTATGATTGTGCCTGTTAGTAGCCACTTCATTTAAGACTGGGCAACATAGCAAGGCCTATCTCCAAAATTAAATAAATAAAAATTTTATAAAAATAAGGAAATACTGCTTTGCTGTCCTAAAGTGTGACTTGAGAATGAAATCACTGAGAAAATTTTATAAGTATACATAGCTGATTCCTTTATAAGTGATTCTTATACATGAAATGGAGCAACAAAGCTTAAATATTTGAGGGCATTTCTTTAAAAATTTTCAAATCTGTTTTCTTTGTTGACGTTGACTATTTCCTCTAGCCTGTTAATCAGCCAACGTAAACTACTATAGTTCTGTTTGCTGTATAATTTCTTATATTTAGAGGATAAATGATTTTAGTTTCTAAAGTGCCAGTTAAATGGATATTATTTTGAAGAATAGCAAAGCTGTTCTTTGCTTCTTTACTTCTATATATTCCTAAATTTACCACGTTAATTATGTTTTTATTTGCACGTTTTTTTTTGCCTTTCTTCCCCCTTTTATTGATCTTTATTGCTTAGGTTTGAATACCTTAATAAAGATCTTCATGTTTTTAGGAATTTCTGTAAATGGGAATTGTTCTGTGAGCCTGGAAACATCTTAATTTTTCATTATAGGAGATGCTGAAGAAGTGTCATCTTTGTATGGAGTCAATAGTACAAGCCAAAGATAGACAGGCTGCTGAAGCAAACAAAAACGCCAGCATTTTGTTAGAGGAGTTAGACTTGGAAAAGGTAATAATAATCTTTATATGTGAAAATCATCCACTTTTTTCCATCTTGTTTTCTCTTCTTTTGATTTGTAATCCATTGTTTTTTTGTTTTGTTTGCTTTAAATTATGTACATGGTTTCTCTCTACATTGGCTCAAATTGTGGAGAGAATTATGAGTATGTTGACATCATTAAAAGCTTCTCTTTGTAATGAAATTAACAAAATTTTGTTATAGGTGCATTGATCTGGAAGTCAGAAAACTTAGCTTCTAGTTCTGGATTTAGTCTTATCTGAGCTTATGATCTCTTAATTCTCAACCACATCTGTTGTTTTTTTATCTTAGACCTTGTAAGTTATCCCCAGCAGGTTTATCACAAGTACCAAATGCACTACCAAGGCGTAACCAACTAGTGAATACAAACCTTGGAATGTCTAATGAGTACACTTTTTAAATGGGTGACTTCTACTTTTCTCTTTCAGGCAGACTACAGCATCATTCCCATCTATTCCTATGGGGAATAAAATACACCAGAACAGCATATAGTTAGACAGTCTTATACTTTCTTCATTCCCATTTTCTGCCATATTTCCTCCCATAATTCTGTACTCTAGAACTTAATTGAATAGTAATCATAGGAAAAGAATTGGTTTGACATTGAATATTATGGAACTGCCTTATTTCATCTTTTGTAAAAAGGTCAGCGGCTGGGCACAGTGACCCACGTCTGTATTCCCAGCACTTTAGGAGGCCGAGATGGGTGGATCCCTTGAGGTCAGGAGTTCGAGACCAGCCTGGCAAACATGATAAAACCTCATCTCTACAAAAAAGAAAAAAATTAGCTGGGCCTGGTGGTGCACGCCTGTAATTCCAGCTGGGAGGCGGAGGATGCAGTGAGCCGAGATCGCATCACTGCACTCCAGCCTGGGCAGCAGAGTGAGACACTGTCTCAAAAAATAAATTTTTTTAAAAAGGTCAAAAATGATATAAAATTTAATATGTGCTGTTTAAATTTTAAAAGGATATACAGTGATAATTACAAATATGCCTTTTTTGACCTGTTAGCTACATTCTTTTTTACTATACTTGCTTTCTTTATTAAGCTCTACATTTCATCCTGAATCATTCTAAGTACTTTATTCTAATTTAAATTTGAAAATACCATTTTCTGAAAAAAAAGTCTTTGATTTTGGAGGCTCTTTATTCTAAATATTTCTGGTTTATATTCAAAGCAGATTAGAGTTAGGCTTTTTGGCCATTTAAAAATTTTAAAAGAATGTGAGTGCATTGAGAGATATAATGACCACTATAACTATTACTTGACCTATTTATATTTTCAGTACCTAACATTTAATGCCTGCTAAATACAAGGCAGTATAATAGGGCCAAGTTGTGTGATAGAAATTATATGATAGAATACATATTTTATTCTTTAAATTTTGGGTTTTTTAAATTATAATAGTGTGCTCAGTTTAAATTGTGAAACCGACAAAAGTAAGAAATGATAAATACTATCATTTTAAGATAAATTAAGTTAGAAACCTAGTATGGTTGTTTTAAAATCTTTACCTCTGCAATTACCCATAAGGCTTTTTAAGACCCTACAATGATCTGCCTAACCACACCATGCCTTACACCTCTCTGGCCTTGTTTTCTTTTTATTACTCTTTCCCTTAGTCACCTTGCTCTGTCCACACTGACTATCCTCCTTTTGTTCCTGCTGTCAGCAGCATCTTCCATCAGTGTCCCTTAGATATCCTCAGGTTTTTGTTTCCTCTTCACAAGCATTGTTCTGCTCTTCTCTGCTTTATTTTTCACTTTTCAACATTGTAAATACTGTATTCATTCAAAATACTTAAGTTATCTTGTTTGTCTGTCTCCACCACTGGAACATATGTGCCGTAAAATAGTGTCTGGCATGTAGTAGGTACTCAATAAATATTTGTTGAATGAATAAATATTCACACGTATTGTGATGGTGTACTTTCTTTAAAAGTAGAATCACGCAAGCATATTAGTCTAATACTTGCTTTTCCTTGTCTTAGTAACTGATGGATATTGTCATTTGATAGTGATTTTAAATAAGTGCAGAATAGTTAATAGTTTGTTTTCAGTTTTTTGTCACTACAAATAATGTTGTAATAAACATCCTTATACATATTTTTAAAATATTTTGCTCCTTTTATTTTTATGAAATAAGTTCTTTCCTGTCTGTCAACATACAGTAGTCCCTTTATTTGTGGTTTTGCTTTCCCTATGGACTAAAAATGTTAAATGGAAAATTCCAAAAATAAATAATTTCATAAGTTATATGTTGCATGCCATTCTGAGAAGCTTGATGAAATCTTGTGCCATCCTGTTCTTTTCTGTCTGGGACATGAATCTTCCTTTCATCCAGTGTATCCACTTAGTAGCCCTCAGCTATCTGTTGAAGTATCACAGTGCTTGCATTCAAGAAACGCTAATTTTACTTAATAATGGCCCCAGAGTTCAAGAGTAGTGTTACTGGCATGTTGTTATAATTGTTCCATTTTATTGTTACTGTTGCTTATCTTCTATTGTGCCTAATTTATAAATTAAATTTTATCATGGATTTCTATGAAAAAAACATAGTATATATACAGGATCCAGTACCATCCAAGGTTTCAGGCATCAACTGGGGATCTTGGAATGTACGTATTCATCACGGATAAGGGGACACTACTGTATTTTTAATTTAGTAGGTACTTGCAGAATGTTTTCCTACTACCACCAGCAATATACCAACGTCATTTCCTTGTGTTCTTGCCGGCATTATTCAGCCTTAATGTTTATACTTTCAAGAGCTTTAGTTTTAAGGGGAAGTCAAGAGAAGCTTTTTTTTAAATGTCATTGTATATTTTTCCATAATATTATAAACAAAAGGTAATGAAGAATTCTTAATCATAAATTAATTCTGTCTAAATTGATTCCTCCACATGCATTGTACACTTTTATGTATAGTTTTGGGTGAGTGTGGAACATACATAAAATTTTAAATTATAGAGGCCCCTTTTTTCCTGAACTATAGCCCATATTCTTATTTGAAAGATTTTCAGATTGGGATTTTAGAGTTTGGTTCACTATTTTTTAATTAGAATTTACATCTGGGAAAATGTACTTCTGGCTTTGTCGCTGGAGTTGGTCCTGACTGGTCTGAGTTGAGATTCTCCATACATAACTTATTCCTTATATAAAAATGCCTCTTTGGTCAGTCTAATTTTGAAAATTTGGTTTATAAAAACTGCTTCAGAAAGCTGGGCATGATGGTACATACCTGTAGTCTCAGCTACTCTGGAGGCTGAGGCCCAGGAGTTCAAATCCAGCCTGGCCAACACAGTGAGACCCAGTTTCTACAAAAGAAAAAGAAATCAGTGGCCACTATATTAAGGCCATTAGATTTGTTAACACTTATTCAGTAAACATTTATTATTTGAACATTTACTAAGTGGATGAGTCCCTGCTCTGGAGTAATTCCATCTGGTCAAGCTACAGAATCCTCTTAACGGTTAATTGCTTGCTCTCTTAGAACGTTTAACAACTGAGTTATGTTCTTGGATGTTAGAATCCCTAGAGATATTTTAAACTTACATTTTTGATATAGTTATTTCACTCCCTTCACTTCATTTTAGTCTTTTCCCTCTACCTTTTTTTTCTTGTTTTTTGTAAACTGTTAGGGAGCAACTAAATGTGTTGAGAAAAAACAATCTTTACGACTAATTTTACTTGGAATGTGTGACTGCGAACCCTTTTATGCAAACCCTTTTAATCTGACCAGTACACGATTTCCCTATCTCTGTAATGCCAACCAGTAGTTAAAATGCTGCATTTCCTTAGTATAATTTAGTCTTCCATTCATCTAGACTACTGTTTCTTACTTTCTCCCTCATCCTAAGAACTACAGCACCACCTCTCTTTCACCTTCAGTAGATGACCTTGCATCCTGAGAAAATTGAAGCATCGGAAAACTTGTAAAAACTTTGCCTACGCCATCTATCTGCCCACCAATACTGTACCTCCTCTTCTTTACCTTTAATGAGAAAATGGAAGCATCAGAAGAAAACTTCCAAAGGCTTTGCCCACCCTATCTATCCACCCACCAACATCTACACGCATATACTTCCTATCAGTAACTAGATAAACTTTTTTTTTTGAGATGGAGTCACCCGGGCTGGAGAGCAGTGGTGTGATCTCGGCTCACTGCAACCTCCGCATCCCTGGTTTAAGTGATTCTCCTTCTTCAGCCTCCCAAGTAGCTGGGATTACAGGCATGTATCATCACACCCTGCTAATTTTAACATTTTTAATAGAGACGGGGTTTCTCCATGTTAGCCAGGCTGGTCTCAAACTCCTAACCTCAGGCAGTCCCTCCAACCTTGGCCTCCCAAAGTGCTGGGAATACAGGTGTGAGCCACCACACCTGGCCTAGATAAACTTTTGATAGCCAGTCCCTTCACTGTGTACCAGATCCTGTTTAGTCTCAACAGCACTGTGGTAGCAATTCTTTCTCCTATTTTTTCCTTCTCTTGAATTATTCTTGTCAGCATATACACTTACTTCTCCAATCTTAAACACAGAAAACCTTTTGACTTCAACCCTCTTGCCTCAACATTTTAGCTACAGACCCATTTCTCTGCTCCCCTTTGCAGCAAAGATCCCTGAGTCACCACTTTCATTCACCTCCAGTTTTCTTCCATTATCCTGAATGTGTTCCTGACAGGCTGGCTCTCATTCCTACAACTCACTAAAATTATTCTTTTGTGATCTCCAGTGACTTTCATGTAGCTAAATCCAATGGTTACTTCTTCTTTCCATCTTTATCTTACTGAACTAATAACATTTGATATACGCTCTTCATTTGGCTTTCATGCCACTACAGGCTGTCTTTTTCCTCCTACCTGTCTGGATGTTTCTGACTCCTCTTGCTGGTTCTCTCTCTCTGCTCCCCTACCTTTTAGCAAAAAGCCTTTTAACTCATTACATGATCTTCTTTATCCACTGGTGATCTTATCCTGCTTCCTAACTTTAAATATACACCAGCTGATCCCAAATATGTATCTCTAGCCCGGACTTCTTTGCTAAACTTCAGTCTCACACATTTAGATAGCTACTCAGCATGTCTATTTGAATACCTAATTAGACATCTCACACTTGACATGTCAAAATATGAACTCCTGATTTTTGCCCACCTCAAACCCACAACTCTAATTGCACAGGCCAGAAACCTTGAAGTCACCTTTAATTTTTCTCTATATTCCATTGTGTTGAAAAATCTTGTTACCATTGCCTTAAAATTAGCACTCAGGAGGTGGAGGTAGGAGGATCACTCGAGTCTGGGGAAGTCAACACTGCTACTGCACTCCAGCCTAGGCAACAAAGTGAGACCTTATCTCAAAATACATATATGTAATCTTAATCACTTCTCACCATGGTTCAAACAATTAATTTAATCTCATACCTGCATTACTACATTAGTCATTTAGTAATGGTTCAAGCAATTAATTTAATCTCATACCTGCATTACTACATTAGTCATTGGTCTCCCTAATTCCATCATTGCTTGCAGTTTATTCTTTATGTAGCACTCTGAGTGATCTTCAGTCATCTAAATCAAATCATATCACACTTCTGTTCAGAACCCAACAGTGACTCTCCATTTTCCCATTGGTAAAAGATAGTCTTTAAAATGCTCTGCAAGGCCTTAGGTGATCAAGCTTCCTGATACTTCTCCCTGAAACTCATTTTCTATTGTTCTCAGCCATATTAGCTTACTTGAATATACTGGGTACAGTTCTAACTTAGACCTTTTGTACTGGCTCTTCTCTTTGCCTGAAATACTCCATGTCCTTCAGGTGTTCACTTCATCTCATGAGGGGTACATTGATTATTTAAAAATCAAAACCCCCCTATTCATCTCCATACACACATTTTTCATTTTTCCCCTTTTTTACATTGTACTGATTACCTTTTAACAAGCTTTACAGTGTATGTATTCTATTTGTCTGTATCCATCCTCCCCTAACCAACTAAATTTAAACTTGGTGAAGGCAAGGATGTTTTATCCGCATTACTGATAAAACTAGAACCATGCATGGCACATAGCGAGTTACTAGAAAATTTTTGTTGGATCCTTCCCCTGTCTTCCTTTGAAACTTCTTGATCTCTTTCTGCTGTTGATGTTACTACTCTTTATTGAGAAATGAAATCTTGATGCCACCTTTTGGTTCTCAGTTATTTTTGCCTCTCATTCTTTACATTCAGTAAATGAATTACTTGGTAAGTTAACTTAGACTAGTGTCTGGCACATATTAAACCCTCTGTATGTTAGTTGTATCAGCATTGTCATCAAGATTATTATCATCATAATTACTATCGCCTTTTATTTAGCTTTGGCAATGTCTGTGTCTGCCAGCTGTTCCATCCACTTCCTCTCTAAGTGATCAGTTTTCACCCAAAATTATGCATTTGGCCTCTTAAAAGTCTCCCTTTATACATGTCTATGTCCTTCACTTATATTTTGTCTTCAGTACTCCTTTCCTGTTGCAGTGTAACTTTTCCAGTTTTACATAATTTTTAATACTCAGGTGGGATGCCTTACTTTATCCTCAGAAACCCTCAGTGCCTCTTCGTTGATTTCATAGGAAATTCTAAACATTCAAGTCTCCCTCCCTTATTTCTTCAGGCTCATCTTTCACTATGGTTCTCTACTCCTCACATATCCCATACACTTTCATATATATATCTCTTAAGTATTTGTTTACTCTGGACTGCCTCTCCCCAAGTCCTTAAATTCTCATCTTACAAAGCCTAACTCCCAAGTGTCATTTTGTTTCCTGAGCCCTCAATTAGAAATGACCAGTTGCACAAGTGCCCTTTCCCACTCCACAGTGAGGTTATTCTACAACTTGACCCTTTTTCTCAAAGCCTCTAACCTCCCCTCACATACACTAACAAACATGACAGCAATTCTCCAACAAGTAAAATGAGATTTAGGCCTATGAGAGAAAGTGAGAAAAAATATACAGTGAGACTGAATTTTTAGGCTTATTTTCTTAAGCCTCTGAACGTATTTGAATCTTCATGGTTTAGTTACTCTGTGGGATTTTCTATTAGTTATTAGCACCTCTCCCTACTTCTTTATCTTCAGTGTCTACTGTTTTAATAACTCCTACCCACTACCTACAGCTTCAGTCAAGGTAAATGTACAGTCAAGGTAGTTCTGTCCTAGTGGAACTTTTTCTCAAATTTAGTATTTTGTTTTTCTTTAAGTGCCTTATAATAATCTCTGTGTCTTATTAACTCTATTTTAAATTAATTCTCAGCTCAGACCTATGTGACCTGGCTTCTCCAATAAACTAACTGGTGGAGGTAACCAATGGCATCTTAACTGACAAATCCTTTTTTTAAAATTTAATTTTATTTTTTGTTTCTTTTCACTTACAAAGCACGCCAAATCCATTTACCTCTTTTCAGTTCTTATTGACACCCACCTCTTTGTGAGGTTTACCAATGTTGATCTGGCTTTCCTTCCCCCTTTCTCCTGTTTGTCTTCCTCTATCTGATTATACCTTTCAGAAGCCTCATTTGTTCTTCCCTTATCCCTTAGATATTCTCTCTGTCAAACACACACATATATATAAACACACTCTCTCTTTCTCTGCCTCTCTCTCTACATATATAATTTATATATTTTATTATATATAGTAAAATAGTAGGTATGTGTGTTTATGTGTACACACACACAGAGTTATACCTTTTTCCTCTGGTGACCTCATTTATTAGTTTCAGCTACCACCTGCAATCCTGTGATGTCTCTTAAATCCTGTGTCTGTTGATCCACACTTGCTAATTCTGCTAACTTTTAGAGCTCCATGCCATGTAAAGTTGGGTCATTTTTGTAGCCATAGTCTGGCATCTCCCCCCAGAAAGTTTCCCTAGGACCACTGAATTAGTGCCCTACTCTCAGTGAATTCAAAGGGTTAGTAAAATATATCAGATTATCAAAATACCAGCATTAAAGTCTCAAAATTTAGAAACAAGTAAATACGTCTTAAACTCTGAAGTTTTATGATCCAAACTCACTCTTGCCAAAGGGCCACCCCTAACTGACTCTATAAGCAGATAAGCAGTGATAAATTTGCATGTCTAAGACCCAGCCACATCCTATGACCTACCCAGACCTACCACCCCCATCCATCCACATCTAGGACATATGAACTTAAATGAAATCCTACTTTCTGAATTAAAACTCATACTTTTAAAAAAGTTCTCCACCCCCAACCCCCCCACTCCCGCCTAAATAGCAATCATAATTAGCTCCTGCTACCAGGCAAGTTAAAAAAATGTAGCAAAATGAAAAACCCATCATGGATGAGGCAAAACCCTAAAACTTCATTTGCTGTTTTGAGCCTCCCCCAAACCATTCCTTTCCCAAGATTTTACTCTCCGTACAGATATGATACAGATAAAATATTGGTTTTGTTATTCCTAATTCTGAAGTAGACTTAATATACACCTGTAGCCATAACTGCTTTGATAATCTTTTTGGTGCACGTTTCACCTTGGCTTTCCTACTCTTCTCCCTCTTATACTTACCCATTCCACAGTCCAAGCTAGACAGAACAACCACACTTCTCCCTCCTTCACTGAGGTTCACCTGGAGAAGACACAAGGCTTAAATAAGCTGAGTCACACATGCTCAATTGCTTCTTTCAAACTCACCAATCAGATATTACTCCTCCCTTGTGGTGATCCAGGGAGTAAAGGTCACCAATTACTGTTTTCTTCCTAATACTTCAGCAGAGGGGCACCTCCTTTACTTATCTTCAGACTGGAGCTTGTATGTGCCTGGGAGTCCAGCAGAAATGTCCAGGGTTACAATGTAGGCAGTTTCTGTATCTTTAACTTTTAGATGCATTCTTTTCTAAAATCAGTGTGCCTGAGCAAGTATGGGTATGGTACCTGCAGGTTCTCCTTCACTGTTTCCCTTTTTAGGAACAAGACTTATCTGTCATCTAGCCTAAGGTAAGTATGTTGCATTGCCCCAGGGTGTAAAAACCTGGTGGTGGGCCAAACTCTTCAAGAGCATAACAGAGAGCTGGTTTGATGGTAGTGGGTTATCAGAACTTACTAATGTTAGTGTCACTAAAGTTGGTATACAACCCCCAACTGCTAAATTTGGCTTAAAAAAAACAAGAATGAACCGAAGAGAGGGTTAATTTGAAAGGCAGGACAGAGAGTATCTAGCAAAAGCACAACACTTAAAAGATGAAGTCAGAGTTTTGAATGAAAACTAAATATTATTTGGCTTATGAATTTGTGAGGACTGGTTTCACGTGTTGCTCCATCCCTTAATTGACACATATTTAAAATACACATATAATGATTCAGAATGCTAGATTATGGGTGGAGAATAGTTATCTTTTAGGTTGGCATGGTGGCTCATGCCTGTAATCCCAGCCCTATGGGAGGCAGAGGTGGGTGGATCACCTGAGGTCAGGAGTTCAAGACCAGCCTGACTAACATGGAAAAACCCTGTGTCATTCTCTCTCTCTCTCTCTCTCTCTCTCTCTCTCTCTCTCTCTCTCTCTCTCTATATATATATATATATATATATATATATATATATAAATTAAAAACATCTTTTAGATGACATGTGGACAGAGTTTGAAGATGATTTTTATTCCTTTATGAACCAAGAAGGAAAATAACTTGTGGTTTTTTTTTTCTATATTTATACAAATAGATGCACAAAAAGGGTTTTCTTCCCTCATAAAAGTGATTTTTATTAGTCTTCAGTTTCCCTTTTTTTCTCCTGACAAATGTAAATTGGGAGCACTTTCCCAAGTATATATGTATAATATTTTCAGTGGCTGTCTAGTATTCTGTGAATTTATACTAGTTATTTAATCCTTCCCGTTGATAAATTTACCTTCTTTCCATTTATTGCCATTATAATCAATTTGCAAAGAAAATTGCTGAAGCTATGTTTTTTCACTAGAGATAGACATTTTATAGAATAAATTGTTAGGATAAGCAGTTTGTAATTTTTGTTAGGAGGCTTTCAGATTACATTTTGTAAAATGTAAATATTCATGCCCACAGCAGTAGAGAACTCAGTTTTTCACACTTGTGCTGATATCTGATGCCTTTTTAAATTTTGCCAAATTAATGATCAGAAAATAGTACTTTATCAGTTCAACTTACATTTCCTTAATGATTAAAAGCTATGTATCTGTGTATTATTTACCCATTTAAAACTTAGTCTTATATTGTTAATTTGATCTTGATATTGTAAAATATTGTCTCTTTATAGTAGTTTGAATATGATCTTGATAAAACAATGAATTGAACTAGGTAACTGAATTTTATGATATCATGGTTTCCTTATGATTAAATGAATATGTGACAACTTTTTCTCCAGGGTAAATTTCAACATTCTATTTCTGCTTTATTGATCTTTAACAGTTAAGGGAAGAAAGTCGGAGGCTGGCTTTGGCTGCAAAAAGAGAAAAAAGAAAGGAGAAGAGAAGGAAGAAAAAGGAAGAACAAAGAAGAAAACTAGAAGAAATTGAAGCCAAAAATAAAGAGAACTTTGAACTCCAAGCTGCTCAAGAAAAAGAAAAACTTAAAGTTGAAGGTATTTTCTCTTAACTATCCCATTTGTTTTATATTCTAGTTAAAATTATATTTACTTGGTTATTATTCACTCTTGAAAATAGAGTTTTATGTTATTAAGTCCTTGAGATAGGCCAGGCACAGTGGCTCATGCCTCTAATCCCAGTACTTTGTGGCAGGTCAAGGTGGGAGAGTCACTTGAGTCTAGGAGTTCGAGACCAGCCTGGCAACAAAGTGAGACTGTCTCTACCAAAAAAAAAAAAATTTATTTAATTAGCTGGGCACAGTAGCACACTCCTGTAGTCCCAGCTAGCTACTGGGGATTGGGGGGGATGGGGAAATAAGGTGGGAAGATCACTTCAGCAGGGGAGGTTGAGACTGCGGTGAGACATGATCTGGCACCACTACGCTCCAGTCTGAGTGGCAGAGCAAGACCGTGTGTCAGATAAAAAAAGAAAAGATACATGCATTTTTTTGTTGTTGTTGACTGAATTCCTCCCTAACTACATCATGAAAAATTTCAAACCTGCAGACAAATTGACAGATGATAAAATGAATACTTGAATACAGTCCACCTAGATTAACAAAATTGTTAACATTTTACCATATTTGCTTTATTTTTCTCTTTAAGTAATTACACATTTTTTTCTGAGCCATCTGAAAATAAATTGCAGACATCTTGACATTGCATCTATAAATACTTTTTTTTTTTTTTTTTTTTAGACATAGTCTTGCTGCTCTTTTGCTGGGCTGGAGTGCAGTGGCACGATCTTAGCTCACTGCAACCTCCATTTCCAGGGTTCAAGCTGTTCTCCCACTTCAGCCTCCCGAGTAGCTGGGTAGGCATGCGCCACCATGTCTAGCTAATTTTTGTTGTTTTGTTTTTTGTTTTAGCTGGCAAAGACCCTTAATAGAAATGAGATGAGGGCAGGCCGCCCCTCCCCGGGGATGCCTCTACTTGCAGCCCCCACTCATACTACCCCGCTAGAGCAGTTAGTTTCTGGGGTATAGCTGAAAGAGCTTTCCCTCCTGTGTGGGCTCGAAGTCGTACTCTTCCAGGTTGTCAGGGTCGAAGGTTGCAGTCTTTGAAGTCCTTTTCGATGGCAGGTGCCACGGCTTTGCTGAAGAGCAGCATGGCTGGCCAACAGGGGCGCGGTAGTTCACGTAGGGCTTGAGCTTGAAGCCGGTCAGATCCAGGACTACGAACTCCGGTACCTCCTCCTGGATCTGCATGAATCTCCAGGCTGCAGGGAGAACGTCAGTGCCTGTAGCGCCCCGGCCCTTGCGGGCCCTGCTTGCTCGTCCACTTGCTCATCCGGCGCGCCCAGGACCAGGCAGCGCGCCACTGCACCCAGGACGCCCATGCGGCATCCTGCACTGGAGATCTCGCAAGCACTCCACGTGGCCCCACAATAGCTCCCGCGTCCTGATTTTTGTATTTTTAGTAGGGACCGGATTTTGCCAAGTTGTGCAGGCTAGTTTCTAACTTCTGATCTCAAGTGATTCCTCTCCCACCCCTCAGCCTCCCAAATTGCTGGGATTATAGGCGTGAAGCCATTGCGCTGGGCACCTATAAATAATTAAGCCCACATCCCAAGAATGACATTTAATAATCGTAATACCACTTTAGGTATTATAAACGGTAATTTCATAATATCTACAACCCAGACTATAGTCAGATTTCTTCAAGTGAGGGAATTATTTTTAACTAGGGTAATCTAAAGGTTATTTGAGATGGAAGTGTAGTAATCCTGTCCCTTCATATCCACAGAGGATGGTTTCCAGGACCCTCATGAATAGCAAAATTCAGATACTCAAGTCTTTTATATAAAATGGTATAATATTTGCATAAAAATTATGCACATTCTTTCATATACTTTAAATCATCTCTTTATTACCTCTAATACCTAATATAATGTAAATGCTATGTAAATAGTCATGCTGCTTTTTCTATTTGTATTATCTTTTATTGTTTTGTTTTTCTAATACTTTCAAGCTGGTGATTAAATCTGTGGAAAGAGAGGACTGACTGTATTGTGGGAAGGAACCATTGCACCGAAAATATGTGCACGCAGTGTGTGTGCGTGTTTTAACTTCCCCCTTCTCCAGAGTTTTATTTTGAAAGTTTTCTAACTACAGAAGGGTTTAAAGATTAATATAATGAACACCTATATGTCACCTACATTTTTAAAACATTTTGTCACATGTGGGACGTGTGTTCTCTTTTTAAAGTAGTTTGCATGTAAGCCATACACAACATGTGAAATCACCCCTAGATACTTGATTATGTATTTCCCAGAAAAAGGACATTATTTATATAACTGGACAACATCATTAGTATACTTAAGAAATTTAATAATTATATAATAATATGTAATGTACAGTACAAGCTATATTTTCTCAGCTGTCCCCAAAATATTTTTTATAGCTATCTGCTATTCTTTGAACAGGACGTAGGAACACAGAGTATATCAGTCATATCCAGCTCATTACTAATGAATGTGAGAGTAACTTAAATGGCTAATAGTAATGGAATAACACTCCAGGGTTTTTCTTTTCTTCAAGTGCTTATATTTAAATACATTCTGGGAATACTTAGAACTTGCTAATTCAGTATTATTGCTACTTTTATAGATGAGCCTGAAGTCTTGACAGAGCCTCCAAGTGCCACAACCACTACTACCATAGGTATATCTGCAACCTGGACAACTTTGGCAGGTTCCCATGGTAAAAGAAATAATACCATAACTACAACCAGTTCAAAGAGGAAAAACAGGAAAAATAAAATTACTCCAGAAAACGTTCAAATTATATTTGATGATCCACTACCAATTTCATACACTCAGCCAGAGAAGGTGAATGGAGAGTCCAAGAGCAGCAGTACCAGCGAGAGTGGGGACAGTGATAACATGAGGATTTCCAGCTGCAGTGATGAAAGTAGTAACAGCAACAGCAGCCGAAAGAGTGACAATCATTCACCAGCTGTGGTCACTACCACTGTGAGCAGCAAAAAGCAGCCATCAGTTCTTGTTACATTTCCAAAGGAAGAGAGAAAATCTGTTTCTGGCAAGGCTTCAATAAAGTTAGTTCCAATTTTTATTTTTAATGTATATAGTGTCATCATGAAATACCTTATTGCTGAATGTTTTTGGTAAAGCAAGCAAATTTGCAACTTGCAAAATAGGATTTTTCTTTGTGCTAAAGAAGGTATAATTTCAGTTGAATTGAAGAATAGGCTTTTATTTAGATTTTGTACTAGTGACACATCAAATTATTTTTACCATGTAATTCCTTTTTTTTTGGTTGTTAAACTTAGCACATGGAAAGTATTGATTGTGGTTTCAAAGGGATTATTACTATGATTCAACTCTGCTAAATGTGTCCCCTAAATTGTATCTTCTTAAAGTTGATTCTTTAGGTTGAGTGCAATGCCTCATGCTTGTAATAGTAGCTCTTTGGGAGGCCAAAGTAGGAGGATTGCTTGAGCCCAGGAGTTCAACACCAGCCTGGACAACATACGGAAACCCTATCTCTACAAATAATTTTTTGTTTTAATTAGCCGATGTGATGCCATCTGCCTGTGTGTAATCCCAGCTATTCAGGAGGCTGAGGCAGAAGGATCACCTTGAACCTGAGAGGTCAAGGCTGCAGTGAGCTGTCATTGTATTCTAGCCTGGGTAACAGCGAGACCTGTCTCAAAAAGAAAAAAATAAAATTGGCTGTTTATATTATATGCTTAAATATTGAGAAGACATGAAAAATAAGGTCCTCATTTGTTATTTAAAAATAAATTTTAAAAAATTGTGTAGTAGACTACCTTTATCATTTAAAAATTCTACATCTGTTCCATATTCAATGTACTTCCCTCTGTCTGTTAAAGATTGTCAGAGACTGTCAACGAAGGGACCAGTAATTCTCTGTCTACTTGTACAAAATCTGGTCCATCTCCCCTTTCCTCTCCAAATGGGAAGTTAACAGTAGCAAGTCCTAAGCGTGGGCAAAAGAGGGAAGAAGGATGGAAAGAAGTTGTAAGAAGGTGAGTATTTGTTTTTTTCATTCTATGTGCTTTATATTACAGCGAAGTGTTATTTACCTTTCAACTAAATTTCTCCTATTTTAAATGTTGCAAACAAGCTGATGGTTCAAGGCTAAAGTTGACCAACAGAGAAAGCCTGTGCCATATTTCAGATGAAAAAAAATTATATGTTAATTTGGCCCCTCAAAAGTATTGGAGTTTGCTTTAAGAACTATTTTAGATTGTGTCTTTTTCAGCTTTGTTATGTCGAAGCCTTATATAATACAAAGAAATATTGTAAAGGCTACTTGTAAACATTTGATGAACGAGTACTGTTGATCTAATAATAACTATTGTCTTTAAATCATAGGATAACTTTGTTTCAAGGGTTTCAGGATAAAAATATTTTGTTTTGCTTGGGATTTTAAAAATAATATGTATCAAAGAGTAGGAATGCAATATCAGAAACTTAAAAGGAGTTCGACACCTGAAATCCAGAAAGAATATGGTCCATTGTAACTCTTTGATAACTTATTTTAAAGAACTTTCCAGAAATATTACAAAAATTTAAACGTTTGGTTATCTGAAACAAAAGCTATAGTGAACCAAACTTAGCACTGTTAATCACTAAGTGCAGTATATAGTTTTTTTGGTTTATTTCATCCTAACTTTGGACCAAATCATGTCCCTGTCATATCTATGTTTATTTCTGTCTCTGTCTTCACGCACACATTCTTTCTCTGACTCCTTCACATACACACTCTATTAGACTGCTTGAAATCATATCATCAGAATATTCTCTATCCAATAATAAGATAATCTGGTTTTTGTGTATGCATTTAATGTTGTGTTATACAAATAAGTTTTTCACTAATTTGGAAATTATGATCACTGGCTGATTATCATGCCCTTTAGGGAAAAAAGAATTGTCAGGTAACTAAGTTGTGTATATAAAGAACAATAAAAAATTAGCTGGGCATATGATTCGTGCTTGTAATCTCAGCTACTTGAGGAACTGAGGTGGGAGGATTGCTCGTGCCCAGGAGTTCGAGGCTGCAGTGAGCTATGATCACACTGCATCCTAGGTGACAGAACAAGACTCTGTCAAAAGAAAAAAAGGAAATCTGTACCTTTCCTAAACCTGAATGTTTAAAATTAAAATGAAATTTTGCAAGTATTAGATGGATTTTTTTTTTTTGAGATGGAGTTTCACTCTTGTTGCCCAGGCTGGAATGCAGTGGTGCAATCTCTGCTCACTACAACTTCCTCTCCCTCCTAGGTTTAAGTGATTCTCCTGCCTCAGCCTTTCCACCCCATACTCAGCTAATTTTTTATATTTTTTAGTAGAAATGGGGTTTTACCGTGTTGGCCAGACTGGTCTCGAACTCCTGACCTCAGGTGATCCACCCACCTCGGCCCCCCAAAGTTCTGGGATTACAGGCTTGAGCCACCCTGCCCAGCCTCAGATTTTGCTTTTTAAATTCTAGTAGGATTTTCTTTTTCCACACATTATTAAACATTTTTAGCAAGTTTTCATATTTGTGAATAGTCATTTTAATGCCACTAGAAGAATACAGGAAAATAGTGAATTTTTCTTTTCTTTTTTCCTGAGACGGAGTCTCACTCTGTTGCCCGGGCTGGAATACAGTGACATGATCTCAGGCCATGGCAACCTCCACCTCCCAGATTCATGCTATTCTCCTGCCTCAGCCTACTGAGTAGCTGGGATTACAGGCATATCCCACTATGCCTGGCTAATTTTTTAAATATTTTTTTAGTAGAAATGAGGTTTTGCTATGTTGGTCAAGCTGGTCTCAAACTACCGACCTCAAGTGATCTGCCTGCCTTGGCCCCCAAAGTGCTGGGATTATAGGCATGAGCCACCATGCCTGGTTCTGAATTTTTAATATAATTCTTTGGATTATATATATTAGAGAATAAAAAGAAGCATGAGTAAAGCACCAAAAGGACCCACAAGAAGTCTTTCTTGACTCCTGAGGCTTAATTAGATGCCCAACCAGCATATGTGTGTGTGTGTGTGTGTCTGTGTGTCTCTGTGTGTGTGTGTGTGTGTGTGTGTGTGTGTGTGTACACACATACTGTTGCAACACTCATGACATGGTGGTGTTTTTTTCATAATTACTGTGTACATAGTCAATATGTGTGGGCAGAAACCCACGCCTGTCTTATTTACCATTAGTATTTGCATTAGCACAGCACATGTCTGCATAGTATCTGCTTTATGGATACAAGTGAAAAATGATAATTAACAAAGCAAACAATCTTTGATAGTGAGATGAGAAGCTGTAATAAATCTTGTCCGTTGCTCCTGATTGCCTTGTCTCTGTTCATCTAGAGTAAGAGTAAACAGAAGAGGCTTATTCAACAATAGTCCATACTTACAGAAAAACATTTTAGTAATACTCTTTTTCCTTTTTAAGATTACAACTACTATTGTTAATGATTAATCTTAATTTATATTTACCACTTTTAAACAGGTCAAAAAAAGTATCTGTTCCATCAACTGTGATATCCAGAGTGATTGGAAGAGGAGGCTGTAATATCAATGCTATTCGGGAGTTTACTGGTGCACACATAGATATCGATAAACAGAAAGACAAGACTGGAGACCGGATAATCACTATAAGGCAAAACTTTGTCTCTCATATTTTTTTCCTTTATTTTATCGCACTATAGCTTAATGAAATATAGCCATATGAGTTTTCAGTGGAACTTTAAATAGTGTACTTTTTAAAATGGGAATTTTATTGGTGTTTGAGAAGATAAACCTTATAGTTTTCTTTTTTCCCAGTTAATATACTTTTGTGGAGTGTTTTAGAGAGTATTACAGGAATTTTGTATGCATGTGTAGCAAAGGTTTAAATAAACAGTTTCTGTACATACACTATGTGACATGCTTAAAAATTTGTTCTGAGACTTTTAGGGAGGGAGTTTCCAACATTTTAAGCAGCAGGTTTTTGTCCTTCTCAAATTACCTTTGAGATTTGTTATTCTGAGATTGTATCTTTAGAATTTGAGCTAGATTTGAATCTGAAGTGACGATATAACTTACCTTGAATAACTCATCGATTATATCTATGCCTGAATATTCTTAAAAGTGATGTTAAAAGAAATCATAAGAATATAGAAAGCTATATTTAATTACTTTAAAGCAAATTCAAGTATCTTTGAAAAAGAGTTTTGTATTTTTTAGATGGCAGTTGTAAGTTTGTTTGTGTGAGGCAGATGCCCCTTTGCAGTATATGGAAGGGCTAATAGTTACATCGTACCTCAAAAATAAGAAAGCAAGTAGCAATCTCTGTAGTTTATTCATTGTCTTCTCTTTCTGAATTGTTTTTCCCTGGGTAGTTGGGCAGTCACAGTGTATCTTATCTAGAAAAGTGGGAACCATTCCTCCTGAATTCCCATATAAAAAAACAAAATTAAAAAAAAAAAAAAAAAGAGGCAGCCAGATACCCTTTATGGGTAATTTTTCCCTTCGGTTTCCATAAATACCAAATATTTTCCTGAAGATCCAGCACTAAGGTTTTACATGGCTATTGTTGCCACTATCAGGATTCCTCCCTCATTTTAAGACATCTTCCCAGAGGACTTACAATAATTATCCTACTAATAGACAAACTACTAATGAATTTGTAGTAGATGGAATCATCCCAGATACCAGGATTTAAAATAAAATACTGTTTTCTTACTCAGTTGTATTATTTTCCTTGTTTACTTATATTATTTTTAGTGTTGATTCAGTTTCAATATTTTTAGTATTAATCAAATGTTTCAGTAACATTGTAGATTACATAGGCTTTTGTGTGCAGTGGTTTTTCTAACTGCAGTGTATTTGACAATAGGAAAATGATTTCTTAGTCTAAGCAAACAACAGTGAAATGTATTTTTGAAAAATAAGTCATTTACTATTTCTCTGAAAAATAGTCATTCAGAATAATTTATTGCTTTTTTAATAGAATATCTCAAGAATGGTAAGAAAATTGCTGCTGAGCTTTTGTTATCTGTCCTTTGTATATGTGTATGTATGTACACAAAATTGTGTGTGTGTGTGTGTGTGTACGTACATACATATATACATATTAAAAAGGGCTTTGCATACTTAAAAGTAGGGAAAATTCTATCTAACTTTTTTTACTCAACTTACAGGGGTGGCACTGAATCAACAAGACAAGCAACTCAGTTGATTAATGCTTTGATCAAGGATCCAGACAAAGAAATTGATGAACTTATTCCAAAGAATCGTTTGAAAAGCTCCTCAGCAAATTCCAAAATAGGGTCATCAGCACCTACCACCACTGCTGCTAACAGTTCCTTAATGGGAATTAAAATGACAACTGTAGCTCTGTCATCAACATCTCAAACTGCCACAGCACTCACTGTGCCTGCAATTTCTTCTGCATCCACTCACAAAACCATTAAGAACCCAGTGAATAATGTGAGGCCTGGTTTTCCAGTTTCTCTTCCATTAGCATATCCTCCTCCACAGTTTGCACATGCTTTGCTTGCTGCTCAGACTTTCCAGCAGATCCGTCCACCAAGGTTGCCCATGACCCACTTTGGAGGTACTTTTCCACCAGCTCAATCCACTTGGGGTCCTTTTCCTGTCAGGCCTTTGAGCCCTGCCAGAGCTACTAACTCGCCTAAGCCTCACATGGTGCCTCGCCATAGCAATCAGAACAGCAGTGGTTCTCAGGTGAATTCAGCAGGTTCTTTAACTTCAAGCCCAACAACTACAACCAGTTCATCAGCTTCAACGGTGCCTGGTACATCTACAAATGGCAGTCCAAGTTCACCTTCTGTCCGAAGGCAGCTTTTTGTCACAGTTGTGAAGACATCCAATGCCACCACAACAACAGTCACAACCACGGCAAGCAACAATAGTACTGCACCCACAAATGCCACATATCCTATGCCTACTGCCAAAGAACACTATCCAGTATCATCCCCATCTTCCCCATCACCACCAGCCCAGCCAGGAGGGGTTTCTAGAAACAGCCCTTTGGATTGTGGATCAGCATCTCCAAATAAAGTGGCATCTTCCTCCGAACAGGAAGCAGGTAGTCCACCAGTAGTAGAAACAACAAACACTAGACCTCCAAACAGCAGCAGTTCTTCTGGGAGTTCATCAGCTCATTCTAATCAGCAACAACCTCCGGGATCTGTTTCTCAGGAACCAAGACCACCTCTTCAGCAGTCTCAGGTTCCTCCCCCGGAAGTGAGAATGACTGTTCCTCCTTTAGCAACAAGTTCTGCTCCAGTGGCGGTGCCTTCTACTGCCCCAGTGACTTACCCTATGCCTCAGACACAAATGGGATGCCCCCAGCCTGCTCCTAAAATGGAAACCCCTGCTATTAGACCACCCCCTCATGGCACAACTGCCCCTCACAAGAATTCAGCTTCAGTGCAAAATTCATCTGTTGCAGTCCTCAGTGTCAATCACATTAAAAGACCTCACAGTGTTCCCTCTTCTGTCCAGCTACCTTCGACCTTAAGTACACAAAGTGCTTGTCAGAATTCAGTACATCCTGCAAATAAGCCTATTGCTCCCAATTTCAGTGCCCCTTTACCGTTTGGGCCCTTTAGCACATTGTTTGAAAACAGCCCTACTTCTGCTCATGCCTTCTGGGGAGGATCTGTTGTTTCATCTCAGTCAACACCAGAATCTATGCTATCAGGAAAATCCTCATATTTGCCAAATTCAGATCATTTACATCAGTCTGATACTTCCAAAGCTCCAGGTTTTAGACCACCATTACAGAGACCTGCTCCAAGTCCCTCAGGTGAGTTTATATTTTCTGACATTCTGCAGCTGCTCATTTACACAAGTGATATGACAATTCTTGGTCATTTTCTAATGTTTTTACTCTCTTACTGGGCAATAAGGACAAAGATTGTTGGATTCAGGTAACTCAGATACTGTTGTATTATTTGTGTTTAGTATGGTGGGTTTTTAAAAATCTTTTTAAAAGTTGCAATAGATTTTTATTTAATTTTCCATACATAAGTCTTCTGGTCAGGCATTTTTTTTTCTTTTTTTTTTTTTTTTTTTTGAGACAGAGGCTCTGTCACCCAGGCTAGACCTCCACCTCCCAGGTTCAAGTGATTCTCCCACCTTAGTTTTTCTAGTAGCTGGGATTACAGACATGTACCACCACTCCCAGCTAATTTTTGGATTTTTAGTAGAGACGGGATTTCACCATGTTGGCCAAGCTGATCTTGAACTCCCAACTTCAAGTGATCTGCCCACCTTGGCCTCCCAAAGTGCTGGTATTACAGGCATGAGGCACCATGCTTGGCCTAGGCATATTTTTCTCTTTCAGAAGTCTCTTATGTTTTGCTTTAATAAGGTAATGTCACCAAAAGTTTACATTTATTTCAAATACCAAATAACAGAGATTTTAAAAATTGAGTTTTATTTCTGATTATCTTTTTTATTTCTAAAATTATTTTTAAAATAGAGCTACTCCATCTGATATGGTAGCCAGTAATCATGTGTGCATTTTAAATTTAAATTAATAAAAATTTTAAAAATAAAAAGTTTAGTTTCTTAGGCTATCCATATTTCAAGTCCTTAAAAAACACTTGAGGCTGGTAGCTACCATATTGGACAGCAAAGATCTGAACATTTCTACTATTATCAAAAGTTCTATTGGGACAACACTGATATTATCTAGAAGATATAAAGATCTCCTGGTTGTAAGCTATTGCTTTTTTAAAAAAAACTTTTTACTCTGAAATATTTTTTGACTTATAGAAGAGTTCTATAATTCCTCGGCTTCCATTCATGTGACCATCTTACATAACCATGATACACTTCAAAACTAAAAAGATTAATATTAGGATAGTACTACTAACTAGACTTCAGATTTTAGGTGGATTTCACACGTTTTTCCAGTAATATCTTTTTTTCTTTGGTAGGATCTAATCCAGGATGCCAGTTTGCATTTAAAGCTATTGGGTTTTAATGTAAGCATTTCAAGTAATTAAAGAGTCTGTGTAAGAGAAGACCACACTATGGTCTATAGGCCAAATTTGGCCTGCTGACTGTTTTTACATGTTTAGAATATTTTTTTAAAAATGTTCTTTTAAGAATAGGCTTGGCACTGTGGCTTGTGCCTATAATCCCAGCACTTTGGGAAGCCAAGGTGGGTCAATTGCTTAAGCCCTGGAGTTCCAGACCAGCCTAGGCAACATGGGGAGACCCTGTCTCTACAAAAATACAAAAATTAGCTGTGCATGGTGGTGCACCACTGTAGTCCCAACTACTTGGGGGGCTAAGATAGAAGGATGACTTAAGCCCTAGAGGCAGAGGTTACAGTGAGCCAAGATCGCACCTCTGCACTTCCAGTCTGGGTGACAGAGCCAGACACTGTCTCAAAAAAAAAAAAAAAACATTAAGAATAAAAATGCAACACAAAATATGAAATTTAAATTTCAAGTTTATAGAGAAAGCTTTGAAAATGCTTTAAAGTTTGATTTTTATAGTGGTTGGAATTTAATACTTTACCTTTCCAAAAATGTGATAATCTAGGTGTGGGGTTCAGAAAGGCTAAAATTAAGATAAGAGAAAAAAAAATACATTCCTATTTTTTGAAAAGGTATAGAAGAAAGTCCTGTCTTGTAAGGAAGGTCAGGTTTTTTGGGAGTGTATAGTTGATTAAAGCCAAAATTAGCGTTGAAGTTTAACTAAAAGTCAATTACCTAATTCAGGTCATTTTGAGTTAAAGGTACTCATCCTTTTATTACATAGGAAGATTTTCTCCTAAACTTTCAGATACAAATTTTCACTTCTCTCTACTTCTTCCTAATTCATTTTATGTTCCATACATAATTTTCTTCCTTTAACTTTTCTTAGGTAAATAATGTGATCATTTGTATTTTAAACTTCAATCTGTTTGTATTTTGAAAAGTTTTTTTAAGTCACATAAAAATATAAGGAACAGAATAAACAGCATATTAAATACCTTTATGTTTCCACATTTATTAACATATTCTGCTCTTGTTAACATCTTTTCAAACTCTCTCCCTTACTCCCCCTCCCCTTTTCCTTCCTCTATCCTCTTTTTTCCTCTTTTGCTGCTTCCTTTCCTTTCTGCCCCTTCTGTTGTCTTGTCTCTCCCCTTCTTCATCCTTCTTTCCTCCTTTTCCCTCTTTCTATCCTATCTGTTTTCTTTTCCTCTTCATCTTTTGTCAAATCATGAGAAGATAACTTTCAAACATGATGCTTTACCCCTAAATACTTTGATATATATGTTTAGAATGTTTGCCTTCACAGCTATGCCACTATTACTGCATCAGAGAAATAAGAATGAATTTGATAATAACACTCAACATAAAATACCATTTTCTCAAATATATTCTTTCTGCCTGTGTGTATCTCTTTTCCCTGCCTTTTGATCCAAGACTCTATCAAGGTTCACACATTACTTTTGGCTGTTATGTGTCTTCGGTCTCCCTCCATCTAAAGCATTCTACTGCCTTCCTCTACAGTTCTTGACCTTGACTCCTTTGGCAGGTTTAATTCAGCTATTTTGTTAATCTATGCTTAGATTCAGATCAAACATTTGTGAAAGGAGCATCATATAGGTGATGTTTTGAACCTCACACTGCATCTTATCAATGACAGATTAGCTGAATGTTGTGGCTCACACTTGTAATCCCAACAGTTTGGGAGGCTGAAGCAAGAGCTTCATTTGAGTCCAGAAGACTAGCCTGGGCAAAATAATGAGACCCTGTTGCTACAAAAATAAATAAATAGGAAAGCTGGGTGTGATGGCATGCACCTGTAATCCATACTTAGGAGGCTGAGGCAGGAGGATTGCTTGAGCCCAGTAGTTGGAGGCTGTGGTGAGCTATGGGCAACAGAGCAATCTCCTGTCTTCTTAAAAGAAAGAAAAAATGACAAATTGTTCCAATATTGGCTGTGGAAAGCATAGCCACATGGTTAATATGTAATCATCAGATCTCTCCATTGTCAAATTGTATCTGCAGCCCTTTTTTCCCCTAGTTTTATACAACTATTTGGTCCTTAAACCTATTTAGAATCCAATATTGAACATGTATTCTATGAAAGCTATTAACAGGTAAAACAAAAACATAGCTAGGGTGTGGCACACATCTGTAGTCCCAGATACTCAGGAGGCTGAGGCAAGAGGATTGCTTGAGCCCAAGAGTTTGAGGCTACCGTGAGCTATAATAATGACGCTACTGCACTCTACCCTAAGCAACACAGAAAGGCTTGTCTCCTAAATTAAAAAATAATCATTGACAGTTCTTTCTTTTTTTTTTCTGTAGTTTTAACCCATTAGACTGAAATCAGATAGATAGGTTATTTGTGTAAATAGCTTAGTGTGTAGACATTTGTAGTACTTTTTTAATGAACATATTTTGAAAACAAATGTGTGTATTTGTGAGAGAGAAAAAGAGGAAGAAGAGTAGGTATTTTACCTTTAACCCTAAAAATAAACATTTTTTAAAAAATGTTTTCTAAAGATCCCTAAAGATAAACATTTACTCTTCCTCCTCTTTTTCTCTCTCACAGATAAACACACTTTTGTTTTTGAAACAGGAAATCCTGGAAGTTTCACTTTCTGTTACGTGTATGGTTTTTGGGTTTCGGTTTTTAAAATAAGTTTGCATTAATTTTATGATCAGTAAAAAGCAACAAAAGTCCACTTTGACAAAAAGCCCATGTAAAGGAAAACTAATTGATCTTTTTTAACTAAAACATCAATGCCCACTGGTGCTGAAAGTGCTGCAATCAAGAATATAATTTGTTCCCAGTAAATTATAATTTGAATTTAACAGTATAATGTGATAATTGTTCCTTTTATAATTATCTATATAGTTGTCGTTTTTTTTTGTGTGTGAGACAGGTTCTCACTCTGTCACTCTGGTTGGCATGCAGCGGTGCCATCACAGCTTATTACAGCCTTAACCTCCTGGGCTCAAGCAATCCTCCCACCTCAGCCTCCCAAATAACTGGAACTACAAACATGCACCACCACACTTGGCTAATTTGGTGTTTTTTTTTTTTTTTTTTGGTAGAGACAGTCTCACTATGTTGCCCAGCCTGGTCTCAAACTCTGGGCTCAAGCAGTCCTCTCACCATAGCCTCCCAAAAGTATTGGGATTACAGGCATTTCATTGCTTGTATTTTGTTTTTTGAGGTGGGGTCTTGATATATTGCTCAGACCAGTCTTGAACACCTGGCCTTAAGCAGTCCTGCCACCTTGGCCTCCCAGAGTGATTACACCATGCCCAGCTGGGATTTTTTTTTTTTTACTAATATGAAATAGTTTTGAATATATTCAGGGCCAAGTAGGGTGTGTCTATTTCTTGTAGGGGTAATTGTTATAAATTATCATGACCTTCTACATTATAGGTATTGTCAATATGGACTCGCCATATGGTTCTGTAACACCTTCTTCAACACATTTGGGAAATTTTGCCTCAAACCTTTCAGGAGGTCAGATGTACGGACCTGGGGCAACCCTTGGAGGAGCACCCACAGCTGCTAACTTTAACAGACAGCATTTTTCCCCGCTTAGTTTGTTGACTCCGTGTTCATCAGCATCAAATGGTGAGTTTTATGCACTGTAATTCCATAGAATCTGCATATATGTTTCTTAAAAACAGCAGGTTTTAAACCTCATCATAATTTTAATACCATAAAAATGTAATGTGTACTCTTGGCATCTGTGGAATTTCAAAAAAATTTCTTAGTATTTAAATGATTAGAATCAACGTAGGTTATATCAAACCTAAAATATTGAAGTTTTTCTAAGAGGGATTATTATTATTATTATTATTTATTTTTATTAGAGACAGGGTCTAACTATGTTGCCCAGCCTGGTTTTGTCAAACTCCTGGACTCAAGCAATCCTCCTACCTCCCAAAGTGCTGGGATTACAAGTGTGAGCCACTACTCCTGTCCTGAGGTACCATTTTTAGAGGGAGGAAAATTAATCCTTATACCTGTTATTAATTTATGTTTACTTTTAGTTTTGAGAATACAGCTTTCAAGGAGAAAGATTTCTACCCTTAAGTGTGAAAATTACATCCTTTTAGTTCGTCTTTAAATCTCATCTAGTCTGGGCACAGTGGCTTTCTGCCTGTAATCCTAGGACTTTGGGAGGCGAAGGCAGATGGATCACCTGAGGTCAGGAGTTCAAGACCAGCCTGGCCAACATGGCAAAAACCCATCTTACTAAAAATACAAAACTTAGTTAGGTGTTGTGGTGTGCGCCTGTAATCCCAGGTACTTGGGGACTGAGGCAGGAGAATCAGTTGAACCTGGGAGGCAGAGGTTGCAGTGAGCCAAGATCACACCACGGTACTCCAGCCTGGGCAACAGAGCAAAAGAAAAAAAAAAATCTCATCTGCATAAACAACACAACTGATTTCACATTATTACATAATTACAGGCAGACTTTTGAAGCAGTGATTAGATTTTTTTTTTTTTTTGGAGATGGAATTTTGCTCTTGTTGTCCAGGCTGGAGTGCAATGGCACAATCTCGGCTCACTGCAACCTCCACCTCCCAAGTTCAACTGATTCTCCTGCCTCAGCTTCCGCAGTAGCTGGGATTACAGGCGCACACCACCACGCCCAGCTATTTTTTTGTATTTTTAGTAGAGTTGGGGTTTCATTATGTAGGCCAGGCTGGTCTCGAACTCCTAACCTCAGGCAGCCCACCCATCTCAGCCCCACAAAGTGCTAGGATTATAGGTGTGAGCCATGGCGCCTTTTTTTTTTTTTTTTTTTTTTTTGAGACAGAGCTCACTCTGTTACCCAGGCTTGAATGCAGTGGCATGGTCTTGGCTTACTACAACCACTACCTCCCACATTCAAGCGATTCTCTTGCCTCAGCCTTCCTAGTAGCTGGGACCACAGGCGTGTGCCACCATATCCACCTAATTTTTGTATTTTTAGTAGAAACAGGATTTCACTATGTTGCTCAGGCTGGTGACCTTGTGATCTGCCTACCTTAGCCTCCCAAAGTGCTGGGATCACAGGCATAAGCCATCATGCCCAGCCTAGATTTCCAAACTAATAAAGATCAGTCAGCAATAGGGAATTTAACTCAAATTAAGACAATTTCGTAGTAAGGTTAGATATGTTTGTTTTTGAGGTAAAGATGTGAAGTTGCTTATCTGTTAAGGAAATTATAATAAGACTCAGTTAAAAAAAAAAAAACTGACACATTGCTTCTAAGTAGCAATACCCTTCTAAGTAGCAATGCCCTTAGAATGGGTAATAGTTAACCGAATTAACTGAATAAAAGAGTAAAAAGTTTTAATTATTTTAGAGACATATATCAAAGTACATTGCCAGTTAAAGCATGAGGTAAGTTGTGGCATGCAGTAAATTTATATCTTCATAGTTTTTCTTGTATTTGTCAAATAATGGCAGTCATATAGAATATTAATTATCCCCAAGTGCTGGAATTACAGGTGTGTACCACTGCACCAGCCAGGTTAGGTTTTTAATTCATGCTTTTGAATATATTGCTATATTGTAGATACAGAATATCATTGAGGCCATTACATTTGCTTTTATTGTTGCCACATTCCAGTGACTATTTTGTTATAAAAAATTTCAGACCCAAAGAAAAGTGAAATAGTTCAAGGAATATCCATATTCCCTTCACTTAAATTTCCCAATTATTTTGTTATATTTATTTTCTCTCTCTACCATCTTTTTGTGAACCATTCCTAAATAAGGTGCAGATATGACAGTTCAGACCTAAAAGCATGCATCACTTAAAGATTTTTTTAATGCAATCATGATACAATTATCAAATACAAATAGGTTAACATGAATTCAGTAAAAATTAGCAGTCTAGCCTGGGCGCAGTGGCCTCACATCTGTAATCCCTGCTCTTTGGGAGGCCGAGGCAGGTGGATCACGAGGTCAGGAGTTCGAGACTAACCTGGCCAATATGGTGAAACCCCATCTCTACTAAAAATATAATTAGCCTGGCAGGGTGGCACGTGCCTGTTGTCCCAGTTACTCAGGAGGCTGAGGCAGGAGAATTGCTTGAACCTGGAAGGTGGAGGTTGCAATGAGCTGAGTTCGTGCCACTGCACTCCAGCCTGGGTGACAGAGAGAGACTCCATCTCAAAAAAAAAAAAAGAAAGAAAGAAAAGAAAAGAAAGAAATCAGTCTCTATATTCAGATATCTTTAATTATCCCAAAACTTTTTTTTTTTTTTTTTTTCCTGAAACAAATTCTCACTTTGTCACCCAGGCTGGAGTATAGTGGTGTGATCTTGACTCACTGCAACTTCCACCTCCCGGGTTCAAGTGATTCTCCTGCCTCAGCCTCCCAAGTAGCTGGGATTACAGGTGCCTAATACTACACCTGGCTAATTTTTCTATTTTTAGTAGAGACGGGATTTTACCATGTTGGCCAGGCTGGTCTTGAACTCCTGACCTTGTGATCCACCCAGCTTGGCCTCCCAAAGTGCTGGGATTACGGGAATAAGGCACCGCACCCATCCTCGAAACATTTGTTATAGGTCTTTCTTTCTTGAACCAGGAACCACTCAAGGCTCACATACTGCATTTGATTATGTCTCTCAGGTTTTGTAATTAATAATTTTATTTTATTTTATTTTATTTGTAAGTAATAATTTTAAACTTTCAAGAATACCTCAATGATCTGTTATATATTTTTCCCTGATTCATCAATTAAACTACATTACTTTCTTTCTTCATCATACATTCCTCTGTGTGTGTGTGTTGTGTGTGTGTAAAACTATTTTATTCTGAACTATTTTAGAATTAGTTGTAGACGTCAAGCCCTTTTGCCCCAAAATAACTTAGTTTCCTAGGAATAAGAATGTTCCCTTCCACAACTATGATGCAATGTTTAAATTGAGCAAACTTTACATTTTATAATATTATCTATGGTCCATATTTACTTTTCATCAATTATCATAATAACGACTTTATTATTTTCTCTCATCCAAGATTCTAATTAGGACTGCAAGTTACACTTAATTCCCATATTTCTTTAGTCTCAAATAATCCAGAACTCTTCTCTGAGCCTTTCTTTAACTTTCAAAGAAAAACTCTGCTAGAATGCCTTTTATTTTTATTTCCCATTATTTGTTCTGATTAAATTCAGGGTATGTTTAATAAACACTGAACTAAATTGTGAGGAAATTACAGTGTAATTTTACTGTAGGAGCACTTTTTGTTCTCTTCTCTCTTGTCTCCTCTCTCTTCTCTACTCTCTCATCTCTCCTCACCTCCTCTTCTCATGAGGTCTCTCTCTGTCACCCAGGCTGGAATGCAGTAGTGTATGACCCTAGCTCACTGCAGCGTCATTCAAACTCCTGGGTTCAAGCAGTCCTCTTGCCTCAGCCTCTCAAGTAGCTAGGACTACAGGCACTTGCCATAGCACCCAGCAAACGTTTTCATTTTATTTTTATGTATTTATTTTTTTGTAAGATGAGGTCTTACTATGTTGCCCAGACTGGTCTTGAACTCCTGGTCTCAAGAGATCCTCCCACTTTGGCCTCCCAAAACGCAGAGATGCTGAGATTACAGATGTGAGCCACAATGCTTGGCCCTCCTTTTTTTTTTTTTTTTTAAAAAAAGGCAAGGTCTTTCTTTCTTGCCCAGGCTGAAATGCAGTGGCACATCTTGGCTCACTGTAATCTCCACCTCCTGGGCCCAACAAATCTTCCTGCCTCAGTTTCCCAAGTAGCTGGGACTACAGGTGTACACTACCACACTTGGCTAATTTTTTTATTTTTATATTTTGTAGAGGTGAGGTTTTACCATGTTGCCCAGGCTGGACTCAAATTCCTGGGCTCAAGTGATCTGCCCACCTCTGCCTCCCAAAATGTTGGATTACAGGCATGAGCCATCACACCCAGTTGCCCCACTTTTTGAATTTGTATCACATTGCTCTTTCAATTTGCATTCAGGACTCTTATCTTTTCTAAACTGAGGTGAATTTACCATGATATCAATGACATTTAAATATTTAGGGCACCTCATTTTATGGGCTACTTCCAAGTGCTGTAAATGATTTTTTATTTGTAATTTTGTATTATTCTAAAAACAGTTCCCAAAATTGTGTACACTTAAGGCCCCACAAAAACCTAGATCTGCCCCACCCTCTGAAACCTATTGTTTATGTAATATATAAGCTGATGTTTTTAAATAACATGGCTCTGAATTAAATTCTGCTTTTTTTTCTAATTGAAGAAATTATAATAATTAGAGATGTGAAAATTATTTTAGTTAGGTTCTTTTCATGAAAAGGAATATAGAGACTCATCCAGGGAATCTCAAAGAAAATGATGTTTATACAAGGCTATGCAGAACCATCTTCCAAACAGTCCAGGACTTAGGGGCAGCTTTTCTTCCTCTCTTGGAGGATTTATGATCTTTCACTCATGGTCTGTTTCTTGTGAGTTTCTTGAATTCTTCTCTCTTTACACCTAAACTTCTTTGTAATCTTACCTTGCATATGGACATCAGTGGTTCAACTTCATAGTTATTTAAACCAGTTAACCCTTCAATTGCCCATTCTTTGATGAGGAATGTGATTGGCTCAGCTCATATGTTCAAATCAGGCTATTTCAATCAAGACTACTGACTAGCCTAAAATGGATCATTCCTGGATGGGTATATATCCTAATCCAATAATTGTGCAAAGAGGAAGCAGAAAACAGGATCATCTGATAAAAACTATGGCTAGAGGGGTGGCAGGATCTGTGCAGAGAGTTAATTTTTTAAATGGAGCAGGTCAACAGGCAAGCCTAGTAATTCTGTTTATTAAAATAGAATGTGTAGGAGGCTGAGGCGGGAGGATGGCTTGAGGCCAGGAGTTTGAGGCTGCAGTGCACTGTGATTGTACCTGTGAATAGCCACTGTACTCCAGTGTGGACACCATAGTGAGATCATTTCTTAAAAAACAAAATGATGTGGAAGGTTGTGTTATTTTGCTTTACTTTGGTTTTAGAAGGATACAGGAAATGGAAAACAGAGTGAACCCAGAGGTTAAAGGAGGCTCCCAGGGATGAATCTAGGGGAAAGCAGGGTTCATTTGTTCATCCTTTTTTCATTCCCGCCTTCCTTCCTGCTCTGACTGTGTCTTGTGTTAGTTGTTTTGGGTTGAATTTTTTCCTAGAGGTTTAAGTGTGTCCTTTCAATATGTAGTTTAAAAAAAAAAAAACACATGCTTTTGTGTTTACATGTCTATGTATTCCTTGTAGTTTTGTCTGTTTTCCACTGCATGTGTAATTGCAGAATTTGTGGAGTTTTTTAGTCTCTAGCTGAAATACTCTTTTACTTCTAATACTTTCCTGAGTTTTGTCATAATTGTTTCTGTTTTACTAATTCTGAATGATACTGTTCCTTCATGTCATTTTCTTTTAGCTCATTTTTGAATTTTAGGTTATAGCTTTCTTTCTGAAGTGCTTTTATTGTCAACAGGAATGCTATAGGTCTTTCTCTTTCATATAATAGGCTGATTTGGAGTTCAACTGCAGTTCTGTTGAATCTGCAGGTAACAGTTTTGATTTTCAGACCTTTTTATTATTTAAACCATTTAAATTTAAATGTGCTTTAATATTTAAGCTCACATAAAATACAATTTTTATTGTTTTTTTCAATAATGTATTGAGCTTAAATCACTAATGAATATTCTTAAATTAAGAACTCCACCTTGTTTAGATAAGTAAAAAAGATTCTTATTAGTAAAAGTGTGTTCTGTGAAGTACTCACAAGATAAAACAGACTTAGGCAGTGACTCCCCTGGAGTCATATGGTGGCTCATACCAGTAGTCCCAGCTGTTCAGGAGGTTGGGGTGGAAGGATCACTTGAGCCCAGGAGTTTGAGGCTTCAGTGAGCTATGATCGTGCCTCTGCAGTTTAGCTTGGACAACAGAGCAAGACTGTCTCTAAAAAAAATAAAATAAATAAATAAATAATGGATGAATAACAAAGAAACATAATTCTTTTTCTTAAGCTAGGTTTTCCAAATTTATTAGATAGCTGAATCTCTTTATTTTTTCATCATAGCATACCAAAAAGCAAGTGTTCCCAAGAAAAACAGTTTGGAGATTACCAGTACAGGCAGTGATTTTTAGCCATCTCCATTCTGTTGTTGTTTGTTTTTTAATTTAAATGTCTTATTGCTCTACATTTACTTAATGTCAAGGGTTAATTCATTTGAATATTATTTAGTTGAACACTTTGCAGCAATGACATCATATTCTACCTCGAAGTCATGGAACTTTAGCCAAATTTTAATACGTATAATTTTTATTTAAGTATTATTTTTACATTTTGTTTTTCTGAGAATATATATTTTAAATGTCTCCTGAATTTAAGAATATAAAATTACATGTTCTATAGATGACCGGTATTTTATTTCAATATATCTCTTCTCTAGATTCTTCTGCACAGTCAGTATCCTCTGGAGTTCGTGCACCATCTCCTGCCCCATCTTCAGTACCGTTAGGGTCAGAAAAGCCCAGCAATGTGTCTCAGGACAGGAAAGTTCCAGTTCCTATTGGGACTGAACGTTCTGCACGTATCAGGCAAACTGGAACATCAGCTCCATCTGTTATTGGGAGCAATTTGTCTACATCAGTAGGGCATAGTGGCATCTGGTCCTTTGAAGGGATTGGTGGCAATCAAGGTAGGATATTCTATCCTGATCTCTAGAAATTAAGTTTATGCGTTTAACTATAATGTAAACTGTATTTAACTTTCATAGTCATTTCTTTCTTTCTTTTTTTTTTTTTTTTGAGATGGAGTTTTGCTCTTGTTGCTCAGGCTGGAGTATAATGGCATGATCTTGGCTCACTGCAACCTCCGCCTCCCGGATTCAAGCGATTCTCCTGCCTCAGCCTCCCAAGTAGCTGGGGTTACAGGCATGCACCACTATGACCGGCTAATTTTTGTATTTTTGGTAGAGGCAGTGTTTCACCCTGTTGGTCAGGCGGATATCAAACTTCTGACCTCAAGTGACCCACCCGCCTCAGCCTCCCAAAGTGCTGGCATTACAGGCATGAACCACCATGCCCAGCCTCATAATCATTTCCAAAAGATTTGTATTCCTATTTTTTTGTTGTTGTCTTGAGTATCTAGTCACTTCTTTAAGAGTTCTGTCCCCATGTGACCTTTCTCATTACATTTATTTATTACTGCTTTCTGAAAATATCAAGCATATTATTTTCTTCCTTTCATCATATTAAGAACACATGAATATTTCCTTTCAATCCCTTTAGGTTGTACTTCGATTTTTTTTTTTTATAATACCAAGTTTTTAGAGTATTTCATTTAATTATTATGTCACTACCTACAAACATGGAAATATATAAAAGTAGATCATTACATTGAAATAATCTACAGTTCAATGTGGAAAATATTAGAAAAACAGAAAATATTTTCTGTTGATTTTAAATATTAACTATTTTTGTTTCTGCTTCTTTGTTTGCTCTCAGACAAAGTAGACTGGTGTAACCCTGGGATGGGAAATCCTATGATCCACAGACCGATGTCTGATCCAGGAGTTTTTTCACAACATCAAGCAATGGAGCGAGATAGTACAGGAATTGTAACTCCTTCTGGTACATTCCATCAGCATGTTCCTGCAGGCTACATGGACTTTCCTAAAGTTGGGGTAAATTTCTAATTTTGTCCTAGTTCTTTAAGGGAGGATTTTCTGACAAAATATTTTGAATATAATAGACATATGTAAAATCAATCTATTGTTAAAATAAATTATATAATGGGAAATTTTTAGATATCTAAGATAAGTTATACATTCCCAGGATGAGGTGAAGTTTCAAATATCAATTTTAAGGCTATTGATTATATTGGAAAAAATGAACCATAACTTGGATGTTAATGTATGTGTTTTCCTTTTTTAAGGGTATGCCTTTTTCTGTGTATGGGAATGCAATGATTCCACCAGTAGCACCTATCCCTGATGGTGCTGGAGGACCCATATTTAATGGCCCTCATGCTGCAGACCCTTCTTGGAACTCACTGATAAAGATGGTTTCCAGCTCCACAGAAAATAATGGCCCTCAAACGGTAAGGCTGATCGTTCAGTGAACAAACATTTATTTTGTGTTTAAGAAACGGAAAGACAAATAGGATATAGATAACTCATGATAGCAAGAGAGTATGGTGAATATGGGCAGTTGAGGAAATTGAAGGAAATTTAATATAGCTGCAGTATAGCAGAAGGCTGTGGGAAATGGTACCAAAGGCAGGTTTGGGGTTAAAATTATGAAAGATACTCTGTATTCTACTGGGTAGCAGATAGTAAATGAAAGATTTTAAGTTGCAAAGTGATTATCATGAGATTTTATACATTAAAGTTTACTAGTGGTATGAAAAGGCCATTTAGAGGTTATTTATTAAAGGTACTATAAATAACTGAAAATTCACAGAAATGATTGTATATTTTAGCTTAGTATATGTTAAATATCTTTGATTTGTTTTTCTTCCACAACCATGAATCTGTAAATACTCAGGTAATGGTTTTTTTTTTTTTTTTTTTAAGTGTTGTAAATCAGATTCTGTTTGATGGATAAGAGGTAGGAAAATTATAGAAAAAAAGGTTTTATCATTTTTCCCACTAGTTCCTAGTATGTTGCAAACTGAAGAGTACCTCCCTAGTTTCTAAGAATTTTAATAAGATATATGCTAAATATATATTTTGTAAAATACATGCTCTATATTCATAGGTGTGGACTGGACCCTGGGCACCTCACATGAACAGTGTGCATATGAACCAGCTTGGCTGATGAGGATCAGCTTGTTAGCCTGCAGATTCCTTTTCATTTGGAGGAAATCACCAGTGGCCGAAAAAAAAATTATGCTCCCAAATCATTCTACTGATGTGCTTGACTGAAGTGTGTAGGCTTTTTGCAGAAGATCTTACTAACTGACCTATTTTCTGTGATCATTTGTGACTGCCCATTCCCCATCATCATCCGTTTTACCTTAGTTAGCATTTTTCTTATCATTTTTCTTTTTTTCTTTTCCTCTTCCCCTTTGGACATAACTTTCTGTTGAAGCTGTTCCTTGGCTGGTTGGTTTTAGTACTGTAAACTGCTTTTGAGCAAACACGGAAATTTAGCAAAATTATGTAAACTTGATCTTGAAGTTTTAGAATGGCAAATAAATGTACAATTGTTTACATAACAGAAAAGGCTAAGCAGAAAGTAAATTTCAATATGTCAGTATAGAGGCTCTACTTTATGTAGACTTAAATTAATGTGAGATATGTACCTTCATACTCAGAAATCTGGATGTTTCCTTCATACATTAAACTATTAATAAGCATAACTTTTCTACTTGTGTAATTTAAGCATAAAGTAAAATAATGGGCATTATCATTGGATGTTTCCCCACATTGGCTTTTCAGATACCCATCTTGCTTTATTTTCAGTTTATTTGTAGCAAGGCACATATAGAAGAAGAAATTTCTGGCTTTTCCATGTCATTTTATTACCTTTCCTCACTTTTAAAACTAATACACACTTATCTCTTCACTCTCTTTTCTCTCCTTACCTTTACCACTAATACCAGTAAAATTACCTTGCTGATAGTGAAAAAGTTCTGTCAGGATTTTCACTGTAATGGCTGCTACAGATGGACCATCTTCATCATCACCAGTGGTTTCTTCTAATTATAAAATGTTTAGACTTTCTGAGAATTTAAAAAGCCACCACTGTTTCCAGTCAGCATATACAAGCTCTTAATATTCTGTTTATTAAACAATTCAATGTACTATTTTATATTGGATGATATTGATTCTTAACATTGGTTTTCAGTCATCAACAGTCAACATAAAAATTTCAATTTTCAGTAATTTAGTGGAAAATATCTTATTTCTTTCTTCAATTTTAAAGGCTTTCTGCTTTTTACACTTGTATATTATCAGTAAAAAGGATCAACAGTTAACTTGAGCCAAGTAATAAAAGAAATTTTGCATTTGTCATGAAGACAATTTATGGTAGATACATGAATACACAGATTACAATATAAAGTCTCCATTTAACTTGTTTATATAAGATACAGGGCCACACTAAACTACTCAGTGAGATTTATATATTCCATCCACTTGAAACAATAAACAGTAATGTATCCAAGAAGATTATGTGTCCTACCCTGTCTCATGGAAAAATTAATTATATGGTTAAAATGTAAAAGAAAGTAAACATAAAAATCAAGTAATGTATATATCAATTTTTCTTTTTAAAAAAATAGACATAAAATTTCACACTGGTAAAACATAAACACTAACTAAAATTCCTATAAATCACCTAGAGTTGATGATACTAATATGGTTCCTTGGTTGTCAAGAAAATGGAATGATTTCTTTGAGTAAAGAATAAAAAAATGACTTCTCAAACATACCCAGATATTTGTAAACAGTACTACATAAATATCTTTTATTTTAAGAAGTGGTCTCAAAATATATAAATTTGTTTTTCTATCTATGTTTAATATGCCCAAGTTTAAAGGGAGAGCTAAAAGACAGTCTACAAATAAATATAGCTATGACATACAATTATAGCACTTTACTAAAAAAGGGATGTAATAATGTTATTTAACAAAGTATTTTATATATGACTTCCCACTATTCTAGACATAAATTTTTTTTTCTTAATTCTTTCCTGTGTTAACTAGGGTTATTTTCTAGTTAAGATAATCCTGCTGGAGAACAGATGCTATACAATATTTATTACAGCACATGAGTTGTGTTGTTTCACAATACTGAATTTCTTAAGATGGGGTATCTTATTAAAAAGGGAGGGGGGAAAACCCTATATTTTCTTTACTTCAGAACTGTGGGGCCAAGGGATGTAGATTAAAATGCTCCATGTTTAGTTTCTGGGATTGGGCTTGTTTAGTACAATACCATGGTTTTAGAAGTCTGTACTAGGAACATTTTCCAAATACATTTTTTATATTTCAGATGTAATGCAGTACACTTTTATTTGAACAATAAAAAAAAACAATTTTTTGAGACCATGAAGGTCGTTTTTTTAATTTTGAAAATATGTGGTATCTGTATACACAGACTACATCAGTCTTTTAAGAAATGATTTAATTCTTGGACATTACACTTGAGTTAGTTCACACCTTAAATCCCCAAATAGTTAATATCTCAATTACTCTATAATCACTTTGTACCATCCATTCCCAACAAAATCCCACATTTCATGCCTTTTCAACATACATTTCAACATACTCAACATATTTAAAAACACTGACTTAAGTATTTATAGGAAAGAAATTTCCCCTCCTATTTCCCATTACTAAAAAGTTGTTTTTATTAATACACGAAAATTAATTTTTTTGTAAATGACTATACTTATAATCATTTTTCTTATTTGGAAAAGGTAAATAGCTTAACTAATCCTTTCTTGTTCTTCACAAAAATAATAGTCCATCTGTGTTTTGACTCAAATAACTTAACATTCTTATTCCCACAGATCTGGCATTACAGAACATTTAAAGTGTACCAAAACATTGTTTTAAATAACAGATTTTAAAAGTAAGATTATTTCAGAATGATTAAAATAGCAAAGAAAAACCAAGTCACTGCTTTTAAAACCACTATAAGCAGAGTTTCAGTATTCCATTCTCAATATAGTCTTACTTTAGGTAAATGAATCTATGCAGATATCTTTACACTTATAATGTTTGCTGTCCCTGATACTAAATTCTAAATGTTCCTTTATGTCTTTGGAAATATATATCCTATTGATAAATGGTTGCTTAAGTTATAGCATTTGATTAACTCAGGTGACTGGAATTTAAGATGGGGGCATCATCAGTGCTTTAATAAGTCTTAATGTGTTGTACACCTTGATTGCAAAAATATCATCACTTGAAATTTGGCTAAGTGTAAAGGAAAATGTGTCACTGTGGCTTTAACAGAATACCTTTATAATGTAACATAATGCAGACCTAATATCTATGGTGTAGAAGGTTCCATATTATACTTTTAAATGAATTCACACTTTTGAAGAACAAAAGCCAACTTTGCATGTTCAGTGCTTGAAAACCAATGATAAGAAAGATGGCAAGCGGATGTCTTTCAATAAAGAGAAAAAAGCCAATTCTAGATTAGGTAGCTTTGGTTTTGAGAAGTAATGCCCTAAATAAGAAAGAACTGAAATCTTAACTGATTCTAAGAAATCACTAACAATTGCTCATGAAAACATTTCTTAAAGGTGTATTGTTTTATATATATATATACACATAACATACACAGGTAGGCTACAGTAATTTAGTTTTTTGACAAACATTTCAGAAGGCATATTTGGGAAACGAGAAGCCTAAATGATTACATGATAATGACTGCCTACATTCAAATTTTGAGCACTTAATTCAGGCTACTACAACAAAAATAATATAGACTGAGAAGCTTAAACAACAGAAATTTATCTCACAGTTCTGAAAGCTACAATGTCTAACGTCAACATGCCAGCCTTTATGGTTTCTGTTGGGGGCCTTCTGTCTGGTGTGCAGATGGCTTTCTCCTTTTCAGTTTCTTAATGTAGGGCAAAAAAAGGTCATCTTGCTTTTGTCTTTTCCTTTTTTTTTTTCTATGTTTGAGACAAGATTTCGTTCTGTTGCCCAGGCTGGAGTGCAGTGGCGTGATCACAGCTCACTGCAACCTCAAACTCAGGTTCCTGTGATCCTCCCCTCCTAGCCTCCCAAAGCACAGGAATTTACAGGCATAAACCACCATGCCCAGCCTTGTTTCTTAAGCGGGCACAAATCCAATTCGAGAGCTCTACCCCAAGACCAATTACTTCCCGAAGGCCCTACCTCCAAATGCTGTCACATTGGGGTCTCAACGAAGAATCTGAGGAAGACAAAAACTCCATTCCTGTGTTCATGTCCAGTGTAGCAAGCTCCATTCCTGTGTTCGTACCACGATGGTTAAGAATTACAGAGACTGTAGAAGGAAAATGTAATATATAGTCTCTTCTTAAGGAATTTAAAGTTGAGAAATTAACTGACAAAACACTAATATCAAAGACTGGAATCAGCTAATTATAAATGTTGAACTTTTAAAAATGTTTAAATACATTGCACACGTTCATTTGCAAAGAGGATTGACAAATGATTTCAGTTGGTTCACTCAATAGTTGTATGGTCATTTTGTACTGTACTCTGAAACTCAAAAGATATAAGATAATTACAGTGTTGTATAAACAGTGCCTAGTAGTAACACTTTCTTTGGCTGGGCTTTAAAATTGACAAATACTTCCCTCAACATCCTCTACCAAGTAGATAGCAAGTTCTAATCATCCTCGTTATATGGATTAAGAAATGTGTTTATACATATATAGATGAAATTAGCAGAAGTTAAATATTTATAAATTTTATTTAGATCATAATATTCAAACTTAATAGTTTTTTAAATGAGAATATAACATGAACAAATATATAGCAAAAAGGTGTTCCTAAATTTAGCAGAAGTTAAATATTCATAAATTTTATTTAGATCACAATATTCAAACTTAAGGAAATACTTTTTTAAAATGATAATGTAACATGAACACAATTATGTAGCAAAAAAATGTGTTCCTACACTAAAGTCCCATTTCTGACCCTTTATATAACTCCACAAAATTAAATCTTAGGGATTGCAGAACAGCTTACAGTTTTGTTTTCTTAAGAGATGGGAGTCTTGCTTGCTCTGTCACCCAGGCTGGAGTGCACTAGCTCGATCATGGCTCACTGCAGCCTTGGACTCACAGGGCTCAAGCAATCCTCCCACCTTGACCTCCTGGTAGCTGGCACCACAGGTCCAAGCCACCACATCTGGCTAATTTTTGTATTTGTTATAGAGATGAGGTCGGGCCATGTTACCAAGATCAGCCCTTAAGGTATCCTCCCACCTCAGCCTCCCAAAGTGCTGGGATTAATGGCGTGATCCACTGTGCCTAGCAAGAATAGCTTTAAAATTTGGTTCAGATTATGAACAATCTGAACAGTAGTCAGTAGCAACTGATGGCTTTTCTGTTAGCTTAATAAATGGATAAAGAAATAGAGTGGTAGGTTCTTCTTTTAGAAGAAGTTTGTATATAGCATGTGCGTGTGTGTTTAAACACGTTTAAAAATTCATGTAAAAATTTGTCAGTTTGGAAAGCAGATGACTTCCAGAATCCTGAGAAAGTGATCATAGGGTACCCTTGGTTAGGTGCACAGTGAAGGGCAAACGATAGCTGCCGTTTGACATTACCCAACATTTGCTGGAGGCTTCTTTGACTAAATAAATTTATAAAATCAATATTTACTCCTCACAACATATTTTGTTCTGTAGTCTGGGGTGACCCTTCTGTGAGGAACCTCCTCTGTGTCATTCCAGTTTGTTGTTTCCAGGAACACAAAAGTAAAAACTATATAGTCGCTGGGCGCGGTGGCTCACGCCTGTAATCCGAGCACCTTGGGAGGCCGAGGCAGGCAGATCACGAGGTCAAGAGATCGAGACCATCCTGGCCAATATGGTGGAACCTCGTCTCTAAAAAAAATAAAAATAAAAAATAGAAAAGAAAAAAAATTTAAAAACTATATAGTCCATGTAGACTCAACATATTCCTTTTGACTAGAAGACATCTAATGCTGAGTTCTAGCTCTTTAAAGCTTATATAGGATACAAGTAAACTCTAGTAAGGAATTTACCGCACTGCCATTGATACTGCCAGTGACAGTTTCCCTTAAATCAAGACATGACACTTCATCTTACTATAAGATTTTTGCTGCTATTTATAATGGAACACAAAACATTGAAGAAATTCAGTTTGCAGGTAGTGTTCAAAATACTAACTAGAATAGATGGGCCATTTAATTAAATATACACGAGACTGAACTATGCGTCGTGCTTTAAGCATGCTTATTAACACTCAGGGTCAGCAAGAAAAATGCGTCACTCTCCGGGCCGGCATTTTAGCAACGTGTTACTCTTTGGTATTATAATCTATCGTATTCTCTAGCGGAAGCAACCGAGTGCACGTAAAGAGGTTGGGGATCAGCTTCTGGTCACAAAAAAACACTGAGCAAAGGTGATTACAAATGACGGTTAGCTTTCGTGAACTAGAATGGACATTTTTACGGTGAAGACGATCTTTAGACATGACTCCACCCATGTCTCTGCAGTCTGGTCCGGCCTCGGAGTAATTCCACCCCAGCAGCGGGAAAGTTTCGCGCGTGCGCAGTAGGCCTGCCCAGTGCCAAGTGGGAAAGGCAGAACTTCCCTATCTTTTGCGTCATATCCACGCGACGCAAGTCGTCACCGGCTTGAATGGGAAGGTCAGTCACAGCTGCCGGCGGGCGTACAAGCGCTTTTTGCCCGCTGTTCCTGACGCATGCGCCTGTCAGCCTTGGCTGGCCAGTGCATGTCCGCTGGATTGTGAGGCCCGGTTTCTGGACTCCGCTGTGGTGCAGAAATGCTGTGCCGGCTTGGCGGTCGGTGGCTGCGGCCACTCCCTGCCCTGCACCTTTGGGCGAGGGACCCGCCGCTCGTGCCGGTTCCTACGAGCGGCGCCAAGCGCCCCACTCTCCCAGTGTGGGCAGTGGCACCAGTCTCTGCAGTAGATGGGAACGGCTGGTACGAGGCCCTGGCCACTTCTTCGCCGGTGCGGGTTGCGGAGGAAGTACTGCTCGGCGTACACGCCACCACGGGACTGCCCTGGTGGGGCGGCATTCTGCTCTCCACCGTGGCCTTGCGGGGCGCAGTTACGCTGCCCTTGGCCGCCTACCAGCACTACATCCTGGCCAAGGTGAGGGGCGCCGAGCCGTGCGCGCGCCCTGCGCGGCAACCCCTGAAGTGGAAGAAAGTCGACATTCACTCAGGGTTTTCGATCCCACGATATTGCCTGCTGCAGTGCTTAGTGTTTAATCATCGTGACTATTTTATTGTGACCATTTTAGCGTTTAAAAACATTTAGCATTAGGTGTGTTAAGATTTTGTACATATGAATCTGTCATTTCGTTTTCGTTGTTGGGTTTGTGCTCCGAGCACAAGTGGTTGCCAGAGTTCTCTCAGAGAATCGAAACAAAGCAGTCAGTGGCAGAAGAAATGGAGTTGGTGAAATCTATAAAATTCATGTCTTAAAAGTTGTAACAGCCAGTATGTCTGCATACTATTAGCAGTTTGCGAATTTGATTCCTATCCAAGCCCGACTAAGACTGTTGGTTGGTCACAGTCACTTAACCTTTTAATGCTGAATCCTTTTTTCTGAGGAATCAGGATAGGAATACCTTCCTTACCTATTTCGCAACGTTATGAGAGGAAGTCAGATGATGTGGGTTAAAGTGCTAGATTATTCAAATGGACTAGTTAAAAAATAATGGCTTTCATGTTTTCAGGTTGTGAGCATTGGGGAAAAAAATCGGAAACAGAACGGGAACGGAATCAGCAGCAACATTAAGTCAGTGAGCTACTTTACAGGAAAAATTAACACAGGGCAGGAATAAATGCACTTTTTATTTTTGATCTGTGTCTATCACAGTGCATTAAAGGTTCTTAACAGACTGCAGTTTTCTCCACTTACTTTACTAGGAAATCTAGAGATGGAACAGTAAAGTCCAGGGTGCAGTTCTCATGTAATACTTCTAATCCTGTGAAGTAGATGCTGTTATATATTTTATATGTAAGGGAACATGATTTTAGAGCTTACTTGCCCTTCATGATTACATGAATAAGTATACATTCTGAATTTTTGAATGAGGACATTTTAAGCAAATTGACATCATGTGTTTAGACTTAGGTTTCTTGACATGATCAGTAAACTACATTTTTGAATGACTCAAGGGAATAGTGTGAAAAATTATGAGTGATTATGAATAAAGGTCATTTATGTGCTCATAACAAAATCTATTTTTTAGCTAGGTGGAAAATTTGCAGCCAGAAATAAAAACTATTGCCAAGCATCTTAACCAAGAAGTTGCAGTTCGTGCAAGTCAGTTGGGGTGGTCCAAAAGAGTTGCCAGGTAAGCTAATTATATGCATATAAGACCATACACACACGTACATAATGGTAATGTTAATTATAAGTTTGAGTATTTTATAGTTTTGGCAGTAAACTGTTTCTTTTACATATACATACATATATATATATATATATTTTTTTTTTTTTTTTTTTTCTTGAGACGGAGTTTTGCTCTTATTGCCCAGGCTGTAATGCAGTGGCGCAATCTCTGCTCACCGCAACCTCCACCTCCTGGGTTGAAGCGATTCTCCTGCCTCAGCCCCCCAATTTGCTGGGATTACAAGCATGCGCCACCACGCCCAGCTCACTTTGTATTTTTAGTGGAGACGGGGTTTCTTCATGTTGGTCAGGCTGGCCTCAAACTCCTAACCTCAAGTGATCTGCTGGTCTTAGTCTCCCAAAGTGTTGGCATTTTGGGAGTGAGCACTGCACCCGGCCTACTCTTTTATACTTTAATAAGTTATTATGTGGCATGATAATTTCATATGCTGGACTGAAGGCAAAGAAATAAATAGAGACAGATAAGAAGAGCATGTTCCTATTCTTTAGGGATTCCAGCCTATTGAAGAAGACCTGTAAACAAATAATAATGTCAGTGAACTAACTACTATATAAAGATTATGTACAAGGCGGTGGATCATCAAGGAGAGTAAGGCAGGAAAGTCAAGATTATGTACAAGGAGCTAGATCATCAAGGAAGCACTGGCAGGATGAAGATACTTTGCCATTCTGTTGTGATATTGGTCAACAAATGACACATATTATTTACAATCTTGACCTTTTAGAAAAGATACACCAGGTAATAGCTTACAGGAAAGAGGAGGTAGAAAACATAAGTGCCATAGTAGAAACACTTCAATAGCCAAGGTGTTGTTCATCTATTGTGGTTATTCTGTGCAGTTGTCTACCTGGGTTCTTGGAAAGCCCCAATCTAAGGGTGCTTGGTTGTGCCCAAGTATGTCTGCATTAATTCACTGGAACTTACAAGCTCTCCTGCTTCAATCAACCTAAGCTACTCCTTAATCAGTTTCCCAAATTCTAATCCTTACTAGACTGTGACAAATATTCTCCTTTTTAGAGCAATGAAAAAAGGGCTTTGTAGTATCAGTCTGTTTTATGTATGTATTGTTATCCATGTATTTTTATCTGTATAGGTGTAAATTTCCCAACTATCTTTAATTTGAGATTGTGTCCTATCTTTATTTAGTGTTAAAAAGACATGACATTTAAAAAAATCATGGTGATTTTTATCTTCATTTGGTAAAAATTGAAAGTTGACAGACCTATAGTTTTGAAATTTTTACTGATCAAAGAAGTCGAAAGCTTCAGCCATAGGCCAGAAGAACCAAATTAATAGCTGCTTGCCTGGGTTACCAATGCAGCCTAGGTAAGACTATGGCACCTTTTAAGCAGCACTGTCAGGCTGGTTGGCCAGATACATCTTTACAGATGCTTCTTTCTGGGAAGAAACACGTCAGATGGACAGCATGTCAGATGGACAGCCAAGAAAGTGGACTTTTCACATAAATGATATAATACAATACTTCTAAAGCCATGCTGATATGGAAGTCTGATTTGTTGGATGAACTAAAGTCATCCAGGGACCAGAACATGCAAGTGCCTAGAGGAGTAAAGCAAGAGATAAAATTGGAAAAATAGGCAGATGTGAAATTATGAAGGACCTAGAATGTTTTTGTGTACTGTCTTATTATACACTGTAATATGAATAAATTCAGAAACACTACTGAATGCTTGCTTTGTACAAATTGTATGATACAGGAGATTTAAAGATGAGTAAAATAGAACACTTCCCCCTAAGGAAACTTCAGTTTTTGTTTTTTGTTTGTTTGTTTGTTTCGTTTTTGTTTTGCTTTTTGAGACAGGGTCTTGCTGTGTTGCCCAGGCTGGAGTGCAGTGGCACAATTTCGGCTCACTGCAACCTCCTCCTCCTTGATTCAAGCGATTTTTCTGCCTCAGCCTCTGGAGTAGTTGGGACTACAGGTGCATAGCACCACGCTGGGCTAATTTTTATATTTTTAGTAGAGATGGGGTTTCACCATATTGATCAGGCTGATCAAACTCCTGACCTCATGATCCACCCGGCTCGGGCTCCCAAAGTGCTGGGATTACAAATGTGAGCCACCACGCCTGGCCATTTTTGTTTGTTTTTTAACTCCTACTCTCTTGGACCTGAAGGAAGCTGTAGTCTAGAAAGTAAGATTTCAGGAAAGAAACAGTAGTAACTAATATGATTAACAGAAAAACAGATTAAAAATGTCTTTGTGAGATGAACAATGGAGACTATTTTGACAGGCCAAGAGCATAAGCAGTATAAAACCACATAGCTCCCAAAGGTATATTCGGGGATGAAGTCATTAAGTTTGGCTGGAGTGGAGAGATTTGATTAAAATTTGCTTTTAGCTTCCATACTTCCAATATTAATTGTAGTTGTACTATGTCGGTAGTGAAATTCACTGTTAAAGCCTAATCAGCCAAAGACCACCAAAGACAAAGCCTGTAGTCTGACAATTTCAGATTGTTATGTAACTTGTGTACAATACTGTAGGAATTTTGATAAAAGGACTTACTTGACTGTTGTTTAGGCAACCCCTTAACATGGCTGTGACAGCTGAAACCCTTATACAAATCCTTTAGCTAATAACTACAGCAGGAGCTATTTGTGCTGGAATAAAGCGCAATTCTTAGTCAAATGACGTTTTCTCTTTTCCCTTTTTTTCTGCTTATCTCGATCTAGGCTCACTTATCTAAAGAATATGAGGAGGCTAGTTTCAGAGGTATATGTGCGAGACAACTGCCACCCTTTCAAAGCCACTGTGTTGGTTTGGATTCAGATTCCAGTATGGGTCTTTATGTCGGTTGCTCTCCGGAATTTTAGCACAGGGGCAACACATTCAGAAGGTAATTGTCCTAGAAGTCTTCTCCCGAATAACTTCTCTAACATTGTCTTTGTATTAAAAAACAAAAACAAAAAAACACATACTTTTCTTTATTAGGATACATTTACTGTCTTCCTTATAAGGGTATAGAATTTAAAGTCTTAAGTGTAAACAGATTGATTGTGTTGAGAACAACATTTTGTATTGAGAAAAAATATATATATTGTGAGTGAAAAACCAAAATAAAATTAGTGCAGAACTTTCCTGTGAGGGATACCTTATTGGAATCGTTAGACTTCTTATTTATGTCTTATGTATTTTTCTCTGCTGTTTTAGGACTTCTATTGTTTTATTTGTAAAATTATCTCAGCAGGTTTTTCTGTTCCGGAACAGTTAGCTACTGGCGGGATTCTGTGGTTTCCTGACCTCACTGCACCGGACTCCACTTGGATTCTGCCTATCTCTGTTGGTGTCATCAATTTATTAATAGTGGAGGTCAGCGGTTTTAAATGAAATTTGTTTGCCATTTTTGGGGGTTTTTGTTGCTGTTGTTCTGACATTAAATATATTTTTGTTTGAGTTGGTGAAGATAGCTCTGACTTAGAACTGAGATCCCTTGGTTCCTGGTTCTAGGTCAGACATTGGCTTAGGCCTGTCCCTTAACCTCTCTGGGCCTCAGAACTCTCGAAATTAAAAGCACTGAATTAGTACATTTCCAAGTCTCTTTCAGCTTCAAAATGACATGATTCTGATACATAGAATTTTGTGATTTGCTTTTGGTAAAAACAGTAATGAAGATGCCCAGTTTGGTTATTTTCTTAGAGTGGTGTTCCATGTGGGTGTTTAATATGTGAATTTGTAGATGGGGAATACAATCAGGCGCTGACTGCCATTTTCTTGCTTTATGACCTTAGAAAAGTCATTGAATGTCTTTATAAGATGAAATGGGGAAAACATACACAGAAAATGTGACCTTTCAGTCATGCCTTTTTTTTTTTTTTTTTGAGATGGAGTTTCACTCTTGTTACCCAGGCTGGAGTGCAATGGCACGATCTCGGCTCACCGCAACCTCCGCCTCCTGGGTTCAGGCAATTCTCCTGCCTCAGCCTCCTGAGTAGCTGGGATTACAGGCACGCGCCACTGTGCCCAGCTAATTTTTTTGTATTTTTAGTAGAGACGGGGTTTCACCATGTTGACCAGGATGGGAATAAAGCGTAATTCTTTTGACCTCATGATCCACCATCCTTGGCCTCCCAAAGTGCTGGGATTACAGGAGTGAGCCACTTCGCCCGGCCCAGTCATGCCTTTTTTTTTGAGACAGTTTTGCTCTTGTTGCCCAGGCTGGAGTACAATGGCGTGGTCTTGGCCCACTGCAACCTCCGCCTCCCGAGTAGCTGGGATCACAGGCACATGCCACCACACTCGGCTAATTTTTGTATTTTTAGTAGAGACAGGGTTTCACCATGTTGGCCAGGCTGGTCTTGAACTCCTCACCTCAGGTGATCCACCCACCTTAACCTCCCAAAGGCGCTGGGATTTCAGGTGTGGGCACTGTGCTCGGCCCTCTCAGTCATGTCTTAACTCTTATCGCAGGCTGCTTTACTCAGCAGTTTTAGGAAACTCTGCATATAATTTCATAAATTGTTCTCAGACTCTGAGTAGAACAGACTGAACTGGAAGAAATCTTAAAAATGATTTACCTCAGTATAGATCTCCCAGACCTCATGACCACTGACCCCTGTTTGTGAAATCTAATATAACCCCTATTTTTTCAGATAAGAACAATGAAAATGTTAGAGTATAAGATTTTGAGTGAAAGTTTCTTGAGGAAAGACTGTACCTGTAATCCAAATATGTTTCCCTAAGTGCATGTAGCATAGTCACTGTGGTTGGTAGTCAGTAAATAGTTGGTAGAAAGAAGGAAGTGATAAGCACAAGGTTATAGTGAATCAATGTCAATCCTCTAGTCTTTTCCTCTATGTTATCTAAGGACTAATAAAAGTTTTTCATGGTGGTGCATGGTGTCATGTGCCTCTAGTTCCAGCTACTCGGAGGCTGAGTCAGGAGGATTGCTTGAGCCCAAGAGATGGAGGCTGCAGTGAGCTGTGATCCCATCACTATACTCCAGCCTTGGCAACAGAGAGACCTCATCTCTAAAAGAAAAATAAAAGCTTATTCTTACTTAACATCCACTATGTGAGCATTGTTTTGTTTTGTTTTGTTTTTCTTGAGACAGAGTCTCACTCTCTTGCCCAGGCTGGAGTGCAGTGATATGATCTCTACTCACTGCAACCTTTGCCTCCCAGGTTCAAGTGATTCTCCTGCCTCAGCCTCCCAAGTAGCTGGGATGACAGGTGCCCACCACCACGCCCAGCTAATTTTTTGTATTTTTAGTAGAGACGAGGTTTCACCATGTTGGCCAGGCTGATCTGGAACTCCTGATCTCAAGTGATCTGCTGCCTCAGCCTCCCAAAATGCTGGGATTACAGGTGTGAGCCACTGTGCCTTGCCATAAGACATCGTTATAAGCAATTTGCATCAATCAACTTATTTACTTCTTAGAATAACCCTGTAAACTAAATATTATCCTTTTTTAATATGGAGAAAGTGAGACATAAAAATGTAAAACTACATAGTTTGGCTCTAAAATCATAATTATGCGGAAGTATCTTTTTTCCCCCTTTTCTTTTTTGTGGAGATGATCTTACTCTGTCACTAGTATAGTGGTGTGATCTCAACTCATTGCAACCTGTGCCTCCTGGGCTCAAGCAGTCCTCCCACATCAGCCTCCTTCTCGAGTAGCTGGGACTACAGACACATGCCACCATGCCCAGCTAATTTTTGTATTTTTTGTAGAGACAGTTTCATTGTGTTGCCTAGTTTGGTCTCAAACTCCTCAGATCAAACGATCAGCCTGCATGGGCCTCCCACAGTGGTGGGATTACTGGCAGCCCCCATCCTTATGCAGAATTCTTAAGTGGAGCTTGAAGAATCAATCCTATGACAATAGCTATCATATAAATCATTGCACTTGTTTTTTGGTACAAAGTGTCAAAAATCCTTCATTTAAGAATTTCACATAATTAGTAAGTGGTTTTTTTCTTTTTTATTTTTTTAAGAGACAGGCTCTTGTTCTATTGCCCAGACTGGAGTTTAGTGGCATGATCATAGCTCACGGCAGCCTCAAACTCCTGGGCTGGAGTGATCCTTCAATCTAGGCCAGTTATTAAGAGTTTTAAAATGGTTGACCAAGCTGAGTGCAGTGGTTGGTACATGCCTATTATCCCAGCTACTTGAGAGGAGGAGGTGGGAGGATCACTTGAGCCCAGGATTTTGAGACCAGCCTCAAACTGGTCTATTTGATAGCAAGACCCAGTCTCAAAAAAAAAAAATGATTAGCCATATAAATTAATCAGTGTTTTATATAAATATATATATATATATATATATACATATATATACATATATATAAATATATATATATACAGACATATATACATATATATTTATATAAATGTATATATGTCTGTGTGTGTGTGTTTTGCTTTTATTAAAGTGTAGATGGAGGCCAGTCAAAACTCAGTTTATATGTTAAAGCTTGTCTGATTTAACATACATTTTAATAATCATTATGCATGTATATGTTCTACCCCTTCAGATTTATGCTCTACAAAAAATTGGAATGTCTCGTTTTCAAACATATATTACATACTTTGTCCGTGCAGTGTCGGTGTTGATGATTCCAATTGCTGCAGCGATGCCCTCAGTGAGTAAGCACCAACATTGTGGGAGCATGTGCTAAATCCTCTCTGACTTTAGCTTAGACTGGCTGGAAACCTGCCTGTTCTGTTGAACTTCCTCTGACTACCTGATTCGTTACTGAATCAGAGTTGCTGTAGTAACTAATCTGTCTCTATTTCTTGCCTTTGAAAAAAAAATCTTGCAAAATGTTTTACATAATACCATGAATATTGTATTTGTTCCATTTGACTACTTGGTATATTGAATTAGTTCTGCCTGTGTAGACTGGACCAAGGAATTTGGCACTTATAAAAGAAACAAAGTGCTAAGACCATTAGGGTTCATTTCTGGTATTATTTAATCTCATAACAACTCTTATGAAATACGTAAACTTGTCCCTGTATATATTGATTTAAACTTAATAGAAATAGAAAAGGAAATGGTTATGTTTGCAGTTAGTTCAGTCTTCTGCATGTTTCGCACAGATACTTTAGAAGTTTCTAAGGAGGCAAAAGCTGTGTTAGATTTATCTCCATGTTTACTCAGAGCCAACACATAAAGTAGAATTCAGTTGTTGTTCATTGTTAGGGTGTGTCATATATAAAATGACTTCGCGGTATTTTTTTTTTTTTTTTTTGAGATGGAGTCTGGCTCATCATTCCTTGCCCAGGCTGGAGTGCAGTGGCGCAATCTTAGCTCACTGCAGCCTCCACCTCCTGGGTTCAAGTGATTCTCCTGCCTCATCCTCCCTAGTACCTGGGATTACAGGCACACACCACCATGCCTAGCTAGTTTTTGTATTTTTAGTAGAGACAGGGTTTTGCTTCATTGGCCAGGCTGGTCTCGAACTCCTGATCTCAGGTGATCCACCTGTCTTGGTCTTCCAAAGTGCTGGCATTACAGGTGTGAGCCACCACGCCTGGCCCACTGTATTCATTATAGGAATCTAAAGCAATATGTTTTTGGTATCAAAATGTATTTTTTAGGTTGTTACTGGACATAATACTATCATTAATCCTGTGCAGAATAAGTTTGCACATCTCTAAAATAGATACCATAATGCCTATGAGAATTAATGAAATAAGTGCCTATTGTAGATCTTTTTACCTAATAGTAGTAATGTCGTAAAATACCCTGAAAAGTAGAGCAGCACAGATTCACTGCATTTCCACGGAGAAATCATACCAGTTATAACTGAAGAACTCCCCCAGATTGAATAAAATACGAGCAGTGAAGTTTTACTGAGGATTGAGTTAAAAATGAGTAATAAGAGATCTAAAACACAATGTCTTAACAAGCCAAAATTTGTCCTCTCAATTATAGGAAATCTGGTAAGGCAGCTGAGGGATGATGGAGCAAGTTCATGAAGATGAGAGACCCAGACTGCTGCTCTCTTTCTGATTTGTTATCCACAGCCTGTGCTTTCAAGGCTATGCTATGGTCCTGGCTGCTAGACCTTGTTATCATGGAGGAATAGTAAAGGGTGCCTCAAGTACAGTCAGCCCCTTTTAAGGAGCCTTGCCAGATGTTCCACCAAACAGTTTTACATCTTAGTCTTATGGCTACCCCTTGCTGCAGAAGAGACAAGGAAATATAGTCTTTTTTTTTTTTCCCAGATGACAGTGTACCCAACTAAAAATTAGGATTTTGTTACTAAGAAAGAGGGGAGATTGATACTTAGATGTCAACTTATAGCCTGCTATAGTTGGGCTCAGGTTGTTTTTCTGCTGGTGGATAAGTCAGATGATGACGATGGCCAATATTTATTTAACATTGACTTTGTGCTAAGCACTGTTTTAAATGGTTTGCATACGTTACCCCATATAATTCTCCCAACAGCACAATGATAAAGGTACTATTGTAATGTCCACTTGTTGAAGAGGAAACTGAGACAAAGAGAAATTAAGTAACTCATCCAAGGCCGCTTAGGTATAAGTGATAGAGTCTTAAAACACATCTAAGTAGTTTGGCTCCTCCTCTTAACTTACTGTGCTAATCTACCTTTGAGGATGTGCTACTTTCTGCCCCTAAAGGCTGACTTTGGAACAAATGACAAATACAGGTGCCGAATGTGGACCATATACTTGCATACCACTCTACATGAATTATCTCATTTATTCCTGATAGCAGTCCTCTGAGGTACAGTTACTGTCTCTACTTTACAGTTGAGGAAACTGGAACAGAAGGAAAATAACTTACTCAAAGTCAAATAGATGGCAGATAGGAGTCAAACTCAGGCAGTTTGACTCCAGAACCCAGACTTAACAACTACATGGTTTTGTTTCTGGGGCCTGATTACCTTCTGATGCCAAAGAAAAGTCTGGAACAGGGGTAAGTATAGGAGTATTTCGAGAGGTTGTAGAACTTAGTTATTGACCTAAATAAATAGTCACCCAGGGCCACAGACCAGTACCAGTCCATAACCTGTTAGGAACCAGGCTGCACAGCAGGAGGTGAGTGGTGGGCAAGTGAGCCTTACCACCTGAGCTGTGCCTCCTTTCAGATCAGCAGCATTAGATTCTTATAGGAGCACAAACTCTATTGTGAATTGCACGTTTGAGGGATCTAGGTTGTGCACTCCTTATGCAAGTCTCACTCCTCATGATATGAGAAATGGAACAGTTTTATCCCAAAACCTTCCTCCCATCTGTGGAAAAATTGGTCCCTAGTGCCAAAGAGGGTTAGGGATTACTGGTCAAGAAGGTAATGCAAAAGAAGATTAGAGATAATGCTGAGGCTATTTGTCTCAGAAAAAGGCAAAAAGATACATTCCTGACTATACTGAGAAACTGGCTGTTGGGAAAAATTTGGATGATAGATGACTATATGGGGAAAATGAGATCTCGGGAGGCTAAGTTTCCCACCATAAATGCCACACCTCCAGTATGTAAGTAGCTGGACAGGACTGTTGGTGAGAAAAAAGTATGCTCCATTGCCAAAGGGAGATGAGTTCTCTCTTGAGCCTCTGCCTAGGAGCCTCTCTCTTTTTACTTTCTACCCTAAATACTTCTCTTTTTCCTTTATTTCTGCTTTTTGGTCTGTCTATAACCTTTCTTACCTGTCTATTAAATCCTTCGCAGCAATCTGATAGTTGCTGCAAGTCTTGCTCAGTCTTGGCATACTTCTATTTGCAAAGATTGTTATTTTCTTTTTTATTGCTTGCCTGTGTCTAGACTGTGATGTCTTTGCAGAATTACAGATGCTAACATTTATTTCTTCTCTTTATAGTCACTTGTTCTCTACTGGTTATGCTCCAGTTTGATGGGCCTTTCACAGAACTTGCTGCTGCGTTCTCCTGGATTTCGCCAACTTTGCCGAATACCATCAACCAAGTCAGATTCAGAAACTCCTTATAAAGACCTTTTTGCTGCCTTTTATAGCAAGTTCATTTCAAGAAAGTGATATATTTTCCAATAATTTTGAAACAGTTGCAAGAGTCACTATCACCTTAATGTATTTAGACTTAGAAATTCAGGTATTATTTGATTTGCCTTTATTTAAAATTATGAACTTCATGAAATATTGTAGATTAAGTTATAATCCAGGCCAGGCATGGTGGCTCATGCATGTAATACCAGCACTTTGGGAGGCCAAGCTAGGTGGATCACCTGAGGTCAGGAGTTCGAGACCAGCCTGGCCAACATGGTCAAATCCTGTCTCTACTAAAAAATACAAAAAAAATTAGCTGGACGTGATGCTGGGCCCCTGTAATCCCAGCTACTTGGGAGGTGAGGCGAGGCAAGAGAATCGCTTGAACCTGGGTGACAGAGGTTGCAGTGAGCTGAGATCGCCCTTTTGCACTCTAGCCTGGGCAAGAAGAGTGAAACTCTGTCTCAAAAAAAACAAAACAAACAAAAAAGCTGTAATCCAGATATATTTGACCATAATTAAAATCTTTTAAATGCTATAAATACAGTATGTTTAATTGTGAAAATATTAAACTAGAACCAAAGTGCCTGTCTCTGTCTTTGTTAGGGCTGCCAGAACTTTGGAGGATAGTGTTAGCTACTGAATGATGTCAAATTAAACTAAACAATACTGCATATTACTGTTTTGTAAAGTAAGAGGATCAGTGAGATGATTTTTTTTTCCTTTCTTTGAGATGAAGTCTCACTCTGTCTCCCAGGCTGGCATGCAGTGGCACAATCTCAGCTCACTGCAACCTTCACCTCCTGGATTCAAGCTGTTCTCCTGCCTCGCCTCCGAGTAGCTGGGATTGCAAGTGCACACCATCACCCCCAGCTAATTTTTCTATTTTTAGTAGAGACAGGGTTTCACCATGTTGGGCAGGCTGGTCTGGAACTCCTGACCTCAAGTGATCTACCTGTGTTGGCCTCCCAAAGTGCTGGGATTACAAGTGTGAGCCACTGTTCCCAGCTTTTTTTTTTTTTTTTTTTAATGAGACAGAATCTCTGTCACCCAGCACCCAGGCTGGAATACAGTGGCACAATCTCGGCTCACTGCAACCTCTGCCTTGTGTTCAAGCAGTGCTCCTACCTCACCGTCCTCAGTAGCTGGGATTACAGGTGTGTACCGCCATACCCAGCTAAGTTTTGTATTTTTAATAGAGACAGGGTTTGACCATGTTGGCCGGGTTGGTCTCGAACTCCTGGCCTCAAGTGATCTGCTCACCTCGGCCTCCCAAAGTGCTGGGATTACAGGCGTGAGCCACTGCGCCCAGCTATTTCTTAATATTTTGGAGGCAGAGAGGATTTTAGACCTCCTTGAGCATCTAAGAAAAGGCTATATATTTGGTTTTCTCTTCAGAAGAATTTTAGAATTCACAATATGGGACTTCATTGATACTGGGAAGATCTTCTGGCAACTCCTAGTTAATAAATCTTATTCTAATGGAGCATACATTGATGCTGAGTTAATGTGTGGTTGAAAAAGAAAACAGGGCAACTTGAAATATATGCAGTAGAGTAATCCATGCATACAAGTACCTAATATGGTAGATGATATTGCCTCCTACCCCTGCTCGGAAAGAATACAAAAAGTGTACATTCCTTTTTCTATAATTTAAGAAGTCTGGAATACAGAGTGTAGCATTGTGTACTGCTAGCACCCATAGTAGAAAATCTTAAGCATTCAGTTTGTTTAGTCAAAGAAGAAAACCAGAAGGGCAATTGCCTATTGAGGTGATTTTAAACTTCTTTATTTATAAGTATTAAGTACCCTAATAGGCTTAAACTATGATATAGGTTTAATATGGGAAAAATTGACAGTTATTATAAATTGTGGATCCAGTTATTTGCTTGTTTAATTTGTAAAGAGATAAAATTAGCTCTGGTTGAGATAGCAAGTATAACAGGTATTTAGAAGGCTATAAATCATAAATTTTCATTTAGTTAAAATATGGACCTGATTCTGGGAAACCCTATCATTCCATCTCAGTGTTTTACAGTAAAATAAAAACTAAAGTGAAATTCATTCATCATTTCTTTGATTGATGTCTCTTAAATTTTAGTTCACCTATTTAATGAAGTTATGACATTTTTTAATATAAAAAATGTGCAGCATACAGAGATGAGAATTCTGGTTGTCATGTTACTACAGTTCCCTGAAAATTTATTTTAAACATAGATGGTGGCAGTTAATACTGGGTTCTCTTTTCGTAAATTCCTAGTCCTGATTTCTGGCTGCCCTATTGAGGCAATTGTGCTTCCCAACCACATCGAAGGAATTGAAACATACTCATTATTTGTGCATTTTGTGTTTGGAAATTTGCCTGCTTGCTCAAATCTGTCCATAACTCCAGAACCAGTATTTTCACAAGTGCTTTTGAGACCATTCATAGGCAAAAATTTAGTTACCTCCCAGGAGAAGTCAAACAAATGGCACTCTGTCTTCTAATTTCAGCTCTCATACTGTAAACATGTATCCTTTTTGAGTCTACTTGGTGCCATGTCTTCCTCATTTCTGCTCTTTTTATTGGTGATGTCACTGTTTAAAATGCCATCGAAATGTCCTGTTGGAGTGCTGTCTAATGTTCCTAAGCTCAAGACGACTGTGATGGGCCTTAAGGAGAAAATAAGTGTCTTAGATAAGTTTCATTCTTGCTTGAGTTATAATGCTGTTGGCAGAGAATTCAGTGCTACTGAATCAACAATATGTTGTATTGATCAGTTGACAACGTCAAAGCTTGCAGAAACTTAACCCTGTATATGTTTTTTAGGAGCAGTGGTTTGGTATTCACTAATTCAGTGATTGTGGACTTTATGGAACATAAATACTACAAGTAACGCAAATTTGCAACTCTATTTGTGACATGTACAATCAAGGATGCAGAGGCAGAAATGTGTGCGCAGCTTGGGTCATAGTAAAAAGAGAAAAGAATTTGAGGCAAATTTTGGCAGTTACAAATTATCTCTGAAATAACTTTGCCTTTGCTCTATGTTACTATTTACTGACTCAGATATTTTTCTCATAATGGCATGAGGGAAATCAGTGTCCTTTTCCCACTGTGTTTGTCACTTTTGCTAAGACACAAAAAATAAGGTTCTATGATACTGTGAAATACATGTTTGGTCTGTGTCTCCAATCCCTGACATTTAGCAGAATCTGCCTGCCAAGTTGTAAGTGTCTTTTGTATGCTCATGTGATGACTGGTGGATGGGGTCCCCAGCCTGGCCAACATGGAGAAACCCCATTTCTACTAAAAATGCAAAATTAGCTGGGTGTGGTGATGCATGCTTGTAATCCCAGCTACTCCGGAGGCTAAGGAAGGAGAATCGCTTGAACTGGGGAGGAGAAGGTTGCAGTGAGCCAAGGTCGTGCCATTGCACTCCAGACTGGGCAACAAGAGCAAAACTCAGTCTCAAAAAAAAAAAAAAAGTTTCAGGATAGGGACAGTTCTACATCAGCCTGGGCAACATAGTGAGACCTTATCTCTGCGGAAAAAAAAGAAAGTTTTTTCCTATCTCCAGATACTCCCTTTTCAAATAAACGAATCTTCTTTCAAGTGCTGATTTTACCTTGTATACTATGAGTCCCCTGATTTCAAAATGTATGTTTGTATCTTTTTGCAAATGCATATTGTGCTTAGGTTCCTGTTGCTCTCCCACTGTCAAACTTGCAAACTTGAAATTTCTTTTCAAATATATACAGGAAGTTTGAGAATACAGGGCCCTTCCTCCAAGATCCCAAAATAATTTCTGATAAGTGGGAGGGGCGGGGATAGCTGGGATGTTGGCATAAACCCATGTGTAAAGAAAATTGGTATATTATGAACTGAAGTGAAGCAGTTGCCTGAGATTACCTGACTTCAGGATGGTACTCTGATTTTTTTCTTCAGGCAGTTTTTTTTTTTTAGTAAAGAGCAAAAAAATCTATATTGTATTTTAGAAAATTCCAAGTCTGTGGTCTTATTTCTCCAACAGTTTGCCATAGCCTGGAGCAATTCCAGAGCCTGAATGAAGTCAGGGCTACTGAACAGGGGCTATACATGCTCTCAAGACCCCTTGATGTCTTGCTGTCTGGCCTGCCTATATCCCCTGAGTTGCTCAGGCTCTGCTCTGGGCCCTGCAGAGTTCAGGAAAGCTTTTGTCTCCTTAGTGGGGACTGTAATGTTTGTGTTACACTTCGCCACCACTTACAAGAGATCTGTTTTACCTGTGGGTCTCATTTTTGTCTCTAGGCCAGATTCACTCTTTTAATGAATGCTTCTCATTTGAAGAGTCAGGAAGGGACTCACTCCTGGATCAATTTATAGTATTTATACCATTAGGATACCTGAGCTTAAAGTATATTAATAAATAGAATTGGCATATCTGAAATGATCCCAAATTAATTTTCCCTGGGACCCTCAGGAGAGAAATCCTGAACAAATCCTATCCTAGTCACATGTCCTAAGTGGGAAGATGAGGCTTACAAAAGAAAATCAAAATTCTTAATTGCCACCCTCACAGATAACCCAGGAGAAGTTGCAAAGCCTCATTAAGAACCTTGAGGGGAAATCCAAACTTGGGGAGAATTTTCAGGTGCCTTTAACAGCACTCAAGAGCTAAAGGCCAAACCTTCATGTGAGAACCACACATTCACCATCCAACCAAAAGGATGGAATTGGAGACACGAAGAACAGCGGAAGTCCTGTGGTTTGTTACATCCAAAGGCTGGCTGACAGTACTTATGCCTTGAAAATGGACCATTTAAAATGTTTTCTCACACTTCACATCTCAGAGGAGGTACAGAGTTCCTTCTAGACCACACTGGGAAAATTGTAGTTTGTGTGAAAAAAAAAAAAAACCTTGGTAACTTCTGTATTTTGCTCTTATTTATTTTTTTTAATTGGGTGCGTGATCTGCAGCTATTCTTAAATCACCCTTATACCTTCATATTTTATTCTTTTAAGAATCCCAGGAATCACCTTTTTTTTAGGAGTCACCTTTAAAATTGCCTTTATGTTAGATTTAAGTCCCAGAAGCAATAGAAATGCAGACCCTAGGAAAAAAAAAATGGAGTTTGTTTTTTCCTCTGGATGTTAATTATGGCTACTACAGTATGCAAACTTTGGAATTTCAGGCATAACATTTGAAACTATGCAAGAATTAAGATTTCTATATTAAAGCTAAATAAAGCTTCATGTAAATATGATGAGAAACAGTGAGTTACCATCATAAACACTTGTGCTTTATGAGCTGGTTCAAGAAGAACCCAGATAACCTGGCAATTATGTGAATCTAGAGATTTTTCCATTTGAACCTTCTTAGTGTTGCCTTAAGTTATAATAATGGGTATTTTTTAGTTATCTCTTTATTTTTTTATATCCTATGATTGTATTTCATGAAATCATTTGACTTTGATAAGTAGGAATTTCCTAAAGCCACAGCATTAAAGTAATAGATAATTTTATTTTTCCAAAAGTTTCTGGAATTTTGTGGTTCTGTACTATGTATACAACTAAAATAAGAATATAAATTGATATAAACTAAGAATTTGATCCATGTGCAGTTTAAGCAAAGCCCTAAAGACCCTGAATTTACATGTATTATTCTGCTAATGCTATAGAATATGAAGATTTCAGATATCTCCTTGATAACTCTTTAAGAAAGTGAAAAATGAATTGTTGAACCTCGGAGGTGGAGGTAGCAGTGAGCCAAGATCGCCCCACTGCACTCCAGCCTGGGCAAAAATAAAAAATTAAAATTATCTCAAAAAATAAAAATTAACTACTAGTCGGATCAAACTAATGCTAAGTGGGAGAATCCTTTAAATGGGTAAACCTTGGTGCTATGGTTTAAATGTCTCCTGCAAAACTCATGTTGAAACTTGATCCCCAGCGTGGCAGTATTGAGAGGCATGGGGCCATTACATGGTGATTGGATCATGAGGACTCTCTTCTCATAAATTGATCAACTGACTTATGGATTAAGTGGTTATAATGGGAGCAGAGCTGGTGTCTTTGAGAGAGGAAGAGAGATATGAGCTAGCACTTAAGCATGCACATTCCCCTCACCACGTGATACCATGTATTGCCTCAGGTCTCTTCAGAGTCCCCCCCTAGCAAGAAGGCTCTCACTAGTTGTACCCCATTGATCTTGGACTTCTCAGCCTCCATAACTATAAGAAGTAAAATCATTTTCTTTATAAATTACCCAGTTTCAGGTAGTCTGTTATAAGCAACAGAAAGCAGACACTTAGTATAACAAAACAAGATTAAGTTGATCTGAGAACCTTATAAAATTTAAAAGTTCATAGCTTAGAAAAAGCAAGATAAATCTTAAAACCTTGCTCTTTGGAAAGCTTTGCTAAAGAATTTAGCAAATTTTAAGAACTGTTACTGAGTACATGAAAGAATAGTTTAATCTTAATAGAAAATAAATCATAGGTAAAAAATCAGCAAGAGAGCACGCATGTGAACTTTGTGTTTATGATTATGTATTCAACATTCTAGATGGATCACATAATTGCAAAATAAAATTGTACAGAATTTTTGAAGACAGCCATTTGAGTTTTTTTACTTTGTTTGAGTGGCACAATCTCGGCTCACTGCACTCTCTGCCTCCCGAGTTCAAGCAATTCTCCTGCCTCAGCCCCCGAGTAGCTGGGACCAAAGGCGTGCACCACCACACCCAGCTACGTTTTGTATTTTTAGAAGAGACGGGTTTCACCATGTTGACTAGGCTATTCCCAAACTCCTGACCTCAAGTGATCTGCCCACCTTGGCCCCCAAAATGCTGGGATTACAGGCGTTAGCAACCTCGCTGGGCCTATTTGAGTGTTTTATGTCATCTCAGAGTAGACCTTTCTCTTTCACAGCACCTGAAAGCCATAATGTTCTAAGTACTTAGAATTGACAGCTGCTAAGATGCCCACAAATAAAGCAGACTGAAGCTGAACTATCAGGTAAAGACTAACATAGCCACAGAGAGGGAACTATTGGGTGACCCTGGAACAAATGCCTTGACTAAAAACCATTAGTGGAATAAAATCTAAAAGCAAAAGGAATTATTAGAAAATTTGAACTTTATGTAGTAATTATATTGCTGTTGTTAATGCAGTTTTTAAAAGCTTTTATTAAATAATGTTTATTAAGTATATTCGTTTGTGCTGCTTATTACCACCAAGAGAAAGATTATTGAAGAAATTTATTGAAGATATTTTACATCTATTTCAAAATTTTCTTTTAAGATTGTGGAAATTAGGATCAACCTGAAGCCTTTTGATAACTAGTCTTTCCATCTGGCCTCAGAGACTGCCCCTGAGGAAAAGGATTCATTCCACCAAAAGAGGATCCTTCCTCTCCACAGTTCTCTAGCCCCATGCTCAGAAAGCCTAGTCTTCATTTCTGTTTCAGCTGAGTCCCTTCCCAGTCTCAATAAATAACTACATAAAAGCATTTTGATCCTGGTTGATTTACATCCGTAGGAACCACAAGGTCAGTGGGGTGCAGTGGCTCACTGCCTGTAATCCCAGCACTTTGGGAGGCCGAGAGGGGGTAGATTATTTTAGGTCAGGAGTTCGAGATCAGCCTGGCCAAAACTGGTGAATCCCCAACTCTACTAAAAATACAATATTAGCCAGGTGTGGTGGCACATGCCACCCAGCTACTTGGGAGGCTGAGGTAGAAGAATCACTTGAACCTGAGAGGCAGAGGTTGTGGTGAACCGAGATCATGCAATTGCATTCTATCCTGGACAACGGGAGTGAGACCCTGTCTTTAAAAAAATGGAACCACAAGGTCTGGCTGTTAGCACAAGAAAACGAAAAACAAATGGCGGGCAAAAAATAGCTGAAAAATTTTCAAGTTTTGTTATTCAACTATATTAAAACTAAGGAAGCACTTTCCTAAGAGACCTTGCCTACTTCTCAGAACACTAACTTTTTGCATGGCTGTAACTTGAACATAAGGGGACATTGAGACAACTTTCTCCAAATAGTAACAGAGAGGACCTTGTTTTCTTGCGTTCTGCCACTGACTACCTTCTTTGTTGCCCAGTGTTTAGGTAGTTGTTGAAAGGTACCCTTACTTTCAATTGCCTAGTCCTATACTGCTGGTTTTGTTTTATAAAATGAGGACCTCTGGTGTTTTAAAACAAAAGTATCAATGGAAAGACCTGAAATAAAAATCAGTGGTTTAAGGAAGCAACAACAATCATTCCTATTAAATTATTCTAAGGCAACAAAAGAGAATTTTTTTTTTTTTAAACACAAGTTTTTACTTGGTCACCCAGGCTGGAGTGCTGTGGTGCAATTTTAGCTCATTGCAACTTTGAATTCCTGGGCTAAAGCAATCCTCCTGTCTCAGCTTCCTGAGTAGCTGAGACTACAGGTGCATGCCACCATTCCCAGCTAATTTCTAAAATTTTCTGTAGAGATGGAGTCTTGGCACATTGCCCAGGCTGGTTTTGAACTCCTGTTCTGGCCACCACACCTGGCCCAAATTTCTATCCTTGAAGATCTCTGCTAGAATTTTATTAAAAAGAGTCCACTTTGAAAAATGCCCAGTTTCTATCTTTTTTATTTTGAGATTTC